CACTGGTTAACTTCCACCAAAAGATGGACCACCTCACGTCCTATAATTACTCATCTGTCAGAGATGGGGGTGAGATGCCAGCCTTCACTGGTCAGTGAGTGCTGTATGCAGAACCATGTTTTCCCCACCAGACAGAAAAGGATCCATGGAAAAGAGCAATAAACCATGTGGTGAAAACCCAAGAAACTTTTACAGAAACACCATTCTGTTATATGCAAATTTCTCCAAATCCTATAAAAGTGACTGTCCACTGGGAGTCCAGGACCTAAGTGGCGGTCCTCCAACGCTCAGGTTCTAGGTGCCGAGGGCAGTGAAACCAGCACAGAGCACAAACTATGGTGAGCTGAGGAAGCAGGGACAGGAGAGTCCCTTCTGACGGACATTTTATCAGGCTTTACTCAAAGAACATGTTCTTTCTCTCGCTTGCCAAGCAGCCCAACCTAAGCTCTGTCTTGAGAATCAAGGGCCCAATGTGTCTCCTGCCTCAAGGGCCGGGGCAGCTGCCACCCAGCACTGGGATTTTGAGTGAAGGGAAAGCGCTAAGGCTCCACGGTGCAAGAAGTCAGCAGAAGGAGGCCACTACTCCCGCAGTCCAAACACAGGCAGAAAAATGGTCCTCGCTCTACCTCAAGATAAATGTTTCCTCTGAATCCACACGTGAGAAACGAAAACTCTAAATCAAAATTTTGACACTGTTACCTGTCTTAAGTGGAAACAAAAAAGGAGGGATTTCCAGAGAAAATTCTGATTGGAGTGGATGCAGCATGGGAGGGTTGGGGGTAGAAAGACCAGGAGACACATTCCTATTTAAAATGTGCTCTTCCTGCTCAAATTTAGGTCATATCTAGTTTAGCTCTGTCTAAAGAAAACGGTGAAATAGTTTAATGGATTCATGAATGGGATCAGATAATTTCCCAAAACATGGTTTGGGGGTCAAGGGCAAACACCCCTCTGCGGAACAGAAGAGCAGTCGCAGGACGAACCCGCTGCCTCCCTGCTTCCTGCCCGCAGCCCGGGTGCTTGGAGTGAGGCCTCAGCGCCTCTGTCCCGTTAATAAGGACCTGAGTTTGTCTGCTCTGCGCTTCCAGGAGGGCGATTTTCCGAGATGTCTAAATGGAGATATTAGGGTAATTGGAAACGCCAGAGGCAGTGCATGACTTAGCACCAGACAGAGTCACTCGGGCCAGAAAGAAAGTTTGGCTGGGTTTGCAATCTACCTGCTGTGAACAGGCCACAATTTGGTTTTAGGTCTAACTACATAAAAAGCAAGTCCGTTTATTTTTGTCTGGAAGGGCTGGGGCTGTTGACTTTGTTCTGGCCCCCTCTGTGAAAGGCACAACTGTTCTACCCATAAAAATACTTGAAAAAAATAGTTAACATTTGGTATGTCCAGATTATGGTCATATCATGACAACTATCCTAGGCTTAAAAAGTGAAAAATTCAGTTGGGTCTCTTCCCCTTTAAGTTCACCTATAATTACTAAGGGGAGGGGAGGGGGACAAAGGCGAGTAAGCGTCTTCCTGAACAGACCAGCTGATGGAGGGGCATGCATTCTTGTCCAGTGGCTGCCACCTGTGTGCTGGTGCTCCTGAGCCACCTCCCCAAGTGCTGCTGCTCCATGCCCCTGGGCCCCTCCTGCTGGGGCTGCCCCTTGTGTGTCCTCCTGTCCCCACCATTTCCCATTCACACGGCAAACATCTCCCTGGACTTCCAGATTGGGCACAGGTGTCTGTTCCTTCCTCTGTATGAGTCTTCCTTGCCCGGGGGTAGAAAGGTCTGCCCGCTCCTTATGGCCCCAGTGCACCTGCACAGACTTCTGTCCTAGCATCTGGAACGCTTTCTCACACACATTTGTTTACGGGACCTTCCCCCGTGCTGGACTGTGACCCTGAGGGGGGAAGCCCTTTGTTGTATTCATGTTTGCTTCCCCTGTGCCTAGCACAGAGCCTGGCATTTTCAGTTGTTCATATACACTTGTGGACTTACTGTATAGACACAATTGATTTGCCAATATGAGATTATACTTTTTGCACATGGGTAAGTCTACAATGAGTCAGCTCTGTGTGTGGAGCTAGACAAAGTTAAGATGCCTTTGACTGAGCATCTCGTACAGGGTTAGAGCATTTCCTGGTCCTCAACTACACGATTTGGCTCGGATGGTGTAGCATCTACGAAAGAGCTAATTACACAGCAGAGGGACTACGGGAAAGGACTCTGGACTGTCACTCAACTCTCCGCACTCCCGTGAGAATGCGGCCTCACATGGTTACCTTCTGCAGAGATGACATCTCAGAAGGGCCCAGGAATGAAGCCCATTAGACAGGGTGCAACTTGCGCACCGGGCGGGGCGAAGAGTATGGGCTCTGAAGCAGCGAACCTAGGTTCCCATCCGGCTCTCTTCCTATCCTTGGGCGAGTTACTTCACTGCTCTGAGCCTCAGCGTGCTCACGCATGAAGTGGGAGCAGCACTTTGCAGGGTCATTGGGGAGATTAAACAAGTCGGTCCATGTGAGACTCACAATAGTACTTGGCACATGGTGAAGCAGTCAGTAAATATCAGCTGGTAGCATTTTTAAAGATACCCATTCAGCGACGAGCTGAAATTCAAAACTCCCTTCAACTGTGCAATCCATGTCAATGTCCACCCCATGTTTTCTGTACAGCAACACTGAGGAATAGAGATAAACGTAATTAACATTTTAAACACTTATAGTGAGAATACACTCGCATATCCCACGTGGTCAAACTAATTACTCCACTGCAACCATTTCACAACCTGCAGGACAGAGAACAAGCCTGCCGGTCAGCGTTGAGACAGATTATGTGAGACAAAAGGCAAGGAAATACAAAATTAACATTGTGGTTACTCCTTATCGGAACACAGACAAAGCCAGATACACCAACAGTTTGGAATGAAGGAAACAGGTTGTTGGCTTTTGATTGGAATTTCCTAGGATTGTTACCATGTAGTACAGGATTAATCTAAATGTTTCTTTGCACACAGTCGAGTTTACAAGAAAGGTATCAGAAGTGATATAATAAAGGCTTGGATTTCTGTGTGAACAAAACTGCTTTCAAGAAATGTATCATTACCAGGCAGATTAAGAAAATACCAAACACTTAAAAGTGCCCTATAAATAAGTTAGCTTACTGCTTGGTGGGGGTAGGGGTGGGGGAGTTACAGAGGCTAAATAAACAAAAGAGCAGGTAAGTCAAACATATTCAGGTGACTTTTTCTCTGAAGTGGGTGTGACTGTAAGATGAATTATGCTGGTACTTCACAGCATTTTCAAGATAGTGCACGCCCTGACATTTTAAACCATAACACACCACACCACCACTGTCTTAACAACTATAATTTAAGAGCATTTACTGTGTATTCATTTATTTTATCCTCCTGGCAGTACCCTCTACAGCTGGCAAGGGGACTTTCCCAGGACACACCACAAGTAGGTACTCACTGCCCAGATGAGTCAAAGTGGGGGAAAAAGGCAAAATTCGACTGGTTGACCTACAGTATTTCAAGAACAGGATGTCTCCTGGGAAAATGTGGCAAAATATGTCTTTGATGAGATATGTAATTCCATAAAAATAGCAGGGAAAACCAATACAGTATCAGGCGGAATGAAAGAAAATTTAAGATTAGAAATAACCAAATGTTCAGACTCTTTAGTTTGTCATCTTCTGTTTTGAGGGATAAAAGGTAGGAATAAAGAATGTGCTGGAAATTTGGGGAATGTGCTCCAAGCCTCTTTCCTCCTCCTTCACCTCCTCCTCCTCCACACACACTCTCTTTCCACTCCTCTTTGTAAAAGGCCTTTAATTAGCTCACATCCTCTCCTGACCGGGGCTCCTAATCCAGTCCGACACCAGCCTGTTGGCCGGGTGGTGGGGTCTAAGAGCACGCCCTACGGCGGGCTCCCAGCGGGTCCCTGCCGCTCTTATCTCCGCAGATGCCTGACGAGTTTGGTATCTTCCCTCCCAGCCCTCCTGGGAAGCTGCCCCAGCAGGTGCCCATTGGCAATAGTTTTGTGTTACAGGCCTGAATGAATGATCCCCGCAGGAGCTGCCGACTGTTTTCACAGACACAGAAGGCAGTCAAAAGTCCACCGCGTGAACTTGGAATGACCCCAGCTGCAGAGTCACTGGCGGGTTCATCCGGAGGGCAGGCACGCTTTATTAAACAACTAATACTCTTCACAGATAACTTTCTGAAAAAGCAAAAGTGTTAACTCTTTGCAATCTTGCTTTAACTAGCATGTGGAGGGGCTCCACTGTGTATTGAGGGTTTGAACCCAAATGAAGATTTTGAGACAGAAAGAGGGTGATTTCATCTGGCCTGGAGAAGGGTCAGGACTCAGTCACCATTTGGTCCGTTGTTTTGTTAAAGTGTTCCAGATTAAAGTAAAAAGGCAAACAGCAAAGGTTGCAGGAAACTACTCTAGTGAGGACAGTGACATCCCTCGGCCAGGCCGACCCCACAGCCATGCCAGAAGAGGGGGCATCCAGACTCCCCTGGCTCGCTCGTCCCCTACCTGCACACCCCTCAGACACACGCGAGAGCAAAGGGAAGAACTCCCACCACCTGCCCGGGGCGGCGTGGAAGTCGTTTTGTTCGTGGCAGCCAGAGGTGGCACAGTTAGTTCCTTTTTGAAGGAGAGCTCAGAAAAGGCACAAGTTCAGATCAAAGTGTTCTCATCAAGTTCTTTCAGGCTTGCGGACAGCTGGCAAGTGAACACATCCATTTCACAGGATTCACCCAGAGGAGTGGCAAGCAGCCATTTCTTCCCTAGGTTTGAATCAGTCCTGAACATTCCCTTTTTTTCTTTTCTCTTTCTCTCTGAGCTCACACAAACTTTGGAAGGAACCCAGTGACAACAATCATAATTAATAACATACATATAAACATTTGGAGAAATTTTAAAAATTCATTTTAACCAACAAAGTTACATTAATTTCGGCATCAACCAAAGACTTGTGTCTATCAAAGTTTTACCTCTCTCTCGTCTCTCCAGCTGCCCTCTGAATCTAATTATGGACGCTTCCCTATTTGTTTTCTTGGGGGGGAGGGTCTTGTTTTGCTTTCAGGTGAGGCACAATTTCGCGTGGTTTACTGTCGGAGGAGATCCTGCAGGACTGCGACGTGAGGTGCTTCACAGGAGCGAGACTTCCTCCCCACTCAGGAGAGCTGACCTTTACACAAAACAGACTGGCTCAGCCCGACGAGCCCTCGAGGGCTTTCTACATACCATGCACAGTGCTGGGAGTTAAAAATACCAGGATGAATATGACTAGTGCCTTGTCCTCAAGGAGCTCAGTCTAGTGTGGAGACAGACATATAAACAGATAAAATCAACATAAAGAATGCTGAGAAAACGTACACAATGTCAGGGCTCTGGCCCCACTTACTTTTCTCTCCCTCACTGCTAAAAGGACAAAAAGCAGGTACCCACAAGCTGCTGACTTCATCTCAAAGACGATACCAGATCTGTCGCCAGGAAGCCTGACTTTCAGAGCTGGCCCGGGGACTACCTAGCTTGGGAACCTCACTGGGTCTCGGTTTCTCCATCTGTACTTCGAGGGGGTGAAAAGCTGATCCTCAAGCTCTCCCCAGGTCTGTGTCCTAAGAGGTCTCAGGAAAATGCAAGAGCTTGAGTTGAGGGTCCAACCTGGGAAGAGCTGGCTTTGCCGTGCTCAGCTGGGAAGAGGGAGAAGAGTTTCAGGGTCACGACCTCCCTAAGGAAGACCTCGAGATGGGCTTCAGTGCAAAGGGAGAGGCTAGAGAGTGAAGTGACCAAACGAAATATTATTAAAACAAAGCTTCTCACAGAGCTCAATTTTTTTAAAAAATAAAACTGAAGTTAGACACTGTTCACTGCTGCGTTTTATCTTCTCAAGACAAACAAGCGGCAAATTCTTCCTTGTGCTTAGTCCTAAGAATTTTTCTCTCTCCATATAACTTATTCATTGAAGCACCTCAACTTGTCTTGCAAATTGGTTTTTAAACAACTGTAGTGTAGGAATCCTACAAACTCTACCTGCGGATGCCATGGGACACAAAATCCAGACAGGCAGGTGGCATTCCCAGAAAGAGGCTAAGGAGCTGTCTGCCTTTGCCCGTTTTGCGTTGTTCCTCAGCGACGGTGTGGCTGGACATTTGCATGTCCAATTGAGATTTTAGAACCAACCATTCAGACGGCCCGGCATGGGTGCCAGGAGGGCAAGGCCCTCTCTCGGAAGCAAGGCCTCCTCACAGCGGGCTCTCATGTCAGAAAGCCCCCGAGCCTCCTCTGAGAGGCCTCAGTCTGGCAGGAAGGCAGCGGGCTTAGAGTTGTGAGGCCTGGGCGCCAACCCTCGGTGCCAACACGGACTGCATGATTCTGGCAAAACCAATGAACCCGTGCGACCACATTTCCCATCGCTGAAAGGGAAGTGATTGTCACACCTGCCCTGCTGGCCCCATAGGGATGTTGCAAGGTTAAATTATCTCAGACATGAAAGTGCTTTCACTCCCTAGGGGAAAGAGAGGGTGCCTTCCAGACAGCAATGTGGTCTATGAGAAGGGGCCTGGGTCCTTGTCCTCTTCCACAAGTTCCCTGTCAACCCTGAGGATTCAAGTACCTTTGCTGGGACTCAGTTTCTTCTTCTGTCAAGTGGAAATAATAATACTTCTACTCTTTAATGTATAAGTTTGTGAAGATCAAATAATAATAGAAGTATGTTATAAAGGTTAAATTTCTATAAACCCACAAGGAGCTATTAGTAGCTCTTCTTTTATAACTAATTTTGGCATCATTCTTGCCAATTTCCAAGTTGCCGATAAAGAGAAAACAATCCTGCTGGCCACAATATCCCACTTTGAAACAATACACAGGCAACAAAACTGAAACAATGGGCTGTTTTTGGAAGCATGCTGTACTTAATTTTCATTTCAGTGAAAACACTGAAAGTTACTGATTCCAAACCAACGTGTTATTACATGAATTCAATAGCTTGCAGGAAGTGTTTACTTAAACATCTTCCTCTAATAAAGCAAACAGATATTTCGCACAAATATTATTTTAATTCATTAGATTAAGAGGGACTAGGTTTTCCCCTCTTTCCCCTAGAACGGTTTTCCAAGGCCTGCCACCACTTGCAGCAGAGCCCAGGCCTGATCCAGTCACGCAGGCCAGGTCTCATTTGATCCAGGTCAACATCTTAGACCTGAGCGATGGTGAGCGGAGGAGATGAAATAGGATCCTGAAAGTCAGCAGCCTTTTCCTATCTGTATTTCTATATATACAGCATGATTTTGGATCTCAGTAAGCTTACAGATGTGTTTGGGCAGAAAGTCATAAACTTTCTTAAAGTTTCTGTTCATTTCACATAAAAAGCATAAAATAGTTAGGTAATAAAAAAAAATCCAGCAGGTATTTCACTTATTTAATATCTATTTGTTGAATGCATACTATCTGAAAATGCTATACTAGATAAAGGAGAACCCACATGGATGCAACCTGGATCACTTCAATTTTTCTTACAACAAATATTTATGGCTAGTCACAGGGGAAATTGGCAAAAAATGATGACAGATAAGATCTTTGCCTTCCAGGAGCTTTATGTCTACTCTGGGATGCAGATGAACAGACAGACAATTGCATCACACATTTCGTCTCAAGCCGATCTCATCCTTGAGGAAGAGAATAAAGTGTTCTTTCTTTGGGCCCCACAGCACTTATCTCATAGAACTGCAAATATCTTGCACAGATCCCAGTTGCAATACTTACTCTCTCTGTATTATGATTACTTACTTCTTGTCTGCCTTAGCTATTCCATATCCCTCAAAAAAAATTGTTTTTTAAGTCTGACTTTCCTAAGTGCCTGCCACAGCACCTAGCACCTAATTGACAATGATCCAGTGTTTGCTGAATGGATGTTTGAGACGTGCACAAGTGGTTATTATTTTCCAAGGAAAAATGTGGTCACTGCCTTAATGGAAGCACAAAGTGCCCTGGGAATTTAGAGTGGGAAGAATCTTCTAGAACATTTGGATTGGACTGTTCCAGGTTGGCACCTGGAACCATTTGGCCAGAGATGGGGAGAGGGGCACTGCAAACAGAGTTAACTGATGAGCAAAGGCGCAAAGGTGAGGAGGGAGCAGGCAGTGGCAGGGACAGAAAGTGATCCAGTGGGCAGCTTCCTGCCACCTTCTCTCTACTCCCCTTGACTCCCCAGTTGGCCCTGAGTTTTTGAGCTGATCTCCACCCTCCTCATGTGCCTAAGTAGGAAATTTCCTATTCTTAGAAATGGCACAGGAAGGCTTCCCCACTGGTATTTAACAGGAAAGAAAAAGAGAAGCCATGTTTCCCGCGTGCCCGTCTGATGCAGTGTGGTGCGGCTCTGCTGTGACCCACTGACCAGCTGTGCCTCCGAGTCGCCACGGCAGGACCCTGAGCCTCCCTGAGGAGTTAGGCCTGGACGTGTCATCATCTGGCTGTGAGGAAAGACAGACTCTCGTCCCTTCTGGAAGTACCTTTCTTTCCTTCCACGGTCTCTCTTATGGGGGATTTCCCCTCACCTCCAACAAGGCAGAGATTACTTCATGTAATGTCCCGACATAAGCTTACATTTTTCTCCCTACCACTCTCCACTCCACAAAAAACTCTGTTCCAAGAATTCTCCTCGTCACACACCCTGTTTGTGAGCTCCCAAATCTTTCACATAAACAGCATCACAGTTAATGAACGATTCCGTAAGCCTCTAAAGGGGAAAGATGCATTTTTCTCCACCGGTGTTCTCTGCAACCCACTCTGCAGGGAAGGACATGCTACCAAGGCTCACGGACAACACTGACGACAGAAAACCCCAGTCTGCCACGGAGATGTCAGTTTCTATATATCAGGTAAGATTCAAGGGGTCCAGCAGTGTTCTAGGAGTCAGGAGACCAAAGGCGTCCGAAGCTCTGCCACTTCGGTCTGGCTGTCTGAGCAAGCTATCTACTTCCGCTGGACCTCAGTTCCTTCACGGCGGTGGCGGTGGCAACAATACATCTCCTGCCTGGTTTCAGGCTTACAGAAAGGAACAGAGACCTACAAACGCATCATCGACAACTAAAAATCAAGACAAACATAAAGAACTATTATTATTCCAATAGGAATGATTAAACTCTAACAAGTTAATCTTACTTCTCCTTTCCTCCAAAAGGCAAACCATAGAACAGGTCAATAAAACTAACCACAAAACTCTCAGGAACAACACAATATCCTCAGTGTTCTCCATCTTGCTTCCTAACTCACACAATGGCACGGCAAAGCATCAGAAAGCCAATCTGCTGGCAGAACTCAGAGACATAAACCTCCCGACGAAATTTGAAAAGCTGTACTACAGACTAAGAAGAGGTGAGAAAGGAAAGAAAAGGACAACTGGAGAGAATGTGTTTATTTTCCGCCATTAATTGACAGTGGGAAAGCACAAGTCTCCCTAATTTCATGTACTCTATGCCGAAAACCCAAATATTCTTATTTTAAAATGACATCCTAGGTGCTTAGAAATGCTTAAAGTGGTAAAGTTCAGGAAATGGCTCAAGGAAATTACAATCGAGCATGTGCATTTCGAGAAGATGGCTACTGGAGCACACACTGGAGCGCCGACCTCTGGTCAGCTCCTGGGCGGAGCAGCAGAGGCCTCCGTGCAACAATCCTGCGTTATTTAAATGTGACTAAATCTCGGTGAGCACACCAGGTGTGAGAAAGTACAGTCAGCTTGCTCAAATGCTTTTGAGTCATGCATTTTCTGTTTTGTTAAAGAAAACTCTCTCCTTTTCTCCCATTTCAATCCTTTGACATAAGATTGGGATTCCCAGATAGTAAAGATTAACTCGGAAAGTCTAGAAATTGCAGTTGGAAAACCCCAAGGAACAACGCAGAGGAGCTCAAGATGGGAGTGAATGGAAAGGTGTTTGAGTTTTACTTTTAACAGATATTGTTTCCAACTGCTTGTGTTTTAGCTTCTACAATGGTCTGGGTTTGGCAGACCTTATATCTGAGAAACTGCACTGTGGGGAGGAAAAACATCTAGGCAGACTCCTAAATTCACTTTCTTCTAAAACTTGTGGCTCCAACACTCACTCACTATTAACCTTTAGTCGAGGGAACTGACTGCTGTGGTCTTATTTTTCTCGTCTGTAAAACGGAGACAATGCTTCCTTCCTTACGGGGACCTGTGAAAATTAAATGAGGCAGCCGACGTAAAGCTCCTAGTGTCACACCTGGCATAGGGTAGTCATTCAATAAATGCTGGCTATGTTATCCACTTCCTTTCTGATTTTTAAGGATGATATTGACCAAGGAATCCTCTCTTTCTCTTAAGAAAGCACTTTGATTTAGCTTTTCTTCAAAATGGAGAGAGACTTACAGAGATAGTAATTATAAAGGAGAAAGAAGTAAAGGAAAATAAAAAGGACCTTCCCCCCAAAGTGAGTGTCTTGACCTTTTACTGCCCAGAATTAGAATTTGATTTGTCCTCTATATGTTTATTAAAATGGGTTATAGTTTGTCTCACCTTAAGTTTGTCACAATTTTTCAAGAAAGGCCAAATACTGATACGATTAATACTGAAATGCAGCAAAGGGATGCACCACCACGTACGCCCGGGGGAACTCTTTCCAGTCGACCTAAGCAAGCTTGAGCGCACTCTTCTTCTACTCTCTGTTTACACTGGAGCAGAAAACCACTGCTCTTCGGGGGACACAGATATTTCCTGCCTTTTCAATTTAGCAACTGAACATCCTTTTCCACCACACAGACTGCAGTTTTGGAAGACAGAGTGAATTCCTCTGAAACATGAGATGCTCAGTCTAAGAAGATAACTTAAGGATCAGATTCTTAACTGAACTACTATTAGGAAATGAAGACAAGTTTTAAACTTTTCCAATCTTTCTGTTTTAAAACTAGAGCTTGAATGGTGGTGTCATTGCCCTGCTACTTCCAGCTACTGAGCTGCTGGATTAAGGTGGAAAGAGGGCACAGCTAAACCCCGTGCTCCGAGCTCCCTCATGAGCAAGGCTGCCCAATAGGGTAGGTGGGGACTGACTTGGAATTGTGGTCACTCATGTGATTCTCACGCCATCACTCCCCCGCCCAACACACTTCCAATTCCCATAGATATTTGAGATTTGACCATGTTAGAACAGGTCATGGATGGGTCATCCAGCATCTAAAATTTGCCTGTACCCAAAAAGGGCTCAGACTAAGGGAATCATTTTAGTATTCAAGGTTATCAGAGGAAAATAAAACAAAAACTCTGTTGCCAAGAATTTGCGTCATTTCTCTATATGCAACAACTTGAAGGCACCTCCTCTTGGCTGGAAAAGAAATCCCTTGGGTGACTTATTTAGGATCAAAGTCTTTTTGAAAATAGAAAACTCTACATTCTCTGAGGGATAGATCACTGTGTGAAGTGAATTTCATCTGACCTGAAGTTTTGTGCCAACTTAAATACACTAAAACCCCAATGCTTCTAAGAAGGCATTCACCTACATGGTACATGGAAAAGCTATTATGGGGATAATCAGCTTGACTATAAAATGGAACAGTCATACATAATGACAAAAACAGATACAAGTCATAAATTGCTTTTTCCCCTTCAGAATCCACACAGGCAGGCACTCAGTACATTCTTTTGTGCAAAGATAAAACTTTTGCCTTGAATAAACAGTGCTTTTAGTCTTGTTTGAGCCTTATAAATAAACTGCCTACAAAACAAACACAAATGCTGTTTCTTAAACAAAAGGCAGATGGACCCCGCTGCCCGCACAGTGCATGCGACAGGAGGCTGGCTAACGGCAGGCTGGCTGAGGACTTGTGGGGCGGGGACATGGAAGTCAGTTTCCTCTGGGTCGCTGCTATGCCCTGGATCTGGTCTTCTGGGCACAAAGGGCCAGAGAAAGGTTCTCTTGGAAGGGCAGAGGCTCCTCCATGCACTGTACCCCAAATAGAGACCAAAGAAATGGAACAAAATACTATTTAAAGTCCTGCTAGGTTTCCCACTGGACAATCTGAACAGTCTCAATCTCTTTCTCTCTCTCTTTCTCCTTCTCACTTAACTTGCCTGTATTTATCTTCACATGGTTTTCCTAAAAGTCATCCAAGTTCATTCTGCAAGTAGGCAGGGCTTTTTGTTTTTCTCGTCGTTTTTATTTTGTAATATATAGAGGCATGTCTAGAACAAATCAAGCAGTTAGTAATCTCTCAAAAGTGTAACTAACAATGAGAAGTAAGACACTAGTGCAGAAGGTCAGGTCTTGGCTCTGCACTTACCTGGTTGACCTTGAGCAAGTCACCTTACCTCTCAGGGCCTCAGTTTCTTCATTCATATAATGGGGCTAATACTCCCTATTCTCTCTCCCGAGCCGGTTATTTGACGATCAAATGATATCGCATGAGTAAAACCACGTTTGCAGTCATGTAGGTTCTTAGTCTTATCCAGGAGATGGGGATGGTCATAACCAATCTAGCACAAGAAGGACCATGGCCACCACTGCTCCCTGAGGGCCTGCTCTGTTACAGAGATGAGATGATGGCAGTCACCTTACCAGCTAACAAAGTGATATCAAATAATAAGTTTCACATGGGAAGTTAGCAGTGGTTAATTTTTTTTTTATATTCTCTACAGTGCCTGGAAGAAAGCCTTATACACACAAAAGAAAAACACAATACAGGAGAAAAAACAAGGCCTTTAGAATTCACTGGACTTGGCTTAAAAATCCATGCTGTTATTTCCAGTTGTATGACCCTGAAAAAATGATGTAACTTCTCTAAGTCTCGGTTTCCTGATTTGAAGACGAGATTAGCCTACATAAGACAATGTGTGCAAGGGTCTGTCACAAGGCCTGACACACAGAAGTGTTCAGTAAATGTTAATAGATGAACATGTGTTCCACGGTGAGGCACGCTATTTCAATCCTGTTCCTATGCCTTTTCCTACTAAAGCCATTTGTAGCAAGAAACACTATAAAACTATTAGCTCTTTATCCAATTCATAACAAGCAAAGCTGATTTAAAACAATAAAATGGGCCGGCCCTGTGGCCGACTGGTTAAGTTTGTGCACTCCGCTCGAGTGGCCCAGGGTTTCGCCAGTTGGGACCCCAGGCGTGCATATGGCACTGCTCATCAAACCATGCTGAGGTGGAGTCCCCCACAGCAGAACTAGAAGGACCTACAACTGGGACGTAAAACTAGGTACTGGGGAGCTTCGGGGAGAAGAAGGAAAAAAAGATGATTGGCAACAGATGTTAGCTCAGGTGCCAATCTTTAAAAAAAATAAAATAAAACAATGGCTAAAACTACATAGAATAAAATGTATTGACTAAAAACCAACAGAAAACTCACGTCTCCCTGACAAAAAATTAGATCTACAAGATTTGAGCTGGGAAATTTGAGGGCTTCATAGAAATAAATGCCATAAAGCAAAAGAGAAAAAACGAAACGTACCATACAACTGCATATAGTGAATAATGAACCATGAATTCTAATTTCCATGAACAACTGACTTTGATTAAAATAATTTCAGTTAAAAACAGTAAAAATTATTAAAATATTTGTATTCATAAACACAGAGTCAAAACACACCTGGGATCAAAAAGGCACCCAGGATCAAGAGCACCCTACACTGCCTCGGTAAAGACACAGAGAGGGAGGGAAAACAGGACAGAGCGCGCAGAGGCTCCACCAGTGATGATCAAAGTGCTCCCCTCCTTCGCTGGAAGAGATTAAGCATGCTGTTGGCTACGTCCTTAGGAAGGCCAGGTGGCAGCTGCACAGAGCAAGCACTGAGTTCCTACAGGGGCAGAGAGGAGAACGGGATCGCTTGCTCTGTTGTTAACATCTGAGATTGTCTTAGTTTGAAAAGAAGTTTTAGCTTTTTGAGAATAACTATGTAATTTTCCTGTAAGTATATAAAAATATTACACAATAACCACAGATAGAAGGGAAACTAGAGTCTATATAAGAGAGGGAATTAGTTCAAGGGGCGTCTCTCCAATTCTCTGGCTTTGAGAGAGGTTGGAGGGCACTGCAGATATTCACGAGACACTCAACTGGGAAAAAGTATGCTTTTTGCATTTCATGCTGCAGAGAGAAACCTGTTCCTCTGACATGATTCTAGAACTTGAAATTCTGTGCTTTTTAAAAATAAATCATATTCCTAGAAAGGATTCCAGGATCAATAGTTTTGCCACGGCCTAGGAATGGGATCAGATCTTTGAGGTTCTGTTCAAAGGGTCTGAGTCATTTTGCCAAGATCCAGGCAAGGGAGTCGTGGGATAGATGCCCACAGCTTGGCAGTTCAGCCCTAAATCATATCATTTCACATTTGGAACCCATAAGCTGATTTTTGGAGTTGGGAGATGACAAGAAAGACTGCCAGAAATAAAGGGATAAAGGCATAGGTTGCTTCCTAGTTATAGTTCCTTGCAGATAATATTAAATAAATTAAATAACAGTTAAAAATTTAAGGAGAAAGTCCAGAAGTGGATATGATAAACTTGAAATTAAAAATCTGCTGTGAGGGGCTGGCCCCGTGGCCGAGCGGTTAAGTTCGCGCGCTCCGCTGCAGGCGGCCCAGTGTTTCGTTGGTTTGAATCCTGGGCGCGGACATGACACTGCTCATCAAACCACGCTGAGGCAGCGTCCCACATACCACAACTAGAAGGACCCACAACGAAGAATATACAACTATGTACCGGGGGGGCTTTGGGGAGAAAAAGGAAAAAATAAAATCTTTAAAAAAAAAAAAAAAAAATCTGCTGTGAGGGGTCAGCCCAGTGGCACAACAGTAAAGCTCACACACTCTGCTTGGGTGGCCCAGGGTTCGCCAGTTTGGATCCCAGGTGCAGACCTACGAACCACTTATCAAGCCATGCTGTGGCAGGCATCCTACATATAAAGCAGAGGAAGATTGACACAGATGTTAGCTCAGGGCCAATCTTCCTTAGCAAAAAGAGGAGGATTGGCGGTGGATGTTAGCTCAGGACTAATCTTGGTCAAAAACAAACAAACAAACAAAAAAATATATATATGTATGTGTGTGTGTGTGTGTGTTTGTGTGTGTATGTGTGTATATATATATATATTTGCTGTGAATAATTCACAACATCTATACACGGACCTAACCAAGACCTGCAGGTCTATTACCTTCTTATGTGACAGAATGAATTCCCTTTTAGCGTCTCACTGGGTTTTCACATACTTCATCTCTTTTGCTCCTCAGGTCCACAGGACAGGGGGAATTACCTTTTCATAGGTTAAAAAAAACAAACCCTCAAGATTAACAGAGAAAAGGATTACTTAAAGGTAGGCATGGAATTAGCACCCAGGTATCCTGACTGCCGGCCCCTAGCTCCCCTCAAAGCACAAACCTATGTCCGCAACAATGGTTTACGTTCTTTCGGGAAGGATGGACCTCTCTGAGTCCAATAAAAACTTTAGATCCTTCCTCCAGAAAAATGCACATGTATGTAATATTTATAATCAATTTCCAGAGTTTTATGGAGCTTTTCCACTTCACTCAAAGCCTGCTGAGCCACAGTTAAAGCCTCTGGTCTTTGCAGCCAAGTGGGGCTGGCTGGCTGGCGATGCGAGGTGCACTTCTGCCTTCTCTTACCCCTTTCTTTAATCACTGGCACTCAGGCACTCTGCAAAGGAACACTTCCCACAGGCCAACTGTTGATTACTGTGGTCATTTGCACTTCCTTAAACTCCTTTTGTGTACACAGAAGAGCAAACAAAACATTCCCCCAAAGCAACATTAAAGGTCTGATTTCAACCCACAAAACTACAAGAAAATGCAGATCTTTAGCCAAACAACATACATGCAGAAATCACAGATGACCTGAATAGGTATCTAGTCAATAGACCTGCTTTTGGAGCTACCATTTCCTATATGAAGGGGTAACTTTAATGTCCTTTGCTTTCTCATTTTAGAGATATATGGACTAATTTTTGTAACACATCTAGGGTTGTTGGTATGAAAATAAATTACAAAGCAATTCCTCTGAGTAGCACCCTGTGAGGCCAATACGGATTAGCTTACTAAAGGCAAGAGAAATACATGAAGAAGGACCCCAATCACAATGGGGAGCAGGGTTCCATCTGAGAGGCTCAGTCCTGGAAAGCAATACCCTTATGCAAATCCAACAACAACATAAAGCATGACATCCAATAAAATGCATAATCGCTGCCACCCAGGCCTTCACATGGATTTTGGGGGAGGGTGAGGGCAAGGAGTATTCTGTGCTTTCTTTCTGCTTAAATTATATTCTCATGCTGACTCTCAAGCAGTTTTCCAGGGGAAACAAAAGAACCAGGAAACAAATGAGACACCCATAAACGAGGAAGAACAAAGAAAGGGCTGATCCTTTTCCCCAGGATGTTGCAGGGAAACTCCAGAGAAACCCACACCAGGCCCCCCGTGAAGAGCTCATCGGTGAGTCCACAACTTCTTCCTTCTCAGCCAGAAGGTTAGCTAGAGTGTTCCTGACAGCCAGCGTGGCCCAGGTGGAGTCTGAATCTGCCACGCTCCGTGCCTGAGACCCTCCTCCTCTGCAGACCGTTACACACTGGCTTTCATTCTAAGGCAGAATGGTTTCTTGGTGGCTAAAGTCTGAACAGTTTACATCATCACAAATGTAACAAAGTAAAGACCCATTTCTCTTATTCAGTACGTATTTTTCAAAGTTTTCACAATGTCATCTCTCATTTCATTCTCACACTAAGCCTCCAAAATAGGAGCATTTCAATTCCAGGTTGAGGAAAGCCTCTCAATAAACCAGAAGTGCATTTTTTTTCAAATTAAAGCAAAGTCCAGGAGTACAAAGAAACGAACGATAAAACCAAGGAGACTTTCCTATGTTAATTAGAATTTAATAAAATTAAATAAAATCTTTAACTAGGCATTTACAACTAAATATTTAAGTGAATCTGTTCACATCAAGCTTAGCGGCTAGGAGAACACAGAGGAATCTGTGCCGCCACGGTGATGCTTTATGTTGCCGTCAGGGGTGAAGTCCCAGGGCAGCATGAGAAACGAGCCGAGGCATAAACGTGCACGCTCATTCAGACTCAGAACCTGAGTCTGTTCCTAGCGTGATTTATAAAGCTCTCCAGCTCCTGCCTCTCACCCTTTCTCTACAAGTAAGTGTTGCCTCTTCTGAACCACAGGCCAAACAGTACACTTTTGGTCTGGTTTAACATAACTCCAATATTGAAAAAACTGATCTGACTAGATAACTATCATCTATGGAAAACAGGAATAAATTTCCAGCTTCTACACATTATTATCAAGAATGCCACACAAGGGGCTGGCCCCGTGGCCAAGTGGTTAAGTTCACGCGCTCCGCTGCAGGTGGCCCAGTGTTTCGTTGGTTCGAATCCTGGGCGCGAACATGGCACTGCTCATCAAACCATGCTGAGGCAGCGTCCCACATGCCACAACTAGAAGGACCCACAATGAAGAATATACAACTATGTACTGGGGGGCTTTGGGGAGAAAAAGGAAAAAAACAAAATCTTTAAAAAAAAAAAAAAAGAATGCCACACAATATAGACATGTTATCCCACTCTACTTTCTTACCTTCTCTTCATGATAAATTCCTACGTGGCACCACGAATATCTCTTTTTACAGCCTAATGGCCTAGGGCACAAGTGCACCTACGATTTCACTACAACCAATGCTCTGCAGTAAATAAGCAGAGACAGAGAGCACAGGTGCTTTCTCAAACCCGGTCCATCCACGAAAAGGTCAGTCTCTAGAAGACAAGTTTGTAGAGTTGCCAGGAAGGGGAGGAAAGCAGAGCTCCTTAGAGGCCTACTGTACGCATGTTGCCAAACAGCAACACTCCTTCAACTACCTTCACCTTCTCCAGCTTCACACATAAAAGCAGCTCCTGCCAAAAAATAAACTGTGGAATAACAAAATGTCCACCAAACAAGAGGCCAATGAAAAAGAGGCCAACCAGACAGCAAGCACAGCAGAATCACACCGCTGTCCTTCCACGGCTGGATTCAGACGACTTGAAGGGCTGTGTCACCCTGGAGGCCTATTTCAGCTCAGACTAGCCTGTAAGGTGTGGGGAGTAACCGGCGGATTTTGGGCAGGAGGCCAGCACAATCAAAATCCACGTTCTAGAAAGCAAGTTCATTTCGGTGACATTGTGAAAGAGGCAATGAAATCCAGGGGCCAGGTGGCTATTGCAGTGGCCCAGGGAAGAGACAACCACAGCCCGGACAAAGGCAGTGGTCGTGGAGAGAAGGAAGAAGGTATTTCAGAGGTTCGCTCAAATGGACTGGGTGCCAGGTTACCAGAGGAGGGAAAGGAAGGGCATGTAGGCAGTGAGGAAAAGGCCATGGATGTAACTTCTCACAACCTATTACCCATAAAAGAAATTACAGTCATGCAGAGGACTCAGGAGGTTCATTACAATGGAATTTCACCCCTATTTCCTTACCTTGGCAGCAGAGTTTGATACTCCATGTGTAACATTTCTGATAAGGCCCCCGACATTTCCATACTTTATCAGTCCAGTAACCCCTTCAGAAACATCATTTAAAAGGCCCATGGGATTGCCAAGAAAGTCCACTGATCCTAGGATCCGAGCTGCCTGGCTGAGGAGTTCCTGTCAAATGGAGTGGGGAGAGAGAGAAAATCAGCACTGGTTTACATCTGTGGAGAAAGTCCCAAGCAAAAGCTGAGAAATCAGCCTTGTCCTCCAGTCCCATCACTAAGAACAATGGCCTTTTAATTCTCATCAACTGCAAGCTCCCGTCCTTTCGGGGGCTCCACCTAAACGTCTCCCAGTGCGCACATCCCAGACATCACTTTGAACACTCTTACACTCTTTAAGGCCATTTAGAAGAATAAAAACAGCTCTGAAATAGGAAAGACTCTTTACAACTATTTATTAGTATATACATCACACTCTCCTTTCCACCATTCCTACAATTAGAGAATTAATCAGCAGCAGGGAGAACGCTAAAAGGAAAGTGAGGGAGGGGGCGGACTCCTAGCTCCCTCCTAATCTGTGGAGGAGGTGGCACCAAACAGGGCAAGCCCAGACCTATCAGCAAACCTGCACGCTGTGTCCCTCTGCTGCCTGGTCCAGGTCCAGCGACAGCTGCTGGGTCACTCTCCGTACAGTGCAGTGCAAACAGCACCAAAGAGGAAAGTCAACAGAGGGAGAAAAGAAGGAAAGGAAGGAGACGGGAGGGAGGAGGGAGAAAGGAAGCAAGAAGAGGATATACGCTAACTTTGACAGCTAACAAATCTGGTATGATCCTGATCTACCCATGGGAGAGGATGCCTTAACTTTATATTTTGGTCTTTGCAGTCTGGATAACAAACACAAGATGGAAAATGTCCAAGATGATGAAAAGAATGTTAAGTTCAACTCTAGGGCAGGATCTCGTGGGTTCCGAGAGCATTGGTGTGGTTGTTGACAATGGCCCATGCCTGGTAGATAAAAAGTTCACAGCATTTTGTGTCATCATTAAAGCATCAATTAAACCCTCCAGAGTTGTGACTAACCAAGAGGAAGGCCCTGAGACTAGTTCTGAGGGACAAGACTAACAGCTCATAAATCGAAGGCTCTGTTTCAGGATTTTCCTGATGTGCATGGGCTTCACAGGCTGTGGCCTGACCCTAACACAGCAAGCAGGGCTGGAATGTTGAACTGGGTTCTCAACAGCAATGTCTTAGTAACCAAACTTTCCAAACAACAAAAACAAACATTCTGCTTATGCTCCAGCCACTAAGTGCTTCTCGAAAGCTCACCTCCTGGAAATGTTTGAGAATATCATTGATGATGAACTCCTTGGTCTCATAGGGATGTACCCGAGTGAACGGATCCAGATTAATCACAGCGTCTTCAAACCGAATCAATGGAAATCCCAAGGTACTTTTCAGGGCCTAGTTAGGCAAGAAAGAAAATGACATACTTTAGCCATATGATGGCCTTCCAGGGGCTGTAATTCTGGATTCCATGACAGCTCCGAGTCATGTCAAGTTTCCAATGAGAGTCAAGGTTTTGATGTCTATAAACAAAGATTTTCCCTGTAATTACAAAAGTAAAATATTAGGGGAAAAATACATATATATCATCCAAAATAACACGTACCACATAGAAATAAACACTATTAGCTTCACAGCATAATTCCTTCTGGTCTGTTTCATGTCTATGTTTTTGTCATGTTTTACTTTTTGTCTGAAGTATACCACACACGCAGAAAGGTGTCCTAATCAGATGCACGGTTCAATGATTTTCCCCAAAGTGAACGCGACCACGTAACCGCCACCCAGACCAGAAAGCAGATTATTATCCCATCTGGGACGCAGCCCCTCCCCATGGGCAGACCCCCAGTCACCAGGCCCCTCTTCCCCTAAGGTAGATCACCACGCACTAGTATTTCCTGTTGTGAATTTCACATAAATGAAATAACCATTGTGTACTTTGTTGTATACGGCTTCTTATAATCAACACGAAGTTTGTGAGATCCACTAGGTCGTTGCACGTGGCTGGAATTTATTAATTCTCATCGCTACATAGTATTCCCGTGTACAAATAAAACACAACTTATTTATTAACCATTGCTGCTGATGAACAGTTGTGTTACTTCAATTTTTTTGCTGTTATAATAATGTTGCTATGAACATTCTTGAACATGTTTTTTAGGGCACATTTGCAAGGATTTTTCTTGAATATATACCTGGGAGTGGAACTGCTGGGTCATAAAGAATGTACGCGTTCAACCTTGGTATATACTGCCAAACCGTTTTCCAAAGCAGTGGAACTGGTTTACGCTCTCTCCTGCAGTCTGTGACATTTCCTGTTATTGTACATCCTCATCAACACTTGGGAGAGCTTTTTAAAAAACAAATACTCTGATGGGTGTGTAAGGGTATGTCAGTGTGGTTTTAATTTCCATTTTCCTGCTGACGAATGAGATTAAGCACCTTTTAATATGCATATTGGCCATGTGGATAGCCTTTTTTGTGAAGTGTCTACTTTTGCTCATTTTTGTAGTGGGTTGTCTGTTTTTCCTTATTGCTTTGTAGGAGCTTTTCTTACATATTCTGTCTACAAGCCGTCTGTTGAGCCCTCTGTTGAACAGATGCATTGCAAATATCTTCTCCCATTCTTTTTTTTTCTTTTTTTGAGGAAGATTAGCCCTGAGCTAACTACTACCAGTCTGCCTCTTTTTTGCCAAGGAAGCCTGGCCCTGAGCTAACATCCATGCCCATTTTCTTCTACTTTATATGTGGGACGCCTACCACAGCATGGCTTGCCAAGCGGTGCCATGTCCGCACCCGGGATCCGAACTGGCGAACCCTAAGCCACCGAGAAGCGGAACGTGTGAACTTGACCGCTGCGCCACCAGCAGGCCCCATCTTCTCCCATTCTGTGACTTCTCTTATTACTCTTTGGTGTTTTTTGATGACCAGACTTTTTTAGTTTTGATGAAATCCAACTTACCAGTCTTTTCCTTTATGGTAAGAGCTTTCTGAGTCCTGGTTAAGAACTTATTATCTACACCAAGGTCTAGAGATATTCCCATATGTTTACTTATGGAATTTTTATTGTTTTGCTCTTCACATTTAAATCCATAATCTACCTGGACTTAACTTTTATATATGGTATGATGTAGAGATCAAGATCCATTTCTTTCTAGATGACTATCTAATGGACTAAGCAATATTTATTGAAAAGACCATCCTTTCCCCTATTGGAGTAGAGGGTGAACTTTGTTATGTCAAGCGGCCGTATTTATGTTCTGTTTCTGGATTCTCTTTTCTGTTTCATTTTGTCCTGCCTCCTGCAAATACTACACTGTCTTAATTACTGTCGATTTTGTAATATTTTTTGAAATCTAATAGTGCAAGATCTCCAACTTTGTTCTTTTTCTTCAAGATTACCTTGGTTACTCTTTGCACTTTTCATTTCCAAATAAATTCTAAAATCAGCCTGTCAATCTGCCATAAAAAATTGTTGAAGTTTTCATCAAGATTGCATTGAATCTATAGATCATTTTGAGGAGAAATGAAAACTTCACAATATTGAATCTTCCATTGTATTAACATGGTATGTTCCTTTAACTATTTAGGTCTTTTTCCATTTCTCTCGATAAAGTTTGATTGTTTTCTGTGTAGAGGTCTTGCACATGCTGTGCTGGATTTACCCTTGGTTGTCCGTGGTGGAATACAAACGGCCAGCAATTCTTTGTATCGTCTACATTGGTGGAGTCTATTTCCCCTCCACGTGAATCTGCACCAACCTTGTCATTTGCTCCAACCAATAAAATGCCACATACGTAGCAATGGACAACCTCTCAGCCTAGGCCTCAAGAGATCTTGGGGCTTCTGCCCTGCCCTTTTGGATGCTTCCACCACGGGAAGAAGCTGAGACTAGCTCTCTTGACTATGAGAGACCACGGAGAAGGAGGTTCTGTTGAGAGCCAACACCAACCACCCGACACAACAGTGAGGTCATCTTCTACTGTTCCGTCTCATCCGACTGCCACACGACTGCAGCCAAGTGAACCACCACACGCGAGGCCAGCAGAAGTACCCAGCCAAGTCTAGCCCAAAGTGCTGAACTGTAGAGTTGTGATCAAATAAAACGATTGTTGTAAACCACTACGTTATGGGGTGATTTGTTACATGGTAATAGATTAATGATACTGTAGCTGATGTTCTCTTAATGCTATTATAAATGACATCCTTCAAATTCTCCTTTTCTCTATAATTGTTGCTGACATATAGAAATACAACGGACTTTTGTACACTGTCTACAGTGACCTTGCTAAATTTCCTTATGCATTCTAATAACTTATCTGTACATTCTTTTAGACTTTCTACGTACATAATCATGTTCTCTGCAAATAACAAAGTTTTCACTTTCCTGTCCAGTTCTTCTACCCTTTATTTTATTTCTTTTTTAATCTTTCTAGTCTACTGCACTGGCTAGGATCTCCAGTATAACGGTGAACAGAATGGTGATAATGAGCACCCTTCCAGGCTTTCAGTATATCACCATTGAGTATGATGCTTGCTATAGCTTTTTTACAGATACACTTTATCAGTCTAAGGCAGTTCCATTCTATTTTTTGTTTTATAAGAATCATAAATAGATGTTGAATTTTGTCAAAAGGCTTTTGTGCAACTATTGAGATAACATTTTTTTCTTCTTTCATTTTGTTGATGTGGTGAATTACAGGATTTATCTGAAAATGTTAAACTAAACTCACATTCCTGGAATAAACCCATTTGGTTATATTTTCTTTCTTCTACATTGCTGTATTTGATTTGCTAATATTTTGTTGAGATTTCTTTCTTCTATGGTCCTGAAAAAATACTGGTATACAATTTTCCTTTACTATTCGATTATTCTCAAAATATATAGTTTTCTAGTACACTTCTTGAACACATTTACATTTATTTTAAATTCTGTGTCTGATAATGCCAGTATCTGGTTTATCTGTGGGTCTGTTTCTAGTGTCTATTTTTTTCTCTCAGTCCCATCTCTGGGTAGGCCTGGTAATTTGTGATTGATTGCAACATTTTGTATGAAAGTTTACAGAGACTTTAAAGGAGTCTTTAGCTTCCGGCAGGCAGTTAAAGGGGCTTCACCCACCCAGGGTTTGGGCTTCCTCAACGCTGGATCTCAGTCTTTGTAATCCTGGTCCATTTCAGTCTTTGTATGGCCTGGTGTAGTCCTTCAACAATCTCAAGTGAAAACCAATTCCATTCCTCTACTTTTCATCTCCATAGCACCATAAAAATGCTAAAATGTCTTTTTAGCTCTTCAATCTCTTGGCTGCCACTTTTGGCTTGGCTTCTCTCAGACTAGGTGACTTAGAAATTATCACCTGCCTCAAGAAATAAAGCGGCTCAGACTATTGGGATCTCTTTTCTGCCCGTCCCTTCTCTGTGGGATATGAGCCCCTAGTTTACTAGCTCTCTTAGCAGCAGTCGAGTCTACCTTTGCCAAATTCTCTACCTTTCGGTGCCTGTTCTCTACTAGATTCCTCTGCCTTTCTCCCCACACCACTTACAAATTAGAAATGTCTCAAGAATCAAAGCAGAGGAAATGTTGGGCTCCCCTTATTGAGTTTCTTTCCTCTCATAAATCGTGGACCCTCGAGTCCTGACTGCCTGGGTGGCTTTCTACTGTCCTCAAACAGACGTTTGAGTGTTCTCTTTCTAGCGTTCCTTGTAGTTTTCAGCTGGTTTAGGTCTGCCATAAGCCAGTTTACAGTCTTTGAATATGGTCCATTTTCCAATTATATTTTTATTTAATGTGATTGATATTACAAGGATTTTAGAGAGCATGCCAAATACTCTTCTTTTTTGGATGTGAAAACCCTTTTTTTATGCTAATAATGTTAGTGAATCTCTAATCCACTTGGAATTTATCCTTACGTAGAGTGTGAATAATAAATGTAATTTTATACTTTTCCATATGGCTATCTAGTCTAATATTCAAACATCTATATATTTCCCAACTAAAACGCCTTTATATTAAAATCTCATGTGCAATTTAAAAGACTTTCTATTTTATTTTCTCACTTATTTTTTAATCTTTTAGCATGTATTTTCAGAGGGTGCCTTGAATTCTTTTGGAACAAGAGTATGCTTAATTGAAACGAAATCATATAATTGAAGAAAACACAGATGAAACTTTCTAAAACCAGAGAGCGGGGAAACTTTTTTTGTGACAAATTTCAAATTCAAAAAGGCAAAAGATTGATAAATTTGACAACATAAAAATATAAAGCTTTTGCATGATTAAAAAAAAAAAAACACACCAAAAGCAAAATAAAAAGACAAGTGAAAAACTGAAGGAAAAAATACTTGCAACTTATACCAAAGACAAAACTTACATAAAGAGCTTCTAAAGTCAGAGGAGATAAAAGACCAACAATATGATTTAAAAATGGACAACTGATATGACCAGATAGTTTAGTTCACAGAGGAAAAGAAATGGCCCTTGAACATATGGGTTAGGAGAAGGAGGAGCAGAGTGAAAGAAAACTGTGGAAAAGACAGAGAAGAAACAAATAGAAGAGGAAGAAGAGAACAGCAAGGACAGGCCGTCAAGAACAGGGAGGTCGGCAACATCAGAGACGGCAGAGGACCCCACGAAGATGAGGACAGAAAAAAGGCCAACGGATTCGGTGCCTTGCAAAGTCACTAGTAACCTCCTACTAAATAATTTCAGAACAAAATATTTTAGAGATTAAGAACATCCTCAAATTAATTCAGCTTGACATGCTAATTAAGTCTAACACTCTCATTTTTTAAAATAAATAAAACTAAAGAAATGTTAAGTGGATGGCCTAAACTCATCTAGCCAGTTATGAGGAGACCTTAGACTCGAGTGTGCTCATTTTCACAACAGTAAGTGTTTATCAGGGGGAAGCAGGAAGACCAGAACGGAGGATTGCATTGTTTCTCCTGAAAGACCTCTGCTACTCTTTCCCGCGCGCCTCGCCCACTCGCCATCATCACTCACGAGGGGAGTGACGATGAAGTAAACAGGCATTATTTTCTTCGTTTCACTGACAGAGAAACTGAGGCCCAGCAGGTTGAGCTGCTTTGCTGAGAGCCACACGACAAACATGACGGGGAAGTGAGGTACTGACAACAGTCTGGCAGATTGTTCTGCGGTACAACTCCGAGCGCTGCTTTCTTCTCAGAGAAGAGGAAATGAGACAAAAACAAAGGCTTAAGGCAAAAAGCTTTCTACCCCAATTTCCTCATTGCAACCAAATACTGCAGAAGAGGAGCCACACATGGGAGCAAAGACTTTGAAACCTGTAGTAAGTTGTCAAAAGCCTCACGGAGACGCTATCCTCTTTCTGAATGGCTACCGTGCTTTGTCTTGAACCAAGGAATTAATCTGGCCCTTCAGTAAAAATCATCTTTACCTGGTCATGTGCTGCTCTGGGCCTCGCGCGTTCGAAGTCGAGACACAGCCCATTGGTATGAATTATTCTGCCACCTTCAGGTGGTGCTGGTCAGTCAGAGAAGAGAGGAGCAGGGGAAAGCCAAACAGGCTTTTCCTTGCAGGAACCAATGACTAATCGAATACAGTAGTATACGAAGCTGATGCTTATTGACTCAAGTAGCAGACGGTTTCCTGTCATAAAATGGATTCTGGAGAAAGCAATCTGTGCTCATAAGTTCCCAGTAAAAATAGGAAACTGTCTATTCCTGCCTCCTCCAGACAAAACTGCAGAAGGCTTCCAGAAACTTTATGGAATTGAAAGAAGTACCTGTCCACATGCCACAGGCCTCAGATCACAGGCTAGTGCCTGGGCTATGGGCCTTCCTTTCTTAGTTTATCCTGCACTAAACAAGACTGTCTGGAATTCATTCTTTAAAGGTTTATTTATGGTACATAGAGAGTGTTTATGTGGAGCAGGGTATTTGCCCATTTCCCTCTTGGGACAGTGTTTAAAACTACAGGGATATTTCCCTCTCTGGCACTTTCTGAAATACAATTAACAATACTGGATCTTTTTTCCTTTTAACAAATCTGGTTTTTATTTAGGGAGGGGAGGAAAAAAGTAAAGGGTCTGAAGTTTCCCAACAAATTATTTCAAGCCTCTGAGAAGACGGTTTTAGGCTTTTTAAATAGTGTCTTTGTCTGAAATCCCCCCTTACCCCCACCCTCTTGCTCTGACCATTAAAATGTGGGTTTTCTTCCAAACTAGATTGCTCAATTAAAGCCCTTCTTTTGTAATACCCCACTGCTCTAAATGGGAAAAGGACTGCTGTAGGCCACCTTGTGAAACCTTTTAAAGGCTCCTGGCCTCCTTTGATCTTTAAAAAAACCGAAAGCACATATAAACTACCTGGCATTTTCAATGTTTCTCTGCTAGTCTCTAACACGCAAACTTGGGAGGATAATGGAGAGCATGGGGGAGGGGAGGAATGCCGTGCTTTCGTCTCCACATTTGTGAAATGGAACCATTATCTCCCCCTTCTTCCATCACACAGTAAGGAAACCAATTGAGATAGCAGATGTGAAACTGCTTTGAGTCCTTCTGAACAGACACTCTATCTGGCAATAAGTACCCTCAGTGTAAACCTGAAGAGACTTTGCTCGGAGATTTCTGACAGCCTCACTTCGGGCCTAGAGTCAAGGGAATCAAGACAATTATTCCTTCAATACCAAAGACATGGTTACCTTTTAGTCAGACTCTTGTGATTCCTGTTCCGGGCCAGGACTCCATCTCCTAAGCACATACTTCTAGCCATTATACATTCCTCTTAAAGAGCACACTGCTCTTCCTAAGAGCTCCTAATAAAGGGATATTACTCTGTTAGAAAACTCTCTGAATAAATGACATTATTTTATAAGTCCCAGACTCCACTAGGAGAACTCAAGACACAGTAAAACGGTGACTTCCACAAGCTGAGAATTTAACTCTGAAGTCCCAATTCCCAGTACCCTCCTTGAAACATTAACGTACCCCACTCAAGGTGCTCCCCAACTCACACCTCATAACATGACTGCTTCCCTGAATTTGTTTAACAAGCATTTGAAAAATGCCTTGAAAATGTTCTTCCGACATAGTGCCAAGTGAAACATTCAACTTAAACGATTTCCAGTTTACTGTATGCAGAGCGAACATGCCAGCATCAATGTCAAAGAACCGGGGCTGGGGCTGCTGCAACTGTAGGAAATCACACTGCATTTGTCAGTCTGGGGGAAGCTTTTCTGCTGGGAGCCATTTGAAAGGAATAGTTAGGTGTCAGTGTTTCTTAGGAAGATGATTTAAAAAACAAGAAGTCCTTAACTCTCAGGAAATGCTTAACATTGGTTTGTTGGGCGAGTGCCAAGTGTTCTGGGGAATATTATACTTTATCAAGCAAACCCATTCCAAAGGGTCACAGAAGTCAAGTGGATACTTGTGGATATTAGCAAGATAGTGGTTTTCCCATGGTTTTCCCCCCACTCCCATGGTAATTATAAGTATCGACTGTCTCCTGGGAAACATGAAATTAAAGCAAATTAAGCAGACAGGACAGCCTGACGAGATGGGCACACTGCACTGTTCTCAGGAAGCCGCAGGGGCAATTACCACTCCCCTGGACCTGACCAGCACTCCAGCTGCTCATCCCCAGTTTGCCGCCTTAATGAAGCGGTCATCCTTGCCCTGTCCTTACCCAAATGCACTGATGTTGCCCAGACTACCGTCTCATTACCTATCAGTCTATCTTAGAGCCTGTGAGTTGGCAAACCATGGACCACATGAGGCCCACACATGTGTTTTGTTAGGCCCACAAGGTTTAAACAAAACAAAACAAAACAAAACTCAAATTGGTTGCCAATGTTTAAAAACCAGGAGATTCCACATAAAAATCCAGATTTCCGGCTTCACTTAAAAATCTGAAGATCTGGCAACACTGGGTTCACGTTCCCCCATGACAACAATTGGCTGGACCTGAGCTGCGGCTGCCCCCTTCAGATGAGTGCTCACACTCCGTGTGCCACAGTCCCCGCTGTGCGGGTTCACCTACTTGCATCGCCAGCACAGTCCCTGCAAGCATCCGAATTTGGGACTCCTGGTTTATTACTTATTTGTTTATGTCTGTAGCTATTCCTGCTCAGAAAGAGAGACCATTTTGCAGCATCTTAAAGGAGGCAGCACGAGACAGTGGAAAAGTCTTAGACTGGTGGTTAGTGGGGAGATGGGTGCCTTGATAACCATCTTCAAGTGCAACAGAAGAACCAGAAGTGATGGGGGCAAGCTGTAGAGGCAGATATAGATTCAACCTAAGGAAAGGTTTTCCAACAATCTCCTGGGCTCTGTTCCTGCTCCTATCACTACCTATCTACACTGGCTTAAGTAACAAACACCCTGAACTCCAATATCCTTGTCCTTTGAGCAAGGGGATCACTGAAAACTCTTACAGCGCTAAAATTCTCTGATTCCTTATGTTTTAGGGGGCAGCACAGTACAGGGGAAAAACATGCTGCCGACTTTAGAGTCACGTAGGCTAGGATTTGAATGCCAGCTCCATCCTTACTTACAAAATGTTACTGCAAAAAATGAAGAGGGTATTCAGGCTGCATCTGTCAAGTGCCTATCAGGACGACCCGCAGGAGTGTTCCATCCAGATACAGTGGTAGGTGAGGGCATATCTCACTGGGTATGCGGCCGCGTCTTCCTTGAAGGTTGTAGACGTTTCTAGCGTCAACCATTCGAGAAGAGGTGGCTACTTGGAGAGGAGGAGAGAACTAGGAGGGCAGGCAGGCCTTGGACACGAAAGGAAGGTCCTGTCTTGGCTGTAGCTTTTCTCTTGGGTCTGAGAGTGGGCCCGTAAAAGGAGGCTTGCACCTCACTGAGATGAGCCAAGAGCCGAGCAGAAGGCAGGTGGGCTTCATCTAATTCTCTGTGTTTACTCTTTTGCTCCTCTTTAATCTTTAGCAAAGTCATACTTAAACATTAAAAGCAAGCAAGCAAGAAATATATATATATATGAGTCAATCAAACATCTAAAGACAGAAACCTGAAAAAATATCTGCTACAAACGACAATGCAGGACAGAAAAAGCAAACGGTAAACACTCTCATTCTCTTCCAAGGAAAAGTCACTTCTTAAGACTGATCTAGATATCAACTCACCTTAAGATCCAACGGTAGCTTGTTGGAGGTGAACACACTTAGCTTGATCTGGGGAATGCTGATTTTGAGATTTTCAAAGTAGTAGCGAATCAGTGTTCCACCTTGCTCAACTGTCTTTTCATGGAGGTTTTCATCATATTTTTCCACCTCTGGCACACAGACAGAATCATATTTTTAAAAAATGAATCTCCTGAAGTCTCATGATTCAAATACTAGCATTCACATTTTAAAAAATTCATAGAAAAATGGAAACATCTCTCTCTCTAAATTTAGTTTTTCAGGGTTCAGTAATATGTACAGAATCCTGATGCTGTTTCTGTGTAAGAGCAGATCTGTTTCATGTTGTTTAACAAAAAAGTACAATAGCTTAATCTTTTGATTTGTGACTCTATACCATCTGGCAGATATCATCTTTGGAAAAAATAATCCAGGTGGGAAAGCCAAAGGCCACGGGTGTGTTTGCTGGCAATGAGTTTTCTAGAAACTGTGTTGTTGTTGTTATTATTATTAATGACCCAGATAATCTGAATTTATTTCATAAGACAATATCCAAATAAGTACTTGGAGTATAGTTTAACCGAATCATAATGAACAATGTGACCAATTAAATAACGAATATGAATGAAATATAAGACCTTAAAAAGAAACAGGCTGCAGGCTATAAAGAACTGACGTCACAAGAAGCACTCTTTCTCCCAAATGGTGGACATCCCTTTAAGTGGCACAGTTGAGGCAGATTTTTGACTTGTTATATCTCATGAAGTAAAAGGTTAACATGGGCTAAAACACAGCAAGGTGCTCTTCGTACTCAATGCTGCACCCACACCCAGGTGGGCAGCTTATTTCCACTTGGCTTCATGTGCCTTAGAAATAAAACCAAGAGATTGTACACATCTACTTATCAAACAAATTTATAGTGTTAACTATTATCAGTTCTATTTGAAGAAAAAAAAGGAAATAGGTAAAAAAAAGAAATACTACAACAGAGACTTGCTTATCTGTATTTAGGGAACGGAAATAGCTGTAGAAAGCAAAGGAGATGCTCCAATGAAAGGCAGGCAAGCATTTTACACAAGTGTAAATCAACTATACAATGCTTAAGGAGAAATTTGTTCAGAGTAACTTACAAGAAAAGCAGGTCCACTTAAATTTAAAGTAAAACTTCCCAGGAAGGTACCAAAAGAGAACAGATACCTGGCAGGCAGGCTCTCCAGCGGCTGTCTGAACACAAACACACACTGGTGTCTGACCCAAAGTGGAAAAGCAGCATTAGATAGACAGGATCTGGCTTTTGATCCCAAATACACTTAAAGCTTAAATTCTAAGTTCAGGATAAAAAGAGCAAAAAGCTGCTTCTTGCATTGTGTGTATGTATGTACATATGTACACACGTCCCCAGTCATTTTGTTTTCTCTAGCCAACGTGGGCAGATAAACATGAAAGTCTCTATCTTATCATTTCTTCAGGCTCAACACTTAGTTTAGGCTTCAAAAGACTAAGCGTTACTGGCTTCTTTCTAAGCTGTATATACAGTCTTGCAAAGGCCACGATGAGGAATCTAAAATAAAGAGACAATAGCTAAATTACTTCCGCAGCACTGCTGGAAAAGGCAGGCTTTTCAACAGCTTATCTTACCCTCTCTCCAAAGAGGAGTAAACTAACTAGAAACCTTTGTAATTACATTAAGGCACAAAGGTATGGATGTAAAAAGTTAAGCACTTGAGGCTAGCCTATGTTTTTCCCTCCAGCAAACCAAAGGAACTGCCGAAGGGATTTCTGATTCTTGGCCCTGAGTCTGTTTCACAAACAAAAGTTAGGAAACAAAGTAGTTTGCTAAATGACTAACATCATTTCTGTTATCCTAGAGCAGATGAGTTAAAAAATGCAAAAGAAAGAGGAATGGCATATTGCTTCCCTAAGGCTTACCACTAGGCATTCTAGGACACCAGAAGACCCTCAGAGCAGCTTCCTGTACACAAGGACATACCTCGAATTCTGCCAACAAGCAATACTTTGAAAGAGGACCACTGAACACAAACCTTAGCTTTCTAGCTCAAGCTGAGAGGTGGAAATGGAGCTCATCAGGCATCCAGAAGCTACCTATTTTCACAAGGAGACCAAAAGATGTCATCCTTGGGCCATTTCCTAGATAGAAAGCTAGAACATTCAACATTACCTGATTCTGCTTGATCATAGCCAAAGAAACTTAGCAGCTTGAGGAGCAGTTTCTCTTCAATTTGCACTGTGAATCTCTGAGCTGTGATCATCAGATGCTAGAGATAAAGAAATTCTGATTTACAGTGTGAACACCAGAAAGAATTTTCTTCTGTGCCATTGAGAAGGCCAAAATGACATGACACGGTTTCTTCAGTGATTTTATAATCATATGCCAAGTTATTTCTGGCTTCTCTCTCTCTACATTGTCACAATTAACCAAAAATTCCAGAAGATGTTTAGTAGACAATTCACCATCCTACTGTTTGGTTCTCATGGTATCTGTGTCTCATTAGTCAGGATTTCAGATGCAGTGTGGTGGATGAACTCTACCGTACTGAGCTCACATGGACGGCAGCTCATTGAAGGAGCAGCAGGACTGGGCTTGTGGATTTGTGGGCCACATGCAGGCTTGGCCCGATCAGCATTGGTGACAAAGGACCAGAAATATGGGAAGCAACTGCTTAGTCAGCTCCTGCTTTTCCAGAATCTGCTGCTGTAATAGCTAGCTTTGTACATGGAGACTTCTCCACAAAAGAAAGTTTATCACTTTTGAATGACTGCTTTTAGTAAGCAATGTGGCAGCTTACACAGAAGGATGTCAGTCCCAAGATTAGACCCCCTCCTCCCTCTTTTCTAACAGTCTCTGGATTACTCTTAGTAACGTATCTGGATCATGCCTGGTCCTGATCAACCTAGGAGATGCCCTACTTTCCTACAGAGACTTCACTCTGATGAATACAGACTCTGGCCCCTGTGGATTCCATACTATCAGCAGCAAGGTCATCAAAAACACAGCTGAGAATACAAAGTGCCAAGAGGAGTCCCTGTTGGCTCCTCTACACAGTCTTATGTCACTTGTGCCTTAACCCCACAGGACTACTTCCCTGCGCATCCTGCACTGCTGCTCTGAGACTTGGCTGTGAGAAAACAAACCGACCTCCTGGCAAGGTGTCGCCCCCCAGCCTCCCCACCCCGAGCCTACCTTGTAGATATTGGTCAGCGCACTCTTACTGGGGAACTTCACCGCGTTCACCTGCACGGCAGGGCCCGTCTCGATGACCTCATTCTCAGTGCTCAGGGGAGTCACGTAGAGCATGAAGGGCTGAGTGGTACCAATGAGCTGATTGTCCACCTAGGACACACAAAAGCAGCAAAACAAAAATAAACACAGACAAGTTGCTCAGTTGTCATTTTTACCTTTGAGTGGGGTCTCAATAATATGCAGGTCACTCAGAAAGTACCCTTGCTATTTTATTCTATCTCAACAGCAGCTGGAAAAATATATTCTCACTAAAGACCAACGATAATAACAGTAGTAGTAGTAATAATAACAGAAGCTGGACTTTATTTGGTGAGTGCTATGTGCCAAGCACCACACTAGTCACCTCATATGCATCACCTGGAGTCACGTGACACCTACCCTGTCGGAGTTAGTAAACCAAGGGCTCCACTGCGATCCTTACCACAGCCTCCTGAGGAATATCACTGTCCTTATGACACAGATGAAGGAGCTGGGGAGGGCGGCCCTTGCGTAAGATCATACAGCTAGTCACGACGGAAGTAAAACTTGAATCCAGGTCTGTCTGACCCTAAAGCTAACGCTCTTAACCCCTACGTTATCGATGCTTCTCTCACTCTAAATTCCTTGACATAAGAAAATTAAAACTAGAAAATCAGTAGCAAATGGCTACCAAATAGGCATAGTTGCCTATCGTAAAGTCAACTCCCTTCTAGGACTGAAAGGATGACCTCAGTAGCATTAGGAAATGCTGACCCAGCCCCGATCTGCACCACAACTGAGAACACACTGTCCACACTCAGAGACGTCTATGAAAGCCAGGAGGCTCCCCACAGGAAGCCCCATCTCCACTTTCTGTTTTATACCCAAGGTCCTTGCTAGGAAGAGAAAGGAGGAGAGAACACGCTGGGAACCCCTAAGTGTGCTTTCTCCACATCACCTAACATATCCCTTACGACAGCCCGAAGACTAAGGATTATTCCTCCCCATTTTACAAACAAGTAAACAGAAGCTTAGAGAGGCCAAACCGCTTGTCCACATTCACAGAGCTAGTAAGTGGAAGAGTTGGGATTCAAATACAAGTGTTTCTGGCACCAAACCCTCTGACCTTTCCAGTACGTCACACGGGTTTCCACAGAGCCATTTTGCATAATCACTTCTGACTCTCCTTCTGCGGGCCCTCAAAGTGCAGGGATAAGGGTGAGAGACCTGGAGCACTTTTTCCTACTTCCATTCTTGCCTCCCAACAATGTACTCTCTATACAGCAGCCAAAGTAATCTTTCAAAAATACAAATCAGGGGCCGGCCTGGTGGCAGAGTGGTTAAGTTTGTGCACTCCGCTCAGCAGCCCAGGCTTCGTGGGTCAGGATCCCGGGCACGGACCTGAACACCAGTCATCAAGCCACGCTGTGGCAGCATCCCATAAACAGAGTAGAGGAGGATGGGCATTGGCATAGATGTTGGCTTGGGGCCAATCTTCCTCACCAAAAAACTCCCCCAAAAACAAAAAAAGGAATCAGGTCATGTCCCTCCTTCCTTTACATCCTCCAGTAGCTTCCCCTTCTCTTAGGATAAAACCAAACTTCTCATTACAGCCCCCAAGGCCTGGACGATCTGGATACTGACTGCTTCTCCAGCTTCACCACATACCACTCTCCTCCAGGCTCACTATGATCCACACAGGAGCCTCTCAGTTCTGCTCAGTGTGGGCAATCCTCCCCTCTCCCAGAGCCCCTGAACTCTCCGGGAGCGATTTTTCCCCCAGCGCCCTTCTCTATGGTTTGCTCATCTCCTCCACGTTCAGCTCAGCTCACTCTCACCTCCTCAGGAAGATCTTCCCAGGCCACTTTATCCAAAGCAGCACCATCCCTCTTCATTCTTTCATAGCAATTATCACAGGTTGTAATTATTTATATGCTCGTGTGCTCACTTACGGGCTGACCTCTTCCCTAGGCTGTTAGCTCAAAGAGAGCAGAAACCTCATCTTTTGCGTCATGGTTGGCTCTCCAGAGCCCAGGGCCATGCTGGGCACACAGCTGATGCTCAGTAAGAATTTACTGAGTGAATGAATCACCTGTCACATCCAATAGATGAAATGAAAATAAGGTCTCACCTTACTCTGACCTCTCCTTTGTTCTTTCCCCAAACACATTTGACACAAGGTGAACTGACTGAGAATTACTAATTCTAGTTTTATTCTCCCAATTAGATTATATGCTCCTTAAGGATAGGACTATATTTTATTTTTTTTTAACATTCTTTCTCATAGCACTGTAATCATGGTAAACTCTCAAATCTATTTTCTAAGATTTATAGCACATATTAAATCAAGAGGTATTATAATGAAAAATTTTTTTAATTAAAGTAAAAAGTTAATGAAATCAATGAATAGCAAATTCATTGGATCTTCTCTGTAAGGTTAAAAAAAGATAGACAAAGAAATATAGGTACGAGATATTAACTTTCTATCTGTCCTCAAAGAAACGGATTGTGATTAACTCTTTGCTATTTATGATACATGAGAAAAGAAAAAATTCTTCTGAAAAGGGGTTTTGGCATGGATGGAAGTCCATGAAGTGAGTGGAGCCCCCGTCAGGGGAACACACTGCACCCTCCCAGGAGGAACGCGGCTGTCCATCAGGGGAGAGACCACAGTCTAGTCTGGCTCCTTCTTTTGGAAATGTTTACAGAAACTGGTTTTCCGGACATTTCAATCTTGGTGGAGGTTGGAAAGGAGAAGGTTCCAAGTATGATGTTACAAAGAGATGGAGGAGTTGTCCCAACAGCACGACAACACAACTCCAGCAAAAATTGTCAAAATTAACTTTTCCAGAACTCAGAAAGTTCATCAAAGGCTTGCCACAATCCAGGGATGATTTACTTGAGAAAATTAGCTGAAGTTCAGCAAGGACAGTGAGCTCTGTGCCATTTCCTCTGTTCCTACTCCCACTCCCGCTCCCCAGCTCCACAGCAGCCTCGAAAACCAACAGCCCTCCAACCTGGTGAAGACACAGCAGCTGGCAGCCAGAGGAGGGGCCTGCGCAAGTGCGTGGGTCACCAGAGGCCCCTCCCAGAGAAGTGTCGTTTCTTGGCTTGTCTGGCACCTCTCCCTCTCCTGATATTGGTAATTTGTGTCTTCTCTTTTTTTCTCCTGATCAGACTCATTACAGGTTTATTAATTTTTCACTCTTCTCAAAGAACCAGCTTTTGATTTCTCTACTGTAGTTGCTGGTTTCTATTTCATTGATTTCTTTTTTTTTTTGAGGAAGATTAGCCCTGAGCTAACTACTGCCAATCCTCCTCTTTTTTGCTGAGGAAGACTGGCCCTGAGCTCTCATCCATGCCCACCTTCCTCTACTTTATACGTGGGACGCCTACCACAGCATGGCTTGCCAAGCAGTGCCACGTCCAGACCCGGGATCCAAACTGGCAAACCCTGGGCCGCCAAGAAGCAGAACGTGCGCACTTAACCGCTGCACCACCGGGCCAGCCCCTCACTGATTTCTTTATTATTTCCTTTGTTTCAGTTATTTTGGGTTTAATCTGTTTTTTTTTTTTTTTTTGAGTTTTTAAAGATGATACCTGAGTTCACTGTTTTGAGAACTTTCTCCTTTTCTAATGAAAAATATTTAGTGCTACAAATTTCCCACCAGTACACTTTTAGTGGCATTCCACAAATTCTGATATGTTGTGTTTTCATCTTCTTTCAGCTCAAAATACTTTAATTTCTGTTTTGATATCTTCTTTGATCTGTGTTATTTAGAAGTGCATTATTTAGTTTTCAGATATTTGGGGTATTTTCCCAACCGTCTTTCTGTTATTTCTACTTTAATTCCATTGTGGTCAGAGGACATACTGGTGTGACCTGAACCCTTTTGCACTCGTTGAGAACTATCCTATGGTCCAGAATGTGGTCTGTCTTGGAAGTGTTTCATGTGCCCTTGAGGAGAGTGTGTTTGCTGCTGTTGCTAGGGGGAGTGCTCTATACATGTCAACGAGGTCTAGCTGGTGGACAGTGCTGTTCAAGTCTAGTCTATCTTAGCTGATTTGCTGGTTATTGGTTTTTACCAATTATTCAGAGAGTGGTATTAAAATCTTCTATTCTAATTGTGCATTTGTCTATTTCTTCTTCCAAGGCTATCAGTTTTTGCTTCATAAATTTTGAAGCTCTATGATTAGCTGTACAAACATTCAGGATTGTTATATTCTCTTGATTACTTAAATTTTATCACTAGGAAATTATCTTCCTTATCCCTGCTTATATGCTTTGCTCTGTAATCTATTCTGTTTGATATTAATCCAACCACTCCCACTTTCTTACGACTAGTGTTAGCACAGTGTATCTTTCCCTACTTTTTTCCTTTTAACCTAGCTGTGTCTTCATATTTAATGTGTGTTTCTTGTAGGCAGCACATAATTGGGTCTTGCTTTTTTATCTAAACTGATAATCTCTGCCTTTTAACTGGAGGTATGTATAGCATTTACATTTACTTAATTGATATAGTTAGGTTTGAATGATTCTATCTTGCTATTTGTTTTCTATTTGTCTCATCTGTTCTTTTCCACATTTTCCTCTTTTTCTGCTTCCTCTTGGATTAATCAAGTTTTTCTGGTCTTTTTTTTGCTGAGGAAGATTCACCCTGAACTGACATCTGTTACCAATCTTCCTCTATTTTGTATGTGAGCTGCCGCCACAGCATGGCCACTGATAGACGAGTGGTATAGGTCCACGCCTGGGAACTGAACCCGGGTTGCTGAAGCAGAGCATGCCAAACTTAACCACTGGGCCACCAAGGCTGGCTCAATCAAGTATTTTTCATGATTCTATTTTATCTTTGATAGATTATCAGTCACAACTCTTTTTTTTGTCACTTTGGTGGTTGCTTTAGGGTTTATAGTATTCATCTTTAACTTAGTCTACATTCAAATGACATCATACTATTTCATGTATAAGAAAATTACAGTAATATACTGCCAGTTCTCCCCTTCCAGACTTTATGCTATTGTTGTCATGCATTTTACTCTGACATGTTATAGACCCCAAAACACAGTGTTATTATTTTTGTCTAAACAGTTATCTCTTAAAGAAATCTAATAATATAATATAAGAAAATAATGTTATATACAATCATGCACTGCATAACAACGTTTCAGTCAACAACAGACCACATATACAATGGTGGGCCCTTAAGATTAGTACCATGTAGCCCAGGTGTGTAGCAGGCTATATCATCTAGGTTTGTGTAAGTACACTCTGTGATGTTCACACAATGATGAAATTGCCTAATGACACATTTCTCAGAACACATTCCCATAGTTAAGCATTGCACGACTGTATTTACCCAAGTAGTCACCATTTCAGGTGCTCTTCGTTCCTTTTTGTAGATCCAGATTTCCTCTGGTACCATTTCCTTCTGTCCTAACAATTTTTTTCATACAGATCTGCTGATGATAAACTTTTTTAGCTCTTATGTGTCTACAAACATCTTTATTTTCCCTTGTTTTTGAAATATGTATGTGCTAGGCATGGAATTCTAGGTTGAAGTGGGTTTTTTCCCTTTGGTACTTTAAAGATGCTGCTTACTGTCTTCTTACTTGCACTGTTCCCAGTGAGAAATTGGCTGTCATTCTCACCTTTGTTCCTTGCACGTAACATGTCTTTTCTATTCTGGCTGCTTTATTACTACTTTTCAATAATTTGATTATGATGTGCCTTGGTGTAGTTTCCTTCCACTGAGTGCGTGTACATGCGTGCACATGCTAAAATTTCTTCAAATATTTCTTCTGTCCTCATTGTCCTCTCCTTTGGGGACTCCAACTATTCATATATTAGGTTGCTTGAAACTGTCCCATAGGTCATCGATATTGTCTTCTTTGTGTGCTTGATGAAGACTGTCGCTGAGTTAACATCTGTGCCAGTCTTCCTCTATTTTGTGTGTGGGTCACCTCCACAGCATGGCTTGCTGAGCAGTGTGTAGGTCCACACCTGGGATCCAAACCTGTGAATCCCGGCCCACCAAAGCAGAGCATGCGAATTTAACCACTAAGCCACTGAGCCAGCTCTTCTTTTTTCTGGATTATTTTTTCTCCATGTATTTCAGTTTGGACAGTTTCTACTCCTATGTCTTCAAGCTCATTAATCTTTTTTTCTGCACTGTGTCATCCGTTGTTAATCCCATCCATTGTATTTTTCATTTCATTTTAATCTCCAGAAGTCTGATTTGAGTTTTTTATATCTTCCACGTCTCAATTTTTGAAATGTGTAGAATACAGCTATAACAACAGCTGAAATGTGTGTCTGTGAAAATTCTCACACCTGTGTTAGCTCTGGGTCAGTTTTGACTGATTGCCCTCCTCATTATATGTTGTGTTTTCCTGCCCCTTTGCACACCTGGTAATTTCTGATAGGTTCCCAAGCATCTAGCATGTTGTCAGGTGTTGATATTTTGTATTTTGTATCTAGCACGTTGTCAGGTGCTCCATATTTTGTATTCCATTAAATGCTGAGCTTTGCTCAGGGATAGAGCTGACTCACTTGGAAACAGACTGGTCCTTCCAGAACTTCCTTTCATGATCTGTTAGGTAGGTCTGGAGCAGTGCTCAGCCTCGGGCTAATTATACCTCACATGGAGGCAAGACTTTCTGGAGGACTCTTCCCAGTGTCTCATACATTGTTGGTTTTTCCAGTCTGCCTGGGGGGATCAAGCACCATTCCCAGTGGTGGGTAAGCAGTAGGCTCTGTCCCTCTGGCCCTTTCAGATGGTTTGGATGGTAGTTTCCTCACACACATCACTGATCCATCCTCTGTTAAATACTCACTGGGCCTCTCTGGGGATCTCCTGATTTTCTTCCTGTGCAGCTCTCTCCTCCCAGGTAGAGAGTCCTAGGAACCCTAGATGCCTTGGTCTCCGTGACTCTCAGTTCTCGGCTCTGTCTCAGTCTCCCCGCCCAGTAGCATGGCCTGGAAAGTTGCTCAAGGTAGTAAGCTGGGGCAATTGCAGGGCTCACCTCTTTTGTTTCCCACCTCTTGGGGGTCACTGTCCTTCACTGTCCGATGTCCAGTGGCTTGACACTATTATCTCATTTCATCTGAATTTTAGGGTTTTTCACGTAGGAGAGTAAATCCGGTCCCTGTTACTGGTCCAGTTCCCTTATTTCTTCTCCACATGATAAATTTCAATTCCTCTAAATGATGGTTAGATGATTTCCTATTGTTTCTTCTGTTGGCAAGATGGGGAACCACGGGTCCCCTTCCTCCATGCCACCTTGACTAAGTTATCTAAATTACTGATGGACTAGCTACTATATTCAGAATTCTACTATAGAAAAATTAGTGAGACAAATGTAGGTAGAAATAATTATTTTCACAGAATGATTTTTTGAAGACCACATGATATTTCTGCCAAAGTATTAAAGTTTTTAGAACACCAAACACTGGATCTGACTGGATGTTCAGCAAGAAGTCAAGGAGATTAATGAGTTCTGAACACCCCCCCTTACCTGTACATCCTGTATGCTGAGTTCAAGCATATGACTGGTTGCCAGCTGTGTATAGTGCACATTGATTCCTGTGAGACTTGCAAAGACCAGTTCTTCTGGGACTTTATTAATTAAGGACAACCCAATTCCACCTTCTAACTTCACAAGCACCTGAAAGGAAACCAAAATATGGCAGGCTGACAGGTTAAAACAGAGCTCAAGGTAGCCAGGAGAGTGCAAGGAAGTAAACGGCTTTAAATCCCGCCACTCTGTGTCTCTGGGCAGGTGAAAACCTCGGAGGAGAGTTGTATTACCCACCTGGATGGCTCAAAAGCCTGTCTCACTAGAAGCCCTTCTCTCCGGGCCCACTCACCACCCCAACCAGAACTCCAGGGCGCTATGATGACACCTCCACCAGAACACTGATGACATTCTGCATTTCCTTACAGGAATGTAACTGTTTGAGAATCTTTCTCCCTATTTGGGATGCAAGTTCTTAATAGGTTATTCACCGAACTTCCATACATCCAACACAGTGCTTTATATACAGAAATTTGATGTTTTTTAAATCACTGAATAAACATCAAATAAGTATGTGTTTCATATTCATCTCATCTTCCTTTTTAAACTTTTCACTTTCTTCCCAATGCCCAAACAGGGAGAGGGGAAGGAAGATATCAGAGTCAACTGGGCCCAAAAAAAAATCTAGCTTGCTTATTCTTGACCTTAAGTCCTCTTTAAATTCAAATACTTTAGCTTTCTTTATTGTCATCTTACTTTAGCAACATTTGTTACATTCTGATTCCACTTGAGCCATCATTTCTATAACATTCACACATTCATGCTGTGAAAACAGTAAACACTGTGAAGCAATACCTATATTTAGAATTCATACAGAGCAGAAAGAAAAGAGGTCTAACCTGAGAAAATCACACAGCAAAATTCTAAAGAAATTGACAATCAAAGAAATGAACTTAAGATTATTTAAAACTTACTTCCAATTCCTGCTCTGTATCTGGATTCTTTAATTTCTGCAGCTCTTGTTCAGTAACAGGAAGTTCATCCACTTCATATGATGAACGGTCACTTTTCCGTTGGGAGAAATCTGTTATCTGAAGTCAAATGAAACACTGTATGTACTAGGGCTCACACTTCCATAGTGAAACTCATTCCATAACAATGGTGCAGGTCAAAAGTCACTCTGTGCCCAGGAATCCTATGGAAGTTAGTGGTTTCCAAACCAGTGCTAAGGGGAGATTTATGTGACCCCGAGGCAAACTTGGTTTTAAGTCTGGACAGCAAACGCGAAGCTGCAGACCCTGAGAACCTCACACAATGGGGTGCGGCATCGACAGGTGATCTAGAATTACACTCAAGTCAAAATACACAGACCTCAGGATCACTGCGTTCAACTTCTGCCTCACACGAAGGATACTTTTAAAGAGGCATCGTGGATTATGGCATACTATCTCAGAGGTCACTGCTGCATACCAACATCTTTCCTTTGTCCTTAGCTCTCTAATTACATTACGACCTGACAGATCCTTATCTCCAGCACAGATCTCTCCTGAGCTTCAGGCCAATATTTACACTGACTTCTAGACATCTTCATGTAGACATCATACACTTAACAAGTCCAAAACTTAAGTAATTTCCCCCAGAAGTCTGCTCTGTGTTCGTCTCTTAATGATGTGGATTATCGTCCTCCGAGGTGCCCAAATCAGAATCTTGAAGGCCATTCTTGACTCCTTTCTCTCTCTCATCCCCACATTCAATCGATCACTCAATCGGACCAGACTCTGCCTCTAAATGAGCTTTCATTTCTGTTCATTTCTCTCCAAACCCGTCCAGCCCGCCCAGGGCCGTTTACTCTAAACCAGGCCACCATGACCTCATCTAGACGACTGCAGGGGCGTCCTAAAGGGCCTTCCTGTATCTCCAGTCTCCTTTCACTTCAGTTCCCCACGTTGCAGCCAGAGCGAGCGATCTAAAATAAATTTCTGATCATGTCATTTCCTGACTACTTGTTGCTGTACAAAACCCACAAAATTTCAGCAAGTATCAGGCTTTTAATGATCTGGCCCCTGCTTCTGTCTCCACTCTTATTTCTTAACACATTCTATGTGTCAGTGGGTCATTCTCTTTTATCTCCGGCCTTCACTTATCAACTTCCCAAATACCATACAATTTATTTATGTAAATTATTGCTTCTTGTTTGTCTACCCCACTAGAACGTAAGCTCCAAGGAGGCAGGCAATTTTATCTGTTTGTTCACTGGTATACGCTCAGTACGTGGAACGATGCCTGGCTCCAATGGTGCTCAGTAAATAACTGGTAAGTGAGCACTCCCATGATGAGCACGCAGTGCCTCTGCCCTTCCCTCTCTAATTGGCTAACTCCTTTCGGTTAACCTTGAGATCTCTTTAAACATTACTTCTCTTAGGAAGCCCCTCCAGTCTCCAAATCCAAGAATACCAATCCTTTCTGTATACTCCCCATAACAGAGTCTATCCCACTTTTATAACACAACATTTTAATTGTCTGATTAGGGACCTCATGTATCTTTTTGGTGTGAATGTTATTAATATGTCAATTATTTAAATTAATACATTAATATAATGACAACATTGATAACAATAATATGTACTACTCTGGGTGTTATATTCTTTAATTCTAATATTTTATTTTTTATATCATCTTATATTTTACTCACACTTTAATTCTTATAATGACTTTGTGAGGTGGGTCTTATCCCTCGTTCTATGAGTGAGGACACCATATCCTAATGTCCAGCACAATTATTTCAATAAATATTTGTTGAATGACTGACCACTGCAGGAGGCGGGGCTACACTGAGAGTCACGTCAGTTCTTCTATAAATTATCACCTGGAGTGCTCTAGTTGGTCCATCTGGGATGACTCGGATGGATAACATTCCAGAACCAGGCCTCATCTTTTGGTTAATAAATTGTTGTTCGGGTGGAACTGGCCCCAAAAGCTCCATGGAAGTGTCGGGACCAAGAACAACTTCAGCTCCATCAAACAGACCAGAAAGCCCTCCTTTGGCCTGAAGGACAGAGTAAAGACGTGTAAGAAAAGGCAAAAGCAAATGCACTGACTTTGACAATCTAACATGTCATTTGAAACAAGTCACCAAATTTAAATTCTCTTTTGAAGGGTCATGGTCAATGCACAGCAGAGTATTTACTATTTTTTCACCTTTAGAGATGATGAAAAACAGTAGGCTTACTTGGGGAAGATGGAAATTATGCTATATGAATTTAGGGAATCATGAGTAAGATAATTCCATGAATAGAATATATTGGTTTAGTAATAACTTCTAGCTAATAAAATAAGCTTTAAAAAAAAGTACCCAAAGTCCTGTTTGTCTCAGTATTCTCATTAAAGTTTGCTTAAAAATCTGAAACAATCTGAAAATAAGGTAATTATTACTACCACTCAGCCTTCCAATAAGAAGAAAATTCTAGAGTTGAGAACCTCCCTAAACAGGCCTATGGCTGGGCAATCAACTCAAATATGCAAAAGACAGAGTCTCTTGGAAAACGAAATAGGGAGCTAGGAATGTCACCTTAAGCCTAGTTCTTCAGGCCTTTGGAGAAAAGCACCTTCCTGCTATGTGCCCCAAGTAAACTGGAGTCTACAGGATGATGCTTGTGAGAGAGCAACTACAGGGCTAGAGAAAACAACGGCTAGAGTGTCTAGGTCTCCTTTGCTCATTTTTAAATACTTAGTGATGAGTAATGAAAAGGAAACTCTGAGCTGGGTTTATAGGGCAGGTTTCAACACGGAGAAAGCTTTTTATGACTGTTGTAAGTTTAGAAAGAAAGTGCACACACAACCTTATAAGGGCAGTGTCGGAAAATGTTTTAATGCTTTCAATTACTTTATTCGGAATAATAAGATTAAAGCAAGCTTATTTCCCTAACGAAAACACATTCTACTCTGCTGAACACTACTGTTATTATGGGGTCATTCACAAGCAGAGAAATGACTAAATAGATTCAGGGAACAACAAACACCACAAAGGGGAAAATGCTCCAAGAGAATCGGAATTACATGGGCTTTAGAAACAAACCAGAAGTAAAGTTAGGGTCAGACACAGAACCCACCAATTACTACAAGCCTTCTTTTGCCTGTAGAAGTCTGAATTGTATTGCTAATTGAAAATCGCAAATCCATTCCAGATGTGTGCTTCACATAAGTAAGCAGCTTGTCTTTGATGAAAAAAGCTCAGGGCAACAGAGATAAAGAAAATAAATCTCAGCAAATAGCAGTCAGAGGCTCCTTACAGTTTTGTACATTGCCCTGGCGAACAATCTCCCATCACTGAAGGACAGACTGGTTCCCACCAGGACAGACACAGGAAGAATTCCCTAGCCAGGGCCTGATGTTCTAGTGTTTTACCTTCTGGGTAAAACCTCAGGCTGAGGCAGAAATGCACAGACAATCACCTGTGTTGTTCTGCTATACGCCCAAACCTCTGAGACAACTTCCTACCCACTCATCTCAGATCCATGGTCTCATTCCTGGCCTGAAACCAGAAGGGCAGAAAATCCAAACCCTTGGTAATTTTCCAAATATGTATTTGCTTATTATGGGGTAGACTGGCTGAGTAGACAACAGAGGAAAGTGACCAGTAATCTTCATTCTGACATTTGCTACAGTGATTAAATGCTTATTTGGGCACCACTAAGAATGCAGAAATAAACAAAATCAAGAGCATGTCGAGCCCATGATGATTACTCACCATCTCACAGGACACTTCACAAAAGACTCCTAGCTATTACATTAACTTTATAGGCCTAAAACTCATCCATCTAACTTAGTGGTACGCTTTTAGCTAACATTTTTCTTTCTTTTTTTTGAAAATTACATAGGTAGTTTGCCATCAAATGAAAAAATCAACACCAGCCAACAAAAAAGAATTCTATCACTCAAAGAGGATGGAACCTCTGGGTTCACAATGCGTTTGTTATATATCACCTTCAAGAACACTTCCCAGGTAAATATACACAGATGCACAATAAAAGTTTCTTGACTTTCCTTTAACTAAAATGGAATGATATAATAGATATTTGCTCCATAATTATTTTTTCCCATTTAACAACGTATCACGTATATCCTAATCAAGACTTTGCTTCAAAGAAGGTTTAACTACTGCTTGCTGTACCTGGGGATGTCAAAAACGACTGACCTGGACCACCAGTCCATGTAACCCACATGTCAGTTTTCCTTCTCGAAAATTCCACGTCTGAGTGGTGCTTCGCCTGCGATCAGGCTTTCTCAGCATCAGTGGCTCATATCTGGAAAGGGAAATGCAGTGAGTCCTCTGAGGCAAATATTTCCAGCCTGAAGACAACATCAGAATCATGGTTTTGCTCCTCTTTCTTCCAACATCCTCTGCCCTTAAAGTCTACTGGGCAGTAAGCTTGAATCCTACGGCAGCAAGTATCTCAACGAATAAAGAAGAATAAAACAAAATGAAAATAACAAAAAAGGGACATAGAGTGCTATTAAGACTTTAAAGATTCATAATACAATATAATAATATGGGTTCTTGCATTCTCACAATGACAAGTTATGAGGCAGTATGAGAAGGGCTTTCTGCTAAACATATTTTAAAATCTTTTCAATAGTTCTTTTGCTGTTTTATTTCCAAATTCTTTTATTTTACATTGGGCTTTAACCTGTAAGTCATCTAAAGTCATTCTAGAAGTAAATAAGGTATTAACTGAAAACAAATACACTGATTTTTATGGAGAAACTAAGGCACAGGTAAATAATTTATTCACAGATAAAGGGTTCATCTGAACCCAAGGAGTTAGTCATAAAAGCAGATTTGATTATTCTCTTAATAATTTATTTCTGCTTTGAAAAGATTTAACACAATTCTTAGAAAGATTAAAAATAAGCAACTGTTCACTTCCAGGGAGGAAGGTGGGTGAAACTTTGGGTCAGAGAGACGTTCACCTTTCATAACGTATCCTTATTGTTTGAATTTTTTTAACATCTGCATGGGCATTTCCATAATAACTTAAAAAAATAAAATGAAGCCCCAAAATATTCATATTCAGGAATGTGACAGGTTTCTGTTATTGAAGAAAAATATGAATATAAAAATACAGATTCTTACTTCATTTATGGAACTCTCCCTTTCGGGTATAGATGTCCTCTGAGTCTGAATCTGAAAGCAATGAACTTGAATGAAAAGTTGCCTAGAAAACTACCTGTTGTCCGTTACTGCAGCAAGTCCAGCAATATCTAAGATGGCAGACCCCTCGGCAGAGCGGGCTGCTAGGGGCTTATTGGGGTTGTGAGGCACCGAAGAGCCCTCGTGGGCCAGCATGCCTGTTCCAGTCATCCTCCACAGCTGGGAACGCTTCCCTGGCTCCTGTTGCACAGAGACAGAAAGAGCCATCACGCATAGCCACAGCTTCACATAAGGGCTTCAGGAGCCTCACACAAGGGCTGAACGAGTTCTCAAGTAGGAACTGTCGACACTTAGACATTTTCCCACATTATATAAATGCTTAAACTTTCATTGTTGTCAATCCCTAGATGCACTTAGGATAAAATATGCTAAATTCCTGAACCAAACAATCAAAAATTACAAACAATGTAAATTTAAAAAATGTATTCTTTTCAGGGTCCGGCCCGGTGGCGTAGCGGTTAAGTGCGCACGTTCCGCTTTGGCAGCCTGGGGTTCGCCAGTTCGAATCCCGGGTGCGGACATGGCACCACTTGGCAAGCCATGCTGTGGTAGGCGTCCCACATATAAAGTAGAGGAAGATGGGCATGGATGTTAGCTCAGGGCCAGTCTTCCTCAGCAAAAAGAGGAGGATTGCCGGCAGACGTTAGCTCAGGGCTGACCTTCCTAAAAAAAAAAAATTTATTCTTTTCATATACTTAATATTTTCTGAGCAAGCTAGTCAGTCGAGGTTCAGTCTAATCTCTTCCACTAGCTAGCCATGACAACTGCTGTTCCAGATGGTGACTCTCAGCACCCACACCTTAAAGAGTGATCCAGTTAAACGAATTACATGAATTATATGTGATATTTGCAGTATTTTGTCTTCGGCAATCCTCACTCCTGGCAGACAACCAGAACCTACCAGAGGGCTTCTCCTCTCCCATGTTTATAACGGAAGCATACTATATTGATGGTTTCCAATTTACAAGTTGATTGTATTCAATTATTAAGTTGACTGTGTTCAAAGGTATACTAAGTTGACTGCTGTTAACTCTAAATATATTTTCTCCTCAGGAATATTTTATAAATAGCATTTGGACTTGCAGGTAAATCCATGAGAGTAGATATAATCCATTATATACAAGAAGTAACAATAATAATAATAAAATAATAACATTTATTGAGAATTTACTATGTGCCACCACTGACCCATGGGATTTATATGTGGTAACTCACTTAATACTCAAAAAAACCGAATGAGGTGTATACTATTATTATCTCTTGTCACAGATGAGGAAGTTAAGACTTAGTGAGATGAAGAAATTTCCCCGTAGTCACACAACTAGCAGGTGGCAGAGTGAAGATTTGACTCTCTGCTGCCTGATTCCAGAGCCGACCTGCTTAACTGCTGTGCTACACTGCTTTTCTAACACAACCCTTCAAGTTCCATTCCAGTAACACCTAACCATTTAGAACACTCTTTCTATGGGAGAGTATACTTTAGCTCGACTTGTCAGGACCACATCCCCTCTCACCAGGCAGGAGCTTCTTCAGACACTTCTGGGTACCGCACACTTATCCACATGCTGCCCCTGAGTTGGAAGGACAGCTTCTGCATTATATTTAAAGTAAAAACTAACAAAGTAATATGGATGCTGGAGTCACACCCTAGGATTTGAAACCCAGCTGCACCATTTACTAGCTGAGTGACCTGAGACAAGTTACTAAATCTCTCAGAGCCTTTGTTTCCTGATCTGTCGGGGGGGAAATGAAGCTACCTCTTAGGGTTCTTCTATCAGTGTAACAAATACAAGGCACTCAGCACGTGCTCAGCACAGGGTATGGCCTCCATAGATGTTTGCTACGTCACTATGATTACAACTTTTTACATAGCACTTTATGTACATTATCTTAAGTGACTCTTCTTACAAACCTGGGAGACCAGCAGGAAAACGAGGCTCAGTGACAATGGTGACATAGCAGATATCATACATCTTTAAGTGACAAAGCCAGAACTCAAACCTAGAAAGCTACAATGCTCTCTCGACTGCCTGCCCCCTGCCTCCTGCATCTGTAAAGGGAGAAGAAACTTCTCCACCTGTGGTCCCCACATGCTGACATCTCTGTTCACAGTAAGAGGATATATCCATCCATAGTACCAAAACCACATGGAAAAGCATCTCAATCATCCTGCAGATGTTCCAGACTGGGAACCAAAGCACAGATGCCCAGGTGAAATCAAGTTTTCAAACATGGATTCCTCTACTGCCTACCCATATGGACAGACTCATCAGAGTTGGAAACTACCTCTTAGGGTTCTTGTATCAGTGTAACAAATACAAGATTTTTAATTTCCACTTAAAAATCTGAGATGTACCACTCTCCTTCCAGTTCCCTGCCCCTCTTCCCTCACAATTTAGTCCTAAGACCTTTAGATGAGAGTGAGGAAGGCAGAAGTCCATGGGGGCTGTGTGAGAGTGTGCGTGTGTGCGTGTGTGAGTGTGTTTTTGTGTGTGTGTGTTGGGGGTGGGTTGTGGTGGCCCAGCCCCACAGTGGGGTGTTGAAGCCCAAGATGGCTGACAATCGATCTATACCAAGTTGGGGAGGGCAGCTTAGTGTGGGTTCTCAAAGAGGAAGAGAAGTGCAGGGGGCACTCCTGCGAGGGGTGGGGGCTGGAGGGGCAGCTGCTCAGCAGGTGGAGATCACAGCCCAAGCCAGGTACAGGGTGTGTCAACATGGGGAGCAGGGACACAACTGTGGTGATAGAAGACGGGTTACATTCAGGGGAATTGATCAAATTAATAAATATATTCTTAGTGCTGGACAAGGGAGTCACATATATATGAAAAGGGAGAAAATTAGAATGACCTTTGTGATGCTGGACTAGAATTGGAAATAGTGTGAACTGCTGATTTTTAATATATACAGATAGACTTAGAAATACGTACATTATAGAAATAAACATATATGACATGTGCATGTACATGTATATACATGTCTATATATTACATACGTGTATGTATGCACACACATGTCATGTACACATAAAATCCCTAGCTCTGTCCCCTGAGAGCCTGGAAACAGCGACACCATAAGAGCAACAAGTGCACCTAGCGTACAAATCTTAAGTTTCTCTGATAAAAGGGATTAGGGCTCCTTGAAGAAGTGGCAAGTTCCAGGAAAGCTGCAGGGAAGGTAAGAGATGAGCCCAGAATAACTTGCTGTGTCAGAAAGTAAGGAAGTGCTGCAGGAATGAGGGGCACATGCCAAAAGGACACAGAAGGTTAAAGGAGCTCCCACTGGCCAAATATGAGAATTGAGCATAAAAATAAATACTGACAGTAACAGATAAACCCCCAAATAACACAGGAACCCACAGTGACATCCATAATGCTGTGCACTGAGCTGTGCCCCCCAATTCCTGTGCTGAAGACCTAACCCACATCGGGATAGTATGTGGAAACGGGGCCTTCGGGAGATAATTATGCTTAGATGAGATAGTGAGGGTGGGGCTCTCCTATTGGGATTAGTGTCCTTATAAGAAGAGACACCAAAGAGCTTGCTTTCTCCCTCACTGGCCCCACTCTCTCTCTGCCATGTGAGGACGGTGAGCAGGTGGAGGTTTACAAGCCAGGAAGAGGGCCCTTACTAGGGAGTCAAATCAGCCAGCACCCTGATCGTGCATCTCCCAGCTCCAGAACAGTGAGAAACAAATTCCTGGGGCTGGCCCGGGGCGCAGCGGCTAAGTTGGCTAAGTTTGCATGTTCCGCTTCTCGGCAGCCCGGGGTTCGCCAGGACGGATCCCGGGTGCGGACATGGCACTGCTTGGCAAAAAGCCATGCTGTGGTAGGCGTCCCACATACAAAGTGGAAGAAGATGGGCATGGATGTTAGCTCAGGGCCAGTCTTCCTCAGCAAAAAGAGGAGGATTGGCAGCAGTTAGCTCAGGGCTAATCTTCCTCAAAAAAAAAAAAAAAATTTTTTTAATTAAAAAAAATAAACTAATGCGAAAAAAGAAAGAAATTCCCATTGTTGAAGTCATCCAGCCCATAGTATTTTGTTATGGAAGTCCAAGCTAATACATACATATACATACATACATTTACACATAGAAAATTTGATGAGGAACAGGATATTTGCATAGTCTCAAAGCACCTCTCTACGAAATGTTTATTAAACACGGAGGAAAAGAGAAGCTTCACTTCACAGTGGAGAGGGTGGCAGGCACCAACTTACTCAGGTGCTAAAGTCAACATCACCGGCAAAAGGACAAATCAAAATCACAGCATCACTTCCACAGAATTTCTGCCAACTTTTCTGTAAATTTGAGACTCTTTCAAAATAAAAAGAAAAAAACCCAAACAAACAAAAACCTAAGACGTCAAACATTCTATTCTTGGTTTCCAGTTAAAGAGCACAAGTCCATCTCCTGATGCCAACTCACAGAACTTTGTTTTAAATGTGAATGCAACTCACTGATCATCTACCTTCTATTTACCAGTTTCATCCTTATCAAGTGAAATAACAACTGTGAAAATGTACAAGTTATAAAATCTTACTTAACATGTTTTTTGTTACTTTATAAAAAATAGCTGTTTTTGTCTGCTTAACAGTCAACCTAGCGCTTGGAACTATACATATCTTTATTATTCATGTTTTGCTGACCACACCTGATGATCATATCCCACTTGATAAATCATCTTCCTCCTGAGTTGGTTTTCATACACCCTAATATCCTCATCAACTTGAAAATTCTTTGAACGTCATCCAACAATATCATTTCTGAAGGCTCTTCCATTTCTTTTTTCAATTTGCTTGCCTTCTGTCAGAGTTGCTTTTTTTGTTTTTATTTTTATTTTTTTATTTTTTATTTACTTTTTTTTTTTGAGGAAGATTAGCCCTGAGCTAACTGCTGCCAATCCTCCTCTTTTTGCTGAGGAAGACTGGCCCTGAGCTAACATCCATGCCCATCTTCCTCTACTTTATATGTGGGATGCCTACCACAGCATGGCCTGCCATGTGGTGCCATGTCCGCACCCGGGATCCGAACCGGCGAACCCTGGGCCACCAAAGCGGAACGTGTACACTTAACCACTGCACCACCCGACTGGCCCCCTTCTTTTGTTTTTAAATTATTACTTTTCAAAATTTTCTTTTTCAAAATTCCCAATAAATGCTCCAAAAATTGTTTACTTTCAATTACTGTGCCTCATGGTCTCTTTAGTCATCACCAGTCCCAAATTTCACTTCTAAAATGCATCTCACACATAAGCACAGCCTTATATAAAAGAGTGTGGTAACATTTTAAGCAAATTTAAACTGATGCGATATAAAAATACATGGAGAAGTATTATCAATCCTAAGATTGACAGAGGGACGAACCTTAAAAACACTGGGCTAAGTGAAAGACGCCACTCACACAAGACCACTCATGCGAGAGTCCAGCACAGGGAAGCGTACAGAGAGAATGTGCATCAGCGATCCCTTAGGGCTCGGGGCTAAGGGGCTCATGTGGGTGGTAGCTAAAGGACACAGGGTTTCTTCTTGAGGTGATAAACTCTCTAAAACCGAGTGTAGTGATGGCTACACGTATCTGTGGATACGCTAAAAACCACTGAACTGTCTATTTCAAATAGGCGATTAGTATGGTATATGAACTATATCTCAATAAAGCTCTTAAAAAATATAAAACTGAGGGGCTGGCCCCGTGGCCGAGTGGTTGAGTTCGCGCGCTCCGCTGCAGGCGGCCCGGTGTTTCGTTGGTTCGAATCCTGGGCGCGGACATGGCACTGCTCATCAAACCACGCTGAGGCAGCATCCCACATGCCACAACTAGAAGGACCCACAACGAAGAATATACAACTATCTCCCGGGGGGCTTTGGGGAGAAAAAGGAAAAAAAAATAAAATCTTTAAAAATATATATATATAAAACTGAATTAAAAACACATGTATTAAAGTTTCATCTGATGTGAAAAATTTGAAGTAATTTAAATCTCCCCCCTCAATTAAAAATGTGATAAGAGTTGTATAACCTTAAAGCCAAATGAATCACGCATGAGCTCGATTCTTGCCTCACGTGATAGCACTTTATGTGACAAAAGGCATACTTTGCCAGCATTAGGGCCGCTGAGGCGGTAAGCAGACATCCTCCATCAGAGTTATTTGGGATTACGTCCTTTACATTATGAGAAACCTTCAGGAACACACCCCTCAGGTGAGTGTGTTTCAAATAATCACAGTTGGTGGTCTCGCTCCTCTCAGAGGAGCGTCCACAGCCCTGTGTCCTCAAACATCTTTCATTTGGAAGTCGGAACTGTTTACTAGCAGTCCTGGCACTCGTAACAATACTTCTGGCTAAATTTTACTGTCTCACGGTTTGTACCTAGGTCTATTAGCATGAACATTTCCCTAACCCAACTTGAAAAGAACGTCAGCATAAAAAGGGAAAAAAACTTCAGTTGGATAATTTTTTCATTCATTTTAGGGAAAAGCAGATTAGAGGAGTGTTGCAACAGAAAAATAGAGCAATAAAAATGACAGATCACAAATTTGAAAAAAAATAAATTCAAGAACTAAGTTCTCCAAAAAGGCCTTGAAGACGAGAAGGGCTTGGAAACCCTGGGGCAGCCGTCCCAGGACAGCGGGAAGGGCACGGACTGGAGCGGTCACGTTGCCGAGGTCCCACCCGAGCAGGTGGTACAGCCCAGGTCTCCATTTCCTCAGCTGGAGGACAGCTCGCACTAGACGACCCGAGCACTAAAAGTCTCCAAATTCCAAGCACTCTTACCTTTTTCTTTAAAATGACTCTTTGTGTCTTTGGTGAGACGTCCAAGACGAGCTCCGCACAGGTAACGGCCTTGTTGGAAGCCACAGGCCTTCCTGTCCCCTCCTGTAAACTAGAATGTTAACAATAATGTGTAGACACACACATACACGTACAGCCGTATACTGACATATGCACTCAGGTACTCATAAGCAAATGCCTAAAACCTCTATTAGAAAGAAGAGAATTTTCTTTAAATCACAGAAGAAAAAGTCTGACTCAATAGCAGAAAGACCAAGGTTGTGGTATTTTCCTGACAGTCATTGTCAGAGGACATACTCTGATATTTCCCCTCTCCTGATAATTTTAGTAGCTTAAAATTCAGGCATAAAAAGGTGACTATATATCTTCAGAGGAAAAACAAACAAAAAAACCCCACTAAGCCAGACATTCCAAGGGTCCGAGAATTTGCTCTACTCTTTGAAAAGCAGAAGATCAGCATCATTGCATCTCCAAGTCTTGGCAAGAAATCAGAAGTCCCTTTAGGATGAAAAGAAACAAAGCCTTCATAATCACCTTCCTCCAACTCAATCGTGTTGTGTTTCTCTGTGGCTTAAGAATCCTAAGCTTTATGGAATGCTGCAGCCGAGCTACACTTCAGAGTGTTTAGATGAGGTTTTATTTAGATTATTCTCCTGTTTCCACTAATCTCTATCATCAAAAAAGGGAGTGATAAATTCAGAGTTAAAAACTAGTTTTCATGACACCAAAAGCATAAGTGACCCCCCCAAAAAAGAGATCAATTAGATTTCAACAAAATTAAAAACTTTTGTTCTTCAAAGGACACCATCAAGAAAGTAAAGACAATCCACAGAATGGGAGAAAATATTTGCAAGCCATATATATGATATGATATTTGTATCAATATTATATAAGAAACTCTCAAAAGTTCAACAATACAAAGGCAAAAACTCATATTTAAAAATGGGTGAAGGGGAGCCAGCCCCGTGGCTGAGTGGTTGGGTTCGAGCCCTCCACTCAGCAGCCTAGGGTTTCGCTGGTTGGGATCCTGGGCATGGACATGGCACTGCTCATTGGGCCACATTGGGGCGGCGTCCCACATGCCACAGCTGGAAGGACCCACAACTAAAATTACAACTATGTGCTGGGGGGATTTGGGGAGAAAAAGCAGAAAAGGAAAAAAGAATGGAGTAAAATAGGTGAAGGATTTGAACAGACATTTCTCCAAAGAAGATATACAAATGGCCAAAAAGTACATGAAAAGATCCTCAACATCATTAGTTATTTAAAAAATGCAAATTAAAACAATGAGATGCCACTACACATCCAGTAGGACGGCTACAATAAAAAGAAAACAAAACAGAAAATAAGTGTTCCTGAGGATGTGTAGAAACTGGAACCCCTGTGCATTACCTGTGGGAATGTAAAATGATTTAGCTGCTGAGGAAAAGAGTAGAGCAGTTCCTTAAAAAGTTAAACATAGAATTACCATAGACTCAGCAATTCCATTCCCAGGTATAGAAACAAAAGAATTAAAAACAAGTACTTAAACAAACACATGAATGTGGATAGCAGCACTGTTCACAATAGCCAAAAGGTAGAAACCACACAAATGTCCATCGATGGATGAATGGATAAACAAAATGTGGTGCTTAATCACATACAATGGAATATTACTCAGCCAGAGTAGGAATGAAGTACTGATACACGCCACAATGTGGATGAACCTTGAAAACATTATGCTAAGTGGAAGAAGCCACATATTCTATGATTCAATTTATGGAAATATCTGGAATAGGTAAATCCATAGAGACAGGAAGCAGACTGGCAGTCGCCAGGGGCTGGGAGAAGAGGGCAGTGGGGAGTTAGTACTTAACGGGTTTGGAGTTCCTTTTTGGGGTGATGGAAATTAGTGGGACTAGACGGACATAGTCGCACAGCATCATGGATGTACTAAATGCCACCGAACTGTTCACTTTAAAATGGGGGGCCGGCCTGTGGCCGAGTGGTTAAGCTCACACGCTCCACTATGGCGGCCCAGGGTTTCACCAGTTCAGATCCTGGGTGCCAACATGGCACAGCTCATCAGGCCATGCTGAGGCGGCGTCCCACATGCCACAACTAGAAGGACCCACAACTAAAATACACAACTATGCACTGGGGGGCTTGAGGGAGAAGAAGGAAAAAATAAAAAATAGAAAAAATTTAAAAAATCTTAAAAAAATAAAATGAAATAAAATGGTTAATATTATGTTATGTGAATTTTACCTCAATTTAAAATACAAAACAACAAAAACAAAACTAGTCTTCTTCCCCATCACTAGTTCTCTCCAAAAATGCAAGAAATAGGATCTAATACATTCCGAAAGACAGTTCAACCTCTCAGCACACCAGGATTCCCAGGAGCTTCTCCCGTCCTCTGCTCCCGTCTGTTCAACCCATTAAACTCATAATCCTCCCCCAGGACTCCTCAGTTAAAGAGCTTAGTAGGTATTGGAATTTAACATAAGAACATAAGAGAAAAACATGATTAGCAACCAGATTAAGAACTAGCCTTTCAGGCACTAAAACCTTAATCATGTCACTCTGTTGAGGACCATAATCTTTCAAAAGAAACAAACACGACTGACTGAATTCTAACAAGACAAATATCCCAGCACAATCATTAACAAAGAGAACTAGGAACAGGGAACGGCTCCGCTAAGCAAAGATGTCCATTCAGTTCATTACCAGAGAAATCCGGACTGCAGGCAGATGAGAGAGAACGCACACACCCAGAGTTTACCTTGTGGGCCTCAACCACATACAAAAATATCATTCATAAGCAACGTTATTCAGAACATTTCAGGAAGGAATATGACTTTAAATATCCAGTTCATCAAGCGATTTACATTTGTAATGCTAAAGATTCAGCTATTTTCCCTGTTTCTTCACGGATAAACCTTAAAATTGGCCCCGTAACCAGCACAGAAACAATAAACTGTGTTCACATGTTGGTGGGATGACTACTTTTTAAACCCCAATGTTTTGAACGTCCATGTGCAAATCTATATACCAGTCTAACACAGAAGTAGAATAAGCTGGCTGCTCTTCACCTGAGGTTTCTAAATACAACAGTCAGACAACAGTGAGGATTACATTCTAAGGCAACTGGAATTACTGCCAAGTTAAGCTACGTTGCTTGGCTTTAGGTGACCATTAAGATATACCCTTAAGTGTCTGCTTAATCAGTATTCTCAGTGAGGGGGGAGTCAGAATGGTGATCTGAAGAATTATGATGAAGATTAGTCAGTTTCAAACGAGGAAAGGGGTAAACCAAACTGAAAAATAGCAGCAAGAAGTTTAAAAATATATAAAAAAACACCATCTTTGAGCAAGAGGAATTTAAGATACTATAAGAACAACACCTTATCCAGTTGTTAAATCCTAGAACAGATTACTGGAGAGAGCCTCAAAAAGACCAGAGTCTTGCCTCTTTGGATAAATTTTAATCCAGCCAGTAGACAAGAGTTTAGACTAAAGACCTCTCAAAATACACTTTGAGCCTAGGATTTGGTAAAGAATGGAAGGAATCTTCCTTCATCCTTCGGCCTCCTGAGAAATGCTTAAAATTTAAAACCAGTTAATAATTAGAACCTTCTGCTTTATAAGAAAAGCAATTTAACCCAGAATTACCCAGAGAATGTATATGTAGCAGCAATGTAAATGAAATTTTCATAATAAAGCTGTCGGTTATCCTGGAAATCATTCATGTTGCAGCTGATCTCAGAGGAACCTGCCCCTTTCACAGTCAGAGTGATAAAAGGTGGCAGTGTAGGTTCGTCCCAGGCATAATCCAATGAAGTCATGGGCTTCACTTCAGTTCGGAGCCTGGGTTCAGCCACCCCATGCTGAGTAAAGACGACCGGGACCTACAGTGATGGCAGAGAGGAGAGAGGACTTTCGTTCAGAGTGATGTTACTGGAAAGCGATTCACTGCTTCCTAGGTTTAAATTCCAGATCCTTCCCAAACAAACCCTACATGCTATAAGCACAAGGGAGGTTCATCGTCTCGCCTCTTCAAATGCCTTTCTAATCATCTTCCAAATTGCAAAAAGCCCACCATTATGGGCTACGGCCTGTTGGGAAAAGTGCTTTAAGAAGCCTTGCCATGCTAAATACCTAGGGAAACCAATTCCATCCTTTCAATGGCATCTGTTCTACCCTCACCCTCCGTGATACACTTTGAACCAGAAAGGAAAGGAAATTTTGGAATTCGGCTACAGAAAGTCACATATTTTAAGATGTTATTCAAAAGCAGAATTTAAAATAAATCTAATGATTTACATTTTGGCTTATTTGGAAGATTTATAAAAATACTAAGCAACAGTAGAACTGTGCATTCCCACTGTCATTGGACAGTCTGCTCCCTCTCTCTGTTTGTATGGAATGTCTACAAAGGGCACCACATCAAACAAATAATCTAGTCAAAATAAGTTTTGTGGGCTGAAAAGTCACTTCTGGACAAGGCTGCCCAGCAACCAAAATAACCAGGAGAGGGGGCCGGCCTGGTGGCATAGTGGTTGGGTTCACACACTCAGCTTCAGTGGCCCAGGGTTTGAGGGCTCGGTTCTCAGGTGCGGACCTATGCACAGCTCATCAAGCCATGTTGTAGCAGCATCCCACATACAAAATAGAGGAAGACTGGCACAGATGTTAGCTCAGGGACAATCTTCCTCACCAAAAAAAATAAATAAATAACCAGCAGAAACCATCTCCTAATGGTAAGGATTTCTAGGGTTGTCCAGCTACAGAGACCCCTGTATAGCTTCTTTTAAACCCAAGTCTAAAATGTATCATTATTTTAAGAGCAATATATACTCCACCTTCCCGTATATGAAACAGCCAAACAGGCTCTCAACTCCACTTGGTACCTTAGAGAAGTTGTCAATTCGGAAGGGAGGGGGTAACTGATCCGTGTCACTAAATGAGATCCTATAGGTAGCTCCTCGGAGAGTAATTTCCACGCGTAGGAAGAAGCATTTTCCCAGGGTATCTCTGCAGAAAAAAGAAACATAAGAGGCGCTTAAAATGGACGAAACACATTGCAGTTCACTTTCTTCTCATACTTCACACAATCACAATATTGCTTGGAACTCAATTAATACTACTGTGTTAGGGGCTGGCCCAGTAGGGTAGTGGTTAAGTTCGTGCACTCTGCTTCAGTGGCCCAGGGTTTGCCAGTTCGGATCCTGGGCATGGACCTACACCGCTCATCAAGAGATGCCATGGCAGCATCCCACATAGAGAACTAAAACAACTTACAACTAGGATATATAACTATATAGTGGGGCTTTGCGGGGGAAAAAAGGGAAGATTGGTAACAGATGTTAGCTCAGGGCCACTCTTCCTCACCAAAAAAAAGTAAAGTATAACATCAAACAAGAAGAAACAAAATTAATAAACTAAAAAAAAAAACCACTGTGTTTTCTTTGACCACACTAAAAAAGTAGAAATTGACAGTATAATCAGACAGTAAAAAAGAATTCATTCAAACAACTTCTGAACAGCACACTGTAACTGTACCATAAGATCTACAAATTTTACGTAGTGGGTTTGTTTTGGGTAATAGTGTCAGCACAGCAAATGAGTAAATATTAGTTGAACTACATAAAACTGTTGTTATTAGACTACTTTTGATATAGAAAAAAGCAATTTCATATGGTTCAAACTAATTTATCAATGTTATTGATAATCAGAGTTCTCACTGTAGGATGAGGAAGGTAAGGAAGAATCCTGTGGTTGGAGGTACCAGTATGTAATCATAATTTTTATATGTGTGTATTTATATAAAGATACATCACTGGAGAGAAACGAAAGCTCTTCTTTACAGAAATATATCAGGTAATAAATGCAGAAGAAATGAGAGAACTAGAAAATTACCGTTTTGCAACCACCAATGTAATAATTGATTCAGTAAGAACCATCAAACCACTGAGTGAAAGGATTTTGGGAAACAGAATATACACAGTCTTACATTGTCCCCCCAAAGGACTACTTTTATTTACAAAGAAGAAAAAGTAACCTTAGAATAGATAGACCTGGAGGACAACACCTTAACCAAGTGATGACTGAATTTAGCAACGTGAACAACGGGACCAACAGACACCACAGGCCTCCTGATGTGACGCAGTGTGAAACGCTCAACCACACAGGTAGGAGTCTTACCAAAAATGTTTGACCCAAATCTATATATAGGAACCAGAAAATAGGACATGCTACAAGAAACTGGCTTGGACTCATTAAAAATGTCAATGTCAATAAAGACAAAAAGGAAGAGTGAGATTATTCTAGATTAAAGCAGATAAGATGTATCAGCCAAATAAAATGCACGGTCCTTGCCTGGATCCTAGATCAGTGGAGGGGGTGTTGCTATGAGGGCATTTTAAGGGACTATTTATTGGAAAACCACCACGCCGGCCCCAAGATAACGCATCTTTTTAAAAGTCAAATATAGATACTATTTTGGATCATCTATTATTAAATTAGCCATTTTTCTGTTCCCTTACAATAGTGTCCTCAACAGAGAACTAACCATAAAGTATAAAAGGTTAAATTTTGCTTCTAAGTGTATTAAAATAGCACTGATTCAAATAAATGGAAAGGCATCCCATGTTCATGGATTGGAACAATCAATATTGTTAAGATGTCGGGGCAAGCCCAGTGGCACAGTGGTTAAGTTCACATGTTCCGATTTGGTGGCCCAGGGTTCGCAGGTTCAGATCCCGGGTGCAGACATGGCACTGCTTGGCAAGCCATGCTGTGGCAGGCATCCCACATATAGAAAGCAGAGGAGGATGGGCACAGATGTTAGCTCAGGGACAGTGTTCCTCAGCAAAAATTTAAAAAAAGAGGAGGATTGGCAGCAGTTAGCTCAGGGCTAATCTTCCTCAAAAAAAAAAATATTGTTAAAGATGCCAATGTTACTCAAAGTGTATCTTCAGATTTAATGCAATCCCTATCAAAATCTCAAGTGTTTTTTTTCCAGAAATAGAAAAATTCATCCTAAAATTCAGATGGAATCTCAATGGACTCCAAATAGCCAAACTAATCTGGAAAAAGAACCAAGTTAGAGGTCTCACACTTCCTAATTTCAAAACTTATCATCAAACTACAGTAATCCAAACACTGTGACACTGGCATAAAGACAGACATAGGGATGAATGGAATAGAGCCCAGAAATAAACCCTCACATATAGGGTCAAATAATCTTTTTTTTTTTTTTTTTGAGGAAGATTAGCCCTGAGCTAACTGCTGCCAATCCTCCTCTTTTTGCTGAGGAAGACTGGCCCTGAGCTAACATCCGTGCCCATCTTCCTCTACTTTATATGTGGAATGCCTACCACAGCATGGCTTGCCAAGAGGTGCCATGTCCACACCTGGGATCCAAACCAGCGAATCCCGGGCCACCAAAGCAGAATGTGCACACTTAACCGCTGCACCATCAGGCCTGCCCCAAGTCAAATAATCTTTGACAAGGGTGCCGAGACCATTCCACGGGGAAAGGAGAGTCTTTTCAATAAATGTTGCTGGGAAAACTGGATATCCATAAACAAAAGAATAGAGCTGGACCCTTACTTTACACCATATGCAAATAGTAACTCAAAATGGATCAAAGACCTAAATGCAAGCGCAAAAACTATAAAACTCTCAGAAGAAAACATAGGGGAAAACCTTCATGATATTGAATTTGGCAATGATTTCTTGAATATGCCACCAAAAGCACAGGCAATAAAAGTTAAAATAAGTTGGAGTGGGGCTGGCCCCGTGACCGAGTGGTTAAGTTCGCACACTCCGCTGCAGGCGGCCCAGCGTTTCGTTGGTTCGAATCCTGGGTGCGGACATGGCAGTACTCATCAAACCACGCAGAGGCAGCGTCCCACATGCCACAACTAGAAGGACCCACAACAAAGAATATACAACTACGTACCGGGGGGCTTTGGGGAGAAAAAGGAAAAAATAAAAGAAAAAATCTTTAAAAAAAAAATAAGTTGGACTACATCAAAATTTAAAACTTCTATACATCACAGAATACAATCCACAGAGTGAAAAGGCAGTGTATGAAATGGGAGAAAATACACGCACATCATGTATCTCATAAGAGGTTAATATCCAGAATATATAAAGGACTCCTACAACTTAACAACAACAACAAAAACAACCCAATTCAAAAATGGGCAAAGGAATTGAATAGATGTCTCTCCAAAGAAGATACACAAATGGCCAACAAACACATGAAAAGTTTCACCTTACTAACCCTTAGAGAAATGTGAATCAAAACCACAATGAGATACCACTTCATACCCATTAGGAAGGCTACTATCAAAAAAGCAGAAAATAACCACTGTTGGCGAGGACGTGGAGGAATTGGAACCCTTGCCCACTGTTGTTAGGAACATAAAATGGTGCGGCTGCTATAGAAAACAGTATGGCAGTTCCTCAAAGAATTAAAAATAGAATAACCATATGATCCAACAATTCCACTTCTGAGTATATACCCAAAAGAATTGAAAGCAGGGACTCAAAGAAATATCTGTACAACCATATTCATAGCAGCACATTCACAACAGTCAAAAGGTAGAAGCAACGGAAGTTGCCATCAATAGATGAATGGATAAGCAAAATGTGGCATATACTTATTATTCAGCCCTAAAAAGGAAGGAAATTCTGACACACATGACAACATGGATGAACCCCGGGACATAGCTACGTGAAATAAGCCAGTCACAAAAAGACCAATACTGTATGATTCCACTTATCTGACGTACCCAGACCAGTCAAATTCATAGAGAAAGTAGAATAGTGGTTGCCAGGGGTTAGAGAAGGAGAAAATTGGGATTTGCTGTTTCATGGGTCTAGAGTTTCAGTTCTGCAAGATGAAGAGAGTTCTGGAGATTGGTTGTACAACACTATGAATGTACTCAACACTAGTGAACCTAAAAATGGTTAAGATGGTACATTTTATGTCATGTGCCTGAGGCCCACAAAACAACCCCTGAGTCTTTGTGTTATCTTTCTCATATTCCATAAGCGTATTTTACCGCAATTTAAAAAATCTTTTTAAATACATTTTTTAAAAAAGCATTTGATGAAAGCAGAAAGAGTCATACTGTGCTAGCTGAGGCTGAATTTGGTTGATTTTTCTTTTTTTTTAAATATTTTATTTTTTTCTTTTTCTCCCCAAAGCCCCCTGGTACATAGTTGTGTATTTTTAGTTGTGGGTCCTTCTAGTTGTGGCATGTGGGACGCTGCCTCAGCATGGCTTGATGAGCGGTGCCATGTCCACACCCAGGATCCAAACCGGCAAAACCCGGGGCCACCGAAGTGGAGCGCACCAACTTAACCACTCGGCCATGGCGCTGGCCCGTGGTTGATTTTTCTTTTTCTTTCTTTTTTTTTTAAACAGTTTTTTTTTTTTTTATAGATTTTATTTTTTTCCTTTTTCTCCCCAAAGCCCCCCAGTACATAGTTGTATATTCTTCGTTGTGGGTCCTTCTAGTTGTGGCATGTGAGACGCTGCCTCAGCGTGGTCTGATGAGCAGTGCCATGTCTGCGCCCAGGATTCGAACCAACAAAACACTGGGCTGCCTGCAGCAGAGCGCGTGAACTTAACCACTTGGCCACGGGGCCAGCCCCATGGTGGTTGGTTTTTCTTAACAAGGACCTGAGGGTCACTGCATTGGGCAATTCAGACGGCCAGATGATTTACTGAAACAGCATCAAATGAGAGAAGAGTTTGCACAGTGTGTAAGAATAGACAAAAACGTTTATAATCAGTGTTACCATCTAAACGCAGACAGGATTTTCAGAGGTGCAGGCAATCATCGGCTCAGTGCCACCCCTGGACTTGGAACCTCAGCAGCAATGGCAAAACAGTCAAAACGGTTGACATTTCCTTTAATTCATTCCACCAAAATTCACTCATACTTACTTGCCTTTACAAATGTTAAGACCTTTGTCTAAGCCAGAAACATATGTGCCCATTTCATGAGGGCAGTATTACTATTTACTACTATTTTTAAAATTTTTATGGTAGGTTCTGCTTACTGTTTACATTACTGAACCTCCAACAAGGCTATTTTCTGTCCACATACAGTCTCCGAACTTACCTCATGTTGATATGGAAGGAATTATTTTTGTTGACTTCGAAGCCTCCAGACCAAATACAATTGGGAACATCCATCAGTCTGACACACAACAGTTGGTCGTAGTCATTCCGAGGCCAATGGAACACCACGCTGGAACCAGGAAGGGTGGAGATGTAACCTTCAGGATTGGCCGTTCCCTAAAACACACAGGATCACAGGCTGTAGTCAACACGTCAAGACAATGTTTACTAAGTACCTACTTTGGGCCTTGCCTTCTTCCAGGAGCTATTTAGGGTACCAAAGGCACAAAATGGTAACTCATATCATAAAAGTTACCAGTGTTGATGAGGAGATAGGCCATGACATTAAAATTCACTGTGCTATTAAATAAACACTAGTCATTCTTCAAAAGCAAACTGCTTACCTGTCCCCTGGCAAATTCCCTCTGTGCAAATGCAAGCTTGTGAGATGATTTATTATCTAACAGGTAACGGGGGGCAAAGATAACCATACAGGTGTCAATATATCGACCTCGGCCTTTCTTGACATCAATACCTAGAAATGACAAAAATCATTTACATGAATTAATTGGAAGACAGAAATTTTGCGGTCTGACAAAAATAAATAGCCTTTACAATTACTCAGTCTCTCCTAGAAGACAATTCTATCACCCAAAAAAGGCTGTCAAGCCTTCCAAAAATGGAATGAAAACAGCAATGGTATTCAAAGTATTATTCTTTATTCCCACTGAGGCCTTAAAAAGTCTCAGTGGCAATATCACCATCCCCATAATTCCTAGCTTCTTCAAAAAGCATGTGCCGTTACAACAGCAACTAAAACACACAGGTGTTTAGTCACAGATACCTGTGGTTTCCATTTATGGAGCTGACTGCTAAGACAGTTAATGTAATACATTCTGCTTACATCTGGGAAACAAAATTTCCTCCTAGAGGTCTTGCCCTTTTACAGCATATAGTAGAAATTTCAGATTACTTAATTGGATTCTGCATTGCCCTGAACTCAACGGATTCTTCTCCAGTATTTTTTTTTAGCCCACTGCCCAAGAATCCAGCTGAAATAATGCTAAATATCATAGAATTTGTTCATTCACAAAATCAATGTTTTCAGCACCTGCTATGTACTGAAAATAAAAATAGTGAACAAAACACATAGCAAGGAAAGAAAGTTACAATCAATGAGAAGGAAATCTCAAAACACTAGATCCCAAAGAAGGAAAGAAAAAAATGAAATTGCACCGAATTACCTTAAAAACTCTGATAACAATTCTAAAAAGTATGAACTTAGTGGGATGAATAATTCATTCATTCAGACAAAAAATATAGCAACTATATTCAAGGGACTGGGCTGAGCTCTGGTTATACAATGATAAAAATACTTATAGTACAAGTAATAATACAGTAGAAGTAATATAGTATTTATTGAACTCAATACATGCCATATCCTCTACCAAAGGCTCTCGATTTAATTCTCCTAACAATCTTATGACTTAGGTATCTTCATTCTTTCCATTTTACAGATGAGGAGACTAAGCACGGAAAGCTGGGTAACTTGCCCTAGGTCGCACAGCCAGTAGGCGGCACAGCCGGGATTCAAATCCAGGCCGCCTGCCTCAGGAGCCCTTGCTCCTACCATGACAGGACAGACACAAGGACTCCACTGAGCACTCAGCAAGTATCAAGAGAAGCATTAAGCAGGAAGAGGCCTTAGGATATGACAAGCGGGTGTCCTGGATGTCCCAACATAATCCCAATTATAAACATCCCAATTTGTTAACTCCATAATTCACTTGCACTGGCTTGAAAGATCTGGTATTCCTTTAACATAAGTCTTCAAAATACCTGAAAGACTGAGTAAATCACAAAAACAAAAACCTCTGAAACTCGGTGTCTAAAAAACGCCAAATAATACTGGAGTAGGGAGATACACCCTATCACTTTCCTTTCTGTGACATCCAGAAAAACATTAATAGTCAGAAATTGACATTATCATAGCTAGCTGATCTCAACTGACACAAAGTCTGCCTACAAAAGATGTGTTTAATTTGATATTATAACAAGAGTCTACAGTACTGAGACTCAATTTTTGGGAAAAAACAGGCTTTTTTGTTTCCCTTTTCATCTTAGATTGTTCTGGCAAACCCCCAATGAATGAACAGCTGATAAGATAAAAATGTACCAAGTCCTTCTTCTGGAGGTACATGTGAGGCTAATCGGCAAGGCACCCCCGGCTTTTCAGCTTGGGACCGTGCTCTAGACTTTCCTGATAGGGAGTTAGTTATCTATCCAGTTCTTCAAAAATATTCAAGTAAGAGATTCCACAAATTCCCTTGATAATACATGCCAAGATCTCACGATCCTTAAGAATTATAAAGTGCTATCTTAGCTCACTCCCTCTACTCCTTCCCTGGGTATAACAACAAAATTCAAATCACAGCTGTGTCCCTAAAAACATGTGTAGTAAGCTTTAATAAATGCTCCTGGCATGTAAGTTTGAGTCCGCACTCACGGCACATTTCTGACGGGGCCGCTCAATCTGCCTCTCTGTGAGATTTCTGTGGTTCCTTGGTGCCAGCTGATTTAGAAGGCCCAGGCTCCATCCCCCATTCCCCCAATTTGTCCCAGCTATAGCTTCCAGCTAACCTGTAGCAGCTTGCTTTGGAAACTGTCAAGGACAAGATACCCCAGCGGAAAGCCAAACACAGCATGAAGCGGTCTGTGCCTATTTAAGGGGTGGGGCAAACACGTGAGGAAAAGCAAAGAAAACGATCCTCAGCTGGAAGATCAAATAAAGTTGATTTCTTCTATTAAAAATCTTAACATCGACTTTAAAGGAGACAGCTCCCATGTCAAGGGACAAAGCATACAAATTCACGTTTAAAAAACCTGGAAAGGAATCCATACTCGGAAGAAACGCTTCTACTATCAAACCTTCAAACACAAACATACCCCTGATTCCCCGTGGGATTCAGGGTAAACAGCTAAGTGGGCCCCTCAGTCTTTCCTTCTGTAACATGACTCTTTGTATCTCCGATGTCCAATACAGTAGCCACTAGTCATATACAGCTATTTAAATTCATTAAAATGAAAAAAAATGAAAAATTCAACTCCTTAGTCATACTTGCCATATTTCTTAGAAATGTACTCTCAAGTGCTTGGCAGCCACGTGGGGCTAGAGCTACTGTATGGGACAGTGCAAAATATAATATTTCCTCCATCCAAAAGAGTTCAATGAACAACGCAGTTCTGGATGGTTTTGCAACTCTCAACACTAAACAGCGCTTTGAGATCCTTGGAAATTACATACTAAAGGAAGGACGCACTGCTACCATTTTAAACCTGAGACATATTTAAATCAAATTTATCTTAACTCTTCAGGAAATGTGCTGAGTGGCAGGTGGCCACGAGGCACACAGGTACACAGGCACACAGGTGCCACCTCCGTAAGCTAAGCTGGTTTAGGGCTTCTAATTACTATGACCACCAAGTGCACTTTATTATATTTTCTGCTTTACTTGTGGATGCCCCAACCCTAATCCTACATCTGACCCAGACTTCCCCTTTGCATCTGGCAAGTCACTTAACCTCTCTGCTTCGGTTTCAAGGAGAACAATGCTTCTTGCCCTCTTAGGGTTTGCAAGTTTTAATGAATGCGTGGGAAATGCTTGGAGGATGAAAAGCATTCTAAGTGGTCCTATTATTCCCATGAAAAACAAGGATTCAAGCCAAACTGATACTTTCCTGACACAGGTGCGTTTGAAGTTAAACAGGGCCCCAGACCTCAAAAGGGCCGTGTTTAGGTGGCTCCTTAGGGGCCTAGGAGAGCAGATCCGTGTTGATATCAACCTAGCATTCAGAGAGCAGAGACCTGACCCAACGCCAAATGAGAAAATCCTCACTTGCAGCCAGGTCAAAATGTGCAGCCAGCTTATTCCTCCAGCCCGAGGGCACTGGCCAACGGTTCTGATTCTCCCACTGCCCCACATATAACGCACCAATGTTATAGATCAGCCCTGGGCGGTTTCCTTGCTGGATGACTTTCAAAGCTCGGACACCATTACCACCATCCAGCGAGAAGCCCTGACACCAGCCCGGCATGCCTTCAGGATGAATCCCCCTTCCGACTCTCATCGTGCAGCTGTGGGGCAGAAAAGAAAACACGTAAATATTCATCCATTAGAAAGTCTTATCGACACGTTCTAATCAGGAAACACTGCTGTGGCCACCATCCGAAATTAGAACTCTAATATTGACTCTTCCTCACTCTCATGCGATTCCCAAACACAGCAAGGCAATTACCGGTGGTCAAACTCTATCTTCGAGGTAGCCACAATAAAACAACGTGTAAAATGTACTGATGTCTACAACTAAACGCTTTAGGAGAAAACATTATGACTCTTTGACCATGAGACATGAGCAAAATACTACAATATCCATTATCCCTTGAAAAACAAGGATTCAAGGCAAACTGATACTTTCCTGACTCAGGTGTTTCCAGGGTTCCTGAAATAGCTTGAGCATACAAGAAAAATATGTACAGAAAATGCAGCTAAGGGTACATCCCTTCTAAGGCCTGGTACTATTAAAACGGCAAAGCACTGTTTAGTTGGCTGGTGTCTTGTCATGGATCCTGGAAACATAATTCCTGAATGTGTGTTCTGGCTCTACCACTAACAAGCAGTGTAACCTTGGGCAGGTAACTCTCTCTCTGAGCCACAGTTTCCTCACCTTAAAATAAAACAGTATTTCCTGCCCTGCCTAATCCATTGGGATGTTGGAAGAATCAAGTGAGATAGTCAAGGTGGAAATGCTTTGGAAACTGAATTCCCTGGATAGAGCTGTTATAAACCATGACATTCAAACTATGTTATGAATGTGAAGTCCTAGATCTAAAACTCAGAATCTTTTCAGGAAAAGAATGAGACTGGGCTTGTTACCCAAGTCAAGTGGCTGTCTGTACCTTCTACCGGGTCCAGCAGGCTGGTCAACCCTCTCCCAGCTCCAGCCCCACCCTCGATTCCAACCCTCCCTGGTGGAGGCATCCGCCTCCAGTGGTGCTGAGCGCCCCCTACGCCCCGGTGAGCTCGCAGCACGCTTCTCCAGAGGACGGGGTGTGGCATTTTAGCAGTATCACACATGCCCATTTATCTTTGGATTAAGGCTATAAATTAGAAGACTCCTGTAAAAAGCAGAACGTCAAAACCAAGAATAAAAGTGAACTAACGCTCCCACCACACTTTAAAAAGACACGCCATCCAGTCCCCAACTGCTGCTTTTCCTGCCTTTAAACATGCAGTGAGTGCTCTGAGATCTTGAAATGGCACATTTTACTTCAAGGGTGAAGGAGAAGGATTTCAAAACCCTATAAAAAATGACATGGATTAGATTGATAGGGTGGAGGCTTTACCAAAGGGCCAGCCTACCTCCCCTCTGATGCCAGCTCCTGTCTGTGCTGAGAGCTTGCTTACAGGGGAAAAAAAACTGTGCAGAGAAGAAAGAGAACATGTGGGTTTCTCTTCATTGGCAGAGTTATGAATAGAATTACTTCAATACATGTAAAATAAAACTAGCTTTCATTATAAACCAACCAAATGGTTTATTTTCAATATCAAATAACAGAGAAATTAGATCTGAAAAAAATCCCATTAGGTCATGGTCCTGTTCTCCTGCCAAGTCAGGACTGTTATCTACAGTATATTTCTACTTATACGGATATACTATAGCCTTTGCTAATTGTTTCCCTTCCCTAGGAGCTTATTTCCCCTTCCCATACATAACTGCACTCACAGGTTTGGCTGCTCTTTGTCAGCGTAGCAGAACAAGAGTGGGCTCAGGCTCCGGGCCAGCTCATGTTCCTCAAACTGGCCTGCAGCATCCGTCTTTGTGTTGTCCTGTCTGAAGATCAGCGGTAACCCTTCAGGAAGAAGGGGAAAAGTTTACATCAATCCTACCCAGGCCATCCAAGACAGATGTAAATGGTAAAGGAAAAGAAAAATCATCAAGAGGGAAACTAGCGAAAATTGAATTTATTTAGTGGGGTCAGTTCGTTGTCTAAAAGGACAGTTTTGACCATGATTAAGCACTTATGATGGAAGCAGGAAAGTTTCAGCAGCTTAGACTGCTGAAGTAATCTATTTGCCTTGGCTCCATTTAGTTAGCTGAGCAAATAAATCTGAATTCCCACGACCAACGCCAAAAGCCTACTTGAGCAGCCTCTGTACATACCTGTTTTGTTGATCAGCCAATATGGAGCAGAAATGAAGATCTTTAAGGATCCTTCTGCTCGACACACAATCCGGATGGTGAGGTTCAGCTGCCGCCGGTTGACATCATAGAGTCGCATTCTTACCATATAGTTTTGGGTTCCAGGTGGAATGAGCAATTCTTTACAGAGTGGAAAATTCTCCAGTGATACCCCTAAGGAAGATACAAGCTATTGTCTTTCTGAGTGCTCACTTTAGTTTGTCAAAATAGCCCACAGCCAAACAAAATTGGATTCCTTCTGGAAAAATCAATACCTATGTCTCTATCTGGCAATTTTCCTTAAACTGGGGTGAGAATAAAAATGAAGCAAACCAGATGGCCTGAAAGTCACACTAGGAAGTCTGAACTGCATAGTTAGAAGGATGAGAATACCAAAAAGCTATCAATAACAGCTATATTATTAAGACTTTACTATCCATCAGGCCCTACACTGGGTGCCTGAAACACAGTAAACGCAAGTACAGGGAGAGAGTCAAGGTTTCTGCAGCCAAACTGCCTGGCTTCAAATTCCCAGCCTATCCTTACTAGTTGCGTGATGTGGGACAAACTGTTTAATCTGGCTGTGTCTCATCTGCCAAATGGGGATAATCATTGTATCTCCATTGCAGGATGGCTATTAAAAGTGGTAATCCATAGAAAGCATGACTGTGAAGATTAGGAGGGCTGGGTGTGCACATTGTGGTGGTGGGGTTGGAGGATATTCCCATCTTAGACAGGGGCTCAGTAAATATTTGTTGAAGAAATACTTAAATGCCAAAGCAAAGACTTGTTTTCTTTAGAATGGACAACTAGCATTGCGCTATTTTTCTTTTCTACATTAAGCTCAAGGGTTTACGTATTCATTGAAATAAGCTTATCATCATGGGACACACTGCTTAAGTTCAATGAGTTTCAGGTTCCTCATCTGTAAAATGGGGACAACAGCTGTCCTCTCTGCCCGAAACATGTGCTGTTGTGAAGAGCAAATGAGATGATACAGTGAAATCACAAAGCTGTAACAAGATAAATATCTGGGTCATTATTATTTCAGCATGTCCACAACAGCCTTAAAGAAACGGACTTCCTGCCCAAACTCCAGCAGGGACTCTGTTCTCAGTGCTACAACAGGACGATCTCGACCTGACTTCACGCGTCCCTACAGCTGAAAACTACCTGATGCAGTAAACGTCCCAGACCTCTACTTCTCCATCAGCAAAATGGGACAAATAACTGTTGCTGTGAGGACCGCGTGAGACCACGTGTGTGACAGCACCTGACACAATGCCTGGAGGACAGTGCCTGCTTAGCAAATGTTTTCCCCTTTCCTGAAAAGAGAAGGAGAAACATCTGCTTTTGCTCATTTTACAGGTAGGAAAAAGCATGGTTTAAAAAGATGAAATGACTTCCTATAGCCACACTTCAAGTGAGCAACATAAGAAAAAAGGCTCTGTTGAATGCTGCTTCTGTAAATGTTTTGGATTTTTTTCTGTTTTTTCTTTTGATAATTTTCTATCTTAGAAGTTCTGTTGTTTTTTTCAAACTGCATGAATCCTTTGAGCTGGCTTATTGAGATATTATACGTGCTACAATTTCTCCAAAATGTTTACCAAATGAGCACAAAATACTGACATTTTCACAGAATTACTATACATGGTTATTTGACTAGACCCTCACCCAGTTCCATGTTCTGAGACGTGTCGGCTGTGTGCAGGGCCGCCTCTCTGCCGGGCTTCAGTGTCCCATGGATCGGCATTCCTTTAACATAAAAGTCAAGCTCACAAGGCAGCAAGTTACAGACGACCACAGTTGGCAGGAGATATATGGTGTGCCCCGGCTGTCTGAAAATCTGTTTTGCACTGTCGGAAAATATGTTTGAGGGCATGTAGTCTGGATAATTCTCTTTCTTTATGGCCACACAAAACCTACGAAGACAAAAGGTATGAAAACCGTCAGTCTGAATGAAGAACTTGAATTTTTTTTCCTTAGCTGAGTATGAGAAAGCATAACATTAAAATGGTTCAGTAATTCAGAAAGATAATTACAGTTTTCAATTTAAACACATATATTGGGATATAATTAAATCACAATAAAATGTATAGATTTTAAATGTTCAGTTTGATGAGTTATGACAACTATATACACCTCTATAACCACCATTCAAAACCAGTTATAGACTATTTCTCGCACTCCAGAAAGTTCCCTCATATCCCTTTCCAATCAGTGTCCTCTCCCATCATTCAAGCAGCCACGTTCCGATATTTATCACTATAGACTAGTTGTGTCTGGTCTTGAACTGCACATAAATGGAATGATACATTCTGTACTACTTTGTGTCTGGCTTTTTTTGCTCAACATGAATTTTCAAAAAGATTCAGCCATGTTGTTGTATGCATCAGTATTTGATTCTGCCAGTGTATGAATATGCCATTTGTAATTTATTCATCATCCTATTGATAACCAGTTAGGTTGCTGGCAGCCAACTGGGTCGTATCTCCAGATCAATTTAGTGAGAATGGAATCCTAACAATACTGAGTCTTTCAATCCATGAACCTGGTTTTATCTTTCCACTTAATTAGGTTTTCTTTAATCTCTCAGCAAGGTTTTGTAATTTCTAGGGTGGAAGACTGGTACATCATTCCTTAGATTGACTCCTGGGTAATGTTTTTTGATGCTACTACAAATGGTATTTTTTTTAAATCACATTTTCCAACTTTTTATGGCTATACTATAAGAATCAACTGACTTTTATAGGTTGATCCTGAATCCTGAAATCTGGATAAATTTATTAGGTCTCACAATGTTCTTAAGATAGTTCATCGTGTTTTCTACACACACATTTATGTCATTTGCAAATAACAACAGTTTTACTTTTCTGATCTTTATGCCTTTTCAGTTTCTCGTTTATTTATTTATCCTTATTGCAACGGCTAGCGATACTGCAATGTCAAATAGAGTGGCTGGTTCCCAATCTCAAGGGAAAAAAAGAGTTTAAGGTTTCGCAATTAAGTATAATGATAGTTGTAGGTTTATTAGAGATGCCCTTTAACAGATTGGTTGGAAAATTCCCTTCTATTCCTAGTGTGCTGAGCATTATCATCAATGGGTGCTGAGTTCTATCAAATGGGCTTTTTTTGGCACTTACTGAGATGATCTGATGTTTTTCTTTTAGTCTGTTAACATGGTGAATTACATTTATCGATTTTCAAATCTTAAGTGAAGCTTACATTCTCGGGATAGACTGCACTTGGATTCTATTTGGTAATATTTTGTTAAGAGTTTTTGCACCTCTCCATGGAGGAATTCTGGTTCGTAGTTCTCTTTTTTTATAATATCTACATCAACTTTGGTATCAGGGATATGCTGACCTTATAAAATGAGTAAGGAACTCTTCCTTCCTCCCATTTTCTTAAAAAGTTTGCATAGAACTGGTATTCTCTCTTCCTTAAATGTCTAGTAGAATTCACTCGTGAAGCCATGTGAGCCTAGAGTGTTCTTTGTGGGAAGGCTTTTTATTATAAATTAGATCTCTTTACTAGATATTGGGCTATTCGGATTTTATATTTCTTCTTTGTGTCAGTTTTGTAATTTGTGTTTTTCAAGAAATTTGTCATTCCAATGTGGTATTTGCATTAAATTATTCATAATATCTCCTTTTAATCCATTAAATGTCCGTAGATCTATAATAATGTCTCCTTTCTTCATTCCTTATATTGGTAATTTGTGTTTTCTCTCTTTTCTCCTTGAATAGTCTTAATAGAGGTTTACCAAATTTATGAATCTTTTCAAAAAGCCAATGTTATTGATTGCAAAATCAATAGATTTTTCTCTCGTTGGCTATTTCATTGACTTCCATACTTTTTTATTGAAGTACAATTGACATACAATATCTTCTTAGTTTCAACTGTATGTCATAGTGATGTGATACTTATATACATTACAAAACGATCACCACCACAAGTCTAGTTACCATCCGTCCCATTCAAAGTTATTACAATATTATTTATTTCCTATGCTGTACATTACATCCCCATGACTTATTTGTTTTGTAAGTGGAAGTTTGTGCCCCCCAGTCCCCTTCACCTATTCACCTGGCCCCCAAACCCTCCTTCCTCTGGTATCCACTAGTTTGTTTCCTGTATCTACGAGTCTGTTTCTGTTTTGTTCGTTTGCTTGCTTTGTTTTTAGATTCCACATATAAGTGAAATCATACAGTATTTGTCTTTCTCCGACATATTTCACTTAGCATAGCACCACCTACTAGGTTCATCCATGTTGTTGCAAATAGTAAGATTTCTTTCTTTTTTACAGCTGAGTAATATTCTACTGTGTGTATAGATAAATAGATAGATAGATAGATACACCACATCTTCTTCTTTATTCATTCATCTATCAATGGACACTTATGTTGCTCTGATATTTTGGCTATTGTAAATAATGCTGCAATGAACATACAGATGCATATTCTCTTTGAATTAGTGTCTGTGTTTTCTTCAGATAAATATCCAGAAGTAGGATTGCTGGATTGTACGGCAGTTCTATTTTTAATTTTTTGAGGAATCTCCACACTGTTTTCCATTGTGGCTGCGCCAATTTACATTCTCACCAACAGTGTATGAGGGTTCTCTTTTCTCCACATCCGACACTTGTTATTTCTTGTCTTTTTTTTTCTTTTGAGGAAAATTAGCCCTGAGCTAATATCCACCGCCAATCCTCCTCTTTTTGCTGAGGAAGACTGGCCCTGAGCTAACATCTGTACCCATCTTCCTCTATTTTATATGTGGGATGCCTGCCACCACATGGCTTGATGAGGGGTGCACAGGTCCATGCCCAGGATCCAAACCAGTGAACCCTGGGCTGCTGAAGCAGGGCATGCGAACTTAACCACTACACCACCTGGCCGGCCTGTATCTTATCTTTTTGATAATAGGCATTCTGACAGGTGTGAGGTGATATCTCTTTGTTGTTTTGATCTCCATTTCTTTGATGAGTAGTGGTGCTGAGCAACTTTTCATGTGCCTGTTGGCCATCTGGATGTCTTCCTTGGAAAAATGTCTATTCAAGTCCTCTGCCCATTTATTATTCAGATATTTTTTTATATTAAGTTACATTAAGTTCTTTATATATTTTAGATATTAATCCCTTATCAGATGTATGATTTGAAAATACGTTCTCCCAGTCAGTAAGTTGTCTGTTTTGTTGATGGTTTTCTTTCTGTGCAACAGCATCTCAGTCTGGCGTGGTCCCATTTGTTTGCTTTGCTTTGGATGTGCGTGCCTGAGGAAACTGGTCTGAGACCATACTGCTAAGACCGCTGTCAAAGAACCGACTGCCCATGTTTTCTTCTAGGAGTTTATGGGTTGAGGTCTTACATTCAAGTCTTTAACCCATTTTGAATTTATTTTTGTATATGGTGTAAAATAGTGTTCCAGTTGCATCCTTTTGCATGTCGCTGTCCAATTTTCCTAACATCATTTATTGAAGAGATTGTCTTTTCCCCATTGTATATTCTTGCCTCCTGTCATAAATTAATTTACCATAGATGTGTGGGTTTTTTTCTGGGATCTTTATTCTATTCCATTGATCTATGTGTCTGTTTTCATACCAGTACCATACTGTTCTGATTACTATAGCTTTGTAGGATAGTTTGAAATCAGGGAGCATGATACCTCCAGCTTTGTTCTTTCTCAAGACTGCTTTGGCTATTTGGGGTCTTTTGTGGTTCCATAAACATTTTAGGACTTTTTCTTCTAGTTTTTCAAAAAATGCAGTTGATATTTTGATAGGCATTGCATTGAATCCATAGATTACTTTGCATAGTATGGACATTTAACAATACCAATTCTCCTAATCCATGAGCACAGTAATATTTCCATTTATTTGTGTCATCAATTTCTTTCATCAATGTCTCATACAGGTTTTAATAACCTCCTTGGTTACATTTATTCCTAGGCATTTTATTCTTTTTGATACAATTGTAAACTGACTGTTTTCTTTTCTTTTCTTTTTTTTTTTTAAAGATTTCATTTTTCCTTTTTCTCCCAAAGCCCACCGGGTACATAGTTGTGTATTTTTAGTCGTGGGTCTTTCTAGTTGTGGCATGTCAGATGCCACCTCAGCATAGCTTGACAAGCGGTGCCATGTCCACGCCCAGAATTCAAACCAGTGGAACCCTGAGCCGCCAAAGCAGAGCGCGCGAACTTAACCACTCAGCCACGGGGCTGGCCCCTGACTGTTTTCTTAATTTCTCTTTCTGATGGATCATTATTAGTGTATAGAAATGCAACTGATTTCTGTATATTAATTCTGTATCCTGCAACTTTACTGTGTGATAATTTATTAGTTCTAATAGTTTTTTGGTGGAGTATTTAGAGTTTTCTATATATAGTACTATGTCATCTAGAAATAATGACAGTTTTACTCCCTCCTTTCCTATTTGGATGCCTTGTATTTCTTTTTCTTGCCTAACTGCTGTGGTGAGGACTTCCAATACTGTGTTGAATAAACGTGGTTAGAGTGGCATCCCTGTCTTGTTTCTCATCTTAGAGCAACAGCTTTCAGCTTTTCAGCATTGAGTATGATGTTAGCTGCGGGCCCGTCACATACAGCCTTCATTATGTTGAAGCATGTTCCTTCTATATCAACTTTGTTGAGAGTTTTTATCATACATGGATGTTTAATTTTGTCAAATGCTTTTTCTGCATCTATTGAGATAATCAGATGATTTTTATCCTTCATTTCCATAATTGTTGTCTTCTTTTTCTATTTCTTTGTGTTTAATTTGCTCTTCTTTTTCTGGCTTAAAATAGGAGCTTAGATCAGTGATTTTACATCTTCCTCATTTTCTAATATGAGCATTAAAAGCTGTACATTTTCCTCTAGAACTCTTTTGCTGCATCCCCCACATTTTAATATGTCTGGTTTTTATTATTGTTCAGTTCAAAATATTTTTAATTTCCTTTGTGATTTCTTTTTTGGCCCATGGGTTACTTAGAAATGTGCTGTTTAATTTCCAAATATTTGGGGATTCTGTAGGCATCTTAATGTTAATGATTTCTACTTTAATTCTACTGTGATCATGCAATATATTGTGTATAGTTTCAATTCTTTAATATTTATTGTTCTTTATTTTATGGCCTAATGGATAGTCTCTCTTGATGAATGTTCCACACATACTTGAAATGAATGTGCAACCTGGAGTTGTTGGTTAAAGTGTTTTATAAACGTCAATTATGAAAAGCTGATTGATGGCATTGTTCAAATCCTTTTATTTCTTTATTGCTTTTGTTCGTTTTATTTTTTATTTATTTATTTATTTATTTGAGGAGGATTAGCCCTGAGCTAACTGTTGCCAATCCTCTTCTTTTTGCTGAGGAAGGCTGGCCCTGAGCCAACATCCTCGCCCATCTTCCTCCACTTTATATGTGGGACACCTACCACAGCATGGCTTGCCAAGTGGTGCCATGTCCATACCCAGGATCTGAACCGGTGAACCCTGGGCTGCCAAAGCGGAACGTACGCACTTAACCGCTGTGCCACCGGGCCGGCCCTGTTTTTGCTTTATAAATGGGAAGGGAAGTGTTAAAATCACCAACAATGGTTATGTATTTATCTATTTCTCCCTTTAGTCTGTTAATAATTGGCAAACCCAGGGAAAGGCATACTGGAATTCTTTACACCGTTCTTGCGCCTCTTCTTAAGTGTGAACTACATGAATTCTTCACTATAAAGGAAACTAGAGCTGATGATCCCTAGTCTAAATAAACTTACAGGCTAATTTAGAAGGATCTAACAGTAACAATCAGGTATTTTTCCCAATATTGAATCTAGTAACCTATTACTTATACTCTTCAGAGGGGAAAACAGGAATCTAAATGGTTAGATAATTTTGTCAAAGTCCCCAACAAAAGTCCTACGAAGTACATGAACCTTCATCCAAATTCCTTTGAAATCGTCATTTGAAAAGCTTCCAACACCAGGATTTGGCTTCCCAGTTTAAGAACATGAACCAGTAATGTTTCGTCTTCCTTCCCTACATGTCCTCTATTTATTTATGCATACATGCAAGTTTCTAATCTTACATGTGTGTTAGTTGTTTCTCTCATAAACAGTAGATAAGCAACAGTTCCACCACTGCCAAGGGCTAACCCTGGAATTCTTATGAACTCTAACACAACAACTTATGAAACAAGGACTTTAGGACTTTAAATAAGCACAACTGAATCACTAAGGGTCCTTAGGAAAGAATGAAGGAAAAAAAAGGCAAGATCTACCACCATTGCAGCGGTGAGGCATACCTGAAGAATCGGCTTTTCTCCGTGTCCATAGAGTGGCACTCTCTTTTGCTGCTACTAACCTCTGTAGTCTTCAGTACATTGGTCCAGTGAATAGGAGCCTTACAGAAAAACACACCCAATCCTTTGGGCCGGGCCTGTAGCCGCCAAGAAGTGAGGTGCAAAGGCACGGCGAACGAATCCCCTGGCATGATGGCAGGAAGCACCACGGGCTCTGCCACAGAGACCAGCATTAGCACTTTCAGGCAACAGTCTTCCCCCGCAAAGTGTGACTAACTCAGGAGAAAAGGAAGACAGACTGTGTCAGAACTCACTGTCTGGAGCTGATGGGCTGTCCAGTCTCAGTTCCATCGGCGTCTCAAGTCTGTTCTTCACAATCAGGGCTGACCGGACAGTGATCACTTTCCGAGCACTGCCTTCCATAGTCACTGCAAAGACCACCCGGACAGGCGGGAGGGAAGAGAACTGTGAAAAAGAGAGAGAAACAAGAAGAGCATAGCTTGAGAATAGACAAGTGGTCACCAGAGCAGAAGGGGGATGGGGAGGGCGAAAGGGATAAAGGCGCACATGTGTATGGTGACAGCAACCAGACTTTTGGTGGTGAACACGATGCAGTCTATACAGAAGTCGAAATATAAAGACGTACACTTGAAATTTATATAATCTTACAAACCAATGTTACCTCAATAAAAAAAAAAAAGAAAAATACACAAAATACAATAATACCAATCAGAATGCCTAAACTCAAGGCATCTGATTACCGTAGCTCTTCAGTGAAATTAGTCATTAAGTCTTAAAACCACTCAGCTTTAACTGGAGTGAATATTCTACAAACACACACTATTAAACAGCCAATTCTAAACATTTCTATAAAAACAGATAATCTACCAGATGTGACGTCACAAAACGAAATCAGTCCCAGGCCTCTAGACACATTCTAAAGCCTCACCTACAACTGGGAATAACCTATCAAATTTTCCAAACGTCCTGCAATTTGCTAAGAAAGGATCCGCTGGAAGTTACCCTTCATTCATAACGCCCCCGGGTTCCTAAACATCAGCCCTTATATGGAAACTGTGAACAAGACTTGTTTCCACCTCTGTGGGAGGGCAATAAAGATCACCCAAAGCAACAAAAAGTTCAGAAACACTGAGGTAGGACTTCACAAGACATTAAATGATTTACCTTCTCTAGTATTTTTCTCCCAGATTAATATCAAAGTGAAAAAACATTCCTTGAACATTAACAATGGGTTGCTGCCCAAATATACACAGAAAAACAGAAGGAGGTCTTCTGAGATTCTAACTTGTCTTTGTAAAATCCTGAGAGTGTGGAATAAAGAGCTCTGTATTGGTATGCCTTTCACAGGAAGAATAACTTTTTTTTCTAAATGTCATAAAATTTACTCTCTAGGCCCATACACTATTCATTGACACGCCTATAAAAAAAGCAACATTTGTATTTCAAAAAACTTTTAAAGTAAACTCTTCACAATAACTTTCTAAGTTCTGTTCAATAATCACTTTCATGAACAGGACACCAAGCTTCAGACACAACATAATGGAGGGAAATTGTTTATTTCTGGGGTTGGGTGGCAGCCACCACTTTCTTTTTCCATATGTTCATTCACACATTCAACACACATTTTATGCCACTACCACGTACCACTTTTTTTCCGAGTATAAAACCCCACATCAGGTACACCAAAGAGGAGGTCTCTGAAACTATCATTCTTAGCGTGAGTGTCCAGAACAGTTTTGAAATGTGAAATTTCATGTAAGCTTGGAGAAACAAATGACACTGCTTTTTTATTGGAGAAACAAATGACACCACATCCAAGCTTTTCACACTGCCAACTTTTCATTAAAACAAACAGTATGTGAAAACTAACCTAATAAACAATAAAATGAAGACATCCATGTTTTGAACCAAGACTTCCAGAAGGTCCCAATGAAAAGGCAAACTATAACGTTCTGGAGTGTTTTTAAAGGGACAATTCTGGGCACGATCTTCAGCAGAGCTTCCACTGACCCCGCCCAGTAAAGCCCCAATAGAGCCAAGGCCCAGTAACAATTGTTTTAAATCTTGATATTGTCACCTCTAAGCTTACATGAAATTTCACATTTCAAAACTTCCTATTCTCAGGGAAAAGAAATTATAAGCAAAACCCTAAAAATAGTTCTTTAATGTCATCTTCTGATGACGTTTCAAAAGCCAAATGGGGGGGAAATCTTACTATTTTTTAATCTTATTTACTTTCATGACCTCTGGACCAAAACCTATGAAATACATATAGCCGTACAAGGGTTAATTTATATTTTAACTTAGTAAGAAAATGAGGCCTCGGACCAAAACATACCAAGTTAGGTGAAAACATTTTCTTGCAAGTTCTTGTAAAAGGAAGCTGATCATTAAAAGAAAAAGATAAAGATAAATTCCAACCATATATAATATGTCACAGAGTCCTCTGATCATCAAGAAATATACGTCTACACATGCTTCAGGCACAGTGTATACACTCAATAAACAGTGACACAGGAAAAGCATACTCACATAAACCTGGGGATGAATAATATTTGTTCGGCTGCTTGGGCTGCCAATCTAAGGAAGATTCCAAAATCAGAGAGTCAGCACAGGCATCATTAAATTCAATGACAATGTAATTTGCTTGAAAGGGTGGTGTTTATAAACACTCTTCAGTAAAGTATGGTTTACTACAAGGAGAAAATATCTTATTTTAGAAGATATGGGAAAAGTAATACTCATTTTACAACCATTCAATGTATGCAAAATTTCTCCAAATGCATCAGTACCATAGAAAGGTATCTGGAGGAAATTAATCCTTTCATTACTAGACATTTAGGCAGAAAAGTAATCTTGAAAGAACGCTTCTTCTTCTAAGAAACTTGGGGCACCAGAGAGAAACAGTGGAAAGAGGAGTGTTCTCCAAGAATATTTTTCATGAATGAAGCAAACATGAGGAAAGCTACAATCTCTCTACAAATCTGTATTTTCCTACTCATCACTGCTATCCACAATGAGTGCAGGTACCCTATGAAATAGGACTGAGTATGGGCAGAGCACCACGGCGGCTGCATCAGCCAGGACACCAGCCTGCCCCAGCACAGTCTAGTCGGGATGCTCCCTGCATCACTCCTCAGGCAGAAGTACCAGCTGGAGAAAAGTCAGGGCAAGGGAGTGTGAGAGGATGTGTGACCAGAAAATAAAAGAGAAAGGCCGGCCCTGTGGCCGAGTGGTTAAGTTTGCACGCTCCACTTCTGTGGCCCAGTGTTTCACCGGTTCGGATCCTGGGCATGGACATGGCACCGCTTGTCAGGCTATGCTGAGGCAGCGTCCCACATGCCACAACTAGAAGAACCCACAACTAACATATACAACTATGTACCAGGGGGCTTTGAGGAGAAAAAAGAAAAGTAAAATCTTTAAAAAAAAGAAAAGAAAAGAGAGTGAACATCTGTCTTTATGCCAGAGAAGAGGATCTGGAGACAGAGAGCTAGAAGGAGAAAGGAGCAGCAGGCAAGAAATTTAAGGACGATCATACACAAAGGAAGAGGACAACAGGTGAAATAAAGCCAGTGCACGTTTGGTAGACTAGTAAACTGTCAGTGAGGCCAGCTGAGCATGAAACGGAGCTGCACAGGTGAGGTAACAGGTGTAACATCAATTTTAGATCTTGTTTTCCCACTGAAATTAACCATCGCCAAGCTGACCTACATATTGATTACCAATGCCTACAACTGACCCATAATAATCTTACGTCTTTTCTCTAGAGCTAGCAGAAATAAAGAAAAAGAAAATTTCACTAGAGCAAGGCTATTACGGGCTTAACTGTCTAGCTGCCTGGCTTTAAGGGAGCGCGGCCAGGGCACAACTGTGCCACGCAACACCCATTCTACAGCCACACACCGTAGAGAAAGATGAATTCTTATCTGGTGCTGCATATCGGAAAAATGTCCCGACTTTGTCCACAGACACTGGGCTCACTTGCTCCCAGCCGTTTACTCTCACTTGCAGTTGGTGAATCCGGAGGTCATGGGTGTGTCTGTCAGGCAGGACATGGAAAAAGACATTAAGCACAATCTTAAGAAGGGAAGAAAAGTAGAAGCAAACACTCAAATCTGATTTACAATATAATGACAAAAAGCCTGGTTGGCTAAGCCTTTTGGTGATTACCTAATGCAAGAGAAATCAAGAGAATATTTTAACTGGGTTTTACACTTAAAACAAAATTGCAAGATTTGTAAAGCTTGAACAAGAGTGGCATTTAACCTCCCTTTGTACAAACCATGCAAATCCTTACACTAGCCCAGATCTTTCTTCTACCAACCTCCACCCCAATCTTTATAAAATAATGACGTCAGCTAAAATAATTTCAGTGGGGCAGTAAAAATGTGGTACTAGCAATTTAATCCCATAATCATACTCTTGGAAATGCATAAAATGACATTTTCTTCTTGCTTCTTTTGTTGAACACCCTACTTCTCTCAGAACCACATTCGGTTGTTTGGCTTCAGTCCGACAGGTTATGAGAGATGGAGGCCTCAGAGTTTTAGGGCTGAAGTGCTCGGCTGAAATTGGAGCAGAAGGCAGTGGGCAGAACAGGAGGAACAGGAGGAAATTGCACATTTAATTCTATTTTAGATTTTGCCTAATTCAAGCCAGAAGCCTGAAATGGGGAACTGGATTTGAGGCTGACAGGAATGGGGGAGGGAGGCAGGGAGTGGGGTGCAGTGTGCCAAAAGGGGACAAGCCAGAGAAGGCATTTATTTTGATGAATTCAAGCAGAACACTGGGACTTGAAATGGGCTACACAGCATGGAAACTAAAACGGAAATGACAAAGAGGTCACACCTCTTCTGATACAGCAGAGGCAGTGCTCATTAAGAAATACGGCCAACAATTCTATAATTAGCTTCTCCAGGAACTCTGTGAAACAGGAAAACGCTCACCACTCATTCCTGGAAATTCTAGCACAGCTTTCAGGTACATGTGCCCAGCATAGTGGTTCTTTTTAACTATTTTTTTCCTATGAAATCACTAGGGCCCCACAAGTTCAGAAGTCTTGCCACTGGGGAGTGATGTGTGCTGGTACAAAGCTATGCAAAAGGAAGAAGCGTTTGATTTAGGAGCAACTTTGCACACACTTAAAGCACCATGAAAGCATGTGACTACAGAAGGCTGACGCCAATCTCTTAAATTTCAGCTCAGCTTGGAAACAGAGATGAGGCTCAAATGCTAGAATCTTAGCCTATTCCCTATCCACTGGATAGCCCTTCCCCTTGCTAATGTTTGCAAACAAAAGGACACTTTATTAGACATTTTAGATCTCTCAGTAACCTTCCACGTTTACTCCAGTCCTTAGCTGACTACTTCAAGAGTGCATCAGCTATTGGTCCCCCTTGATGAGATATTCTCACCCTCCTCACAATCAGAGTATCATTATTGATGCTGCTTCCTGGAACCATCTGCTTGCTGAAAGTGCCATGTGGCACATAGGTACCTTACAATTGAAATCACCATGCTTTGATAAGCTTTTTAGAATACCAAGTCACCACAGCGTCACGAGAACCAGGCTAGGACACAATGAACTTGAGGGTCATGATCTGTCTATGCTTCAACCAAACGATGTGAAACACACAGGCTATCACCCCACACGTCAAATAAAGGGATAATTAATGGAAAGAAATGTATTTCCCAGATAGCAAGACAATCATTATATTTTTTCAAAGGAAATATTGATTTTTGAAATACTTTTTAAAAATAAAACATTAAAATCAATAATAAAGAAAGTGAAAAGGCAAAACACTAGGGACAATCATTTATAACATATGTTTGCTTTGTTTTTTCAGGAAAAGAATAAAGCATGCTTTACCTGTGTCTTAGCTTTCCTCTTGCTTCAAATTCAAAGGGAATCTCTTCACCTGTGAGGACTTCCCGCCATTCACTAACATTGTGAGCATCATCAAGAAAGGTTCCGTTCCCTTCTGGAACCACTCCTGGACTCCCACTGTGAGACAGTGCAGCCCTGGAACCAAATCAGACAACACCAGCTTGTCCTTCTTTCTCTCCAGTTCCCTCTCAAACAGGGTTCGGTGCTCAGAGCGGAAACCCTCCTGGAACTTGACTCACAGCAATAAGGCCATAAAACCCGACTACGACGGATGCCCCTAAAAGGTCAGTAACTAAAGGTATCTTCACCATCAATCACAACTTATTTGAAATTTTGGAAACGGCTGAAAGCTATCACGACGTAGTCACTTACCTCCAGCAGCAGAGTCTGGCACATAAGGTGCTATGTGAACTAAGTGACCACTTTAAAAGTATTTAAGTGACTACCTAGAATTTAGCAGACCTAAGCTGTTTCTAAAAAACAAAAAGCGTCTCCTCTAGAGCATTACCATACCTAGCGAAGGCGGGAGAAACATGGTTTCAAACCAGCCGACTCTGCTACTCATTTCACGCCCTCACTACCTGGACTGGAAAGGTCAGCAAGCATGTGGAAAGTTGAGCCAGTGTCTACACAGGCAAAAAGCTGCTAGAGAACGTTCTCACTTGGCTTAGGTAAACTTTCATTTGTTCTCCCAGCTCCACCCAATTCCATCTGGGGTGAAGTGTGTTTTAGGCTTGGAAGATAATTCTTAGGGGGGAAGGGGATATGGGAGGTGTTTTCAAAGCTGTCTTGGAAGAAAAATGCAAAACGTTTGCTTTAATAACCACACACAGCTTCTTCTAAGGAGGTGGGCAGCTGAGGAGAAAAGATGGAACGACTTTTCTTTCACACTTGCTACTCACATCCTTAATTTGCTTGACTTTTACTTTAAACATAATGTATACCAAGATCAAGAACATAATTTGGACATTTCAGACTCAGAATCTACTTCTCTGACTAGAGATTCCACACAGAACCAGAACCTCCATCATCAATCTCAGCAAGACAGCAAGCTCCTGTTTCGAGGACAAGCCCCAGAGCCTCCAGAAGGGGCCAGCTTGCTCTGCTGAGCTGGTACACAGGAGCCTCTGGTGGCAGCGATGGCTCAGGGGACAGATTAGGTGCTCCTTACCTGGTAGGTGTGGTGGTCAGGGTGGCAAACCACAAAGTGCAGCCTGTGTGATTCCTCAGAGCAAAAGGGACGAAGGGCTGCCGGCGCTTGGGGGTTTTCACCTCTGCTATGAACAAAGAGAAGCGGCCCATTAGCACGCGCCTCCGCATGCGGCAGAGACCCTCCCCACTCCTGGAGGCAGTGCCGAAATGGTCTCTTGTGCAAAAGGGCTGAAGGTGGAGGAAAGAGAAGGGACCACCACAGGCATGTTGACAGGACAAATGGAATCTCCCTGTGTTGTGCTGCCTGCTACAGGATGACCTGGCCCCCTGACAACTGGCGGTGATGTGTGACTACTCCGAGCCCCCAAGTCTCCCACAACTCTCACAGGCCCTTCTCAGAAGAAAGCACCAGGACCAAACTCAGCTGGAATGGAGAGAGAGAGAAACGGACCCCATCACTCCAAGGACGTTCTAAATAGGTAACCCAAACTGCAATAAGATACATCACAGGTACCTGTTTAAACTTTGTCCAAAACCCCTGTACTTTAATTGAGCAAAGCCTCCCTTCATATAAAAGTTACACTTTAGACATATTATGTATATCGTAACAAAACAAAAACATTCTTTCCTATTCTCTTATACCAATAGTTGTTTTGTTTTTTCTCCCTGGAAGATCAGAAATACACTATCCCAAAGCTTTTTAAATGAAACTTTTAGCTCATTTCTGTTTTTACATAGATTATCACCACCATCTGCTATAAGCTGAGTACCAGATAGACTACAAAAGGAACAAAAAATATGGTTTCTTTTCACAAAATAGCTTCTAACCAGGGAAACTGGAAAGAAACACTGATTAATACAAGACTATAAGTAATCAAATTCTAGAGAGAGTGGGCCTGATATAATCACTATAAGAAATCAGGGAAGTGAGAAACCACATGGCCAGAAACAGCCGAACAAGGGTTGCCAGTGGCCAGGCTGCCTCAGGATCTGTCTACAGGCCCCTCTGACTGCCCTGCCGTGTGGTCTAGCATGGAACAGAGAGTGCTAAGAGGAGAGGCATTGGCTCCTTTCACCAAGAGCCTGCATTTCTTCCACCAGCCACAAAAAGAAAGAGGGAAGAGGCAGCAGGAACCACAGATGCAGCAGCAAGCCAGTGCTGGGAGCCTCCTGGCTGACGTGCTCACACCACACGTACACGACCAACTGAAAAGGGCATAGCCCGGTCTTACTATGTGTCCAGCTTTAAAGCACAAAGACAGCCTGAGAAAGACCGGGACCCAAATGGTCTGCAGCTGTGGAGAAAATGACATCTAGAGGTGACTGCAATTGCCAGCTGAGAACACTACAGCAGAATTAAATTCGTCTTCCAGGACCACATGTTTCCTGCCAGCAAAACAGGAAGGTAAACTGCAGCAGAGCCAGCCTTCTCCCGGTTCTTGAGTAAGGCATGGGGCAGTGCCATAAACGTCTGTATTAGTGCCTCTTAAAAAGTAATCACTTTCTTTTTTTCCCTTTGTACTTTCTAAAGTTTTCAGAAGTTAGTACTATAAACACTGCAAAACAAGCAATTTCAGGTTCAGACAAGTTCTGGTTTGGTACGGACAACGGCTCAGGGAAGTCTGAGAAACAGTAACATGCTAAATAAATGAGCAGTCTCCCGTGTGTTCCCAAGATTTTGTGGTTAGTCTTTACAGAATCCATATACTTCTAAAGATAATTTCTGCCTCTAATATACCCATTTCTCATCCCAATGGCCTCACTTAGTTCCCTCTCCTCAGTTCCCTTTACAAAAAAAGTAGTGTTCATCAAGGAGAAAATTAAGGAGTAGCTGTGAGGTGGCTGACAAGAGCAGAGAGGGAGTAAAAAATTTAAGAGCTGTCTGCAGGGGAAACAGTACTTACTGTGGCACCTTGAAAGGCACCTCCCTCTCTCTGAGTGCAGTGAGAGAGTTGCTTTATTACAGTAGATAAAGGACCCAGGAGGAAAAGAAGCCAGATGTGCTTTGATATCCCACCGTGAGCCAGACTGTAAGTTTCCATTTGCAAATTAGATTTAAAAAGAACAGGTGGCAAATGGCTTTGATCATGCTGTAATACAGAATAAAGTGCTAGGAATCCATATAAAGATATTCACAAGTCTATTGCTTCGGAATTAAATAGCCTGGGTAGGCACACTGTTTTGCTCCCCAAGCTTCTTGTGTTGATCACACACACCAACATAGACGTCAGCAACACACCTCTCTGAGGATAAAAATACATAGAGTGCTCACAAATCCAAACCCAACACCAGGGGACAAACCTGACATCTTCTGCTGTAGGGTCCAAATCAACTGTATTTGCCTTTGGCACAGCACCAGAGAACAAAATCCCCAAGTCCATCAAAAAGAACAGTATTCCCTGGTAGCCTCAGGAAATCTGCCTCTAGTAAGCAGATCTAATTTCTCCACAGGCTGAGAGAACCCAGGGCTCTCCACGTCCAAGCTCAGCTTCCAATGGCTCCAGCTGAGGAGACGTCCACCCTTCAGACTCGTGACACAGAGCAACTTGGCCACTATAAACAGTGTAGGTTTTCATGCTATACAAGCAGCTTGGCCCATCGGAAAGGACCTGGTTTGTAAATCATAAGAAAGAGATTAAAGTCCCAGGTCTGCTACTAGCTAGTCATGTGAGAGAGGCAAATCACTTAGTCTCTCTGCCCTCACCAGCGAAACAGGAATAATGCTTTGCTTCATCTGAAAGATTTAATAACAGACAGAGAAAAGCTCAGAAGGACAAATCCATGAATAAATGAAGATTCAATCAGGGGCTTTCTTTGTGAGCCCTCCCCCAAACATCCATCTCAGTAAAACCTCCCAGAAAAAAACCATAGGACTGACCCAATGTATCAGTACCCCTGTTCTGAACTCCTGGCAGAGGGACCTCGAGTGGGCTTTTTGCCAAAATGTATCATGACCCAGGACCTGGTGTTAGCCAAGTCCAAGCATAAGTCGTTCAGATTAAATCACACTCCTTCACACAATCAAGAAATGAACATCTCGGGATTCCACTTCCTTGATGTTTCTGGTGCTTTCTCTATATTTCCTTGCCAGTCAAATTCTCAAGAAACCTTAAAGGGGCACAGAGAGAAATAAAGAACATCTTCTTTCTATCTCCTAAGCACCTCACTCGTACCTCAAGAAAGTCAGATCTGTGTCTACGCAATTGTTCACTGGGAAATCTCTTCTCGGCTCTGCTCCTGACCATATAGAGTCCCCGCGCTGCCATAATAAATGTCCACTGAGTGCTCTACAAAGACTTGCAGCACTGCCTGATGAGCACGGTTTTCTCCCCCTCACTTGCTTGTCAACATGAGTCATAACCTCTGACTGACACCGGATGTTTCTGCATCATACACTGTGGCGGTGATTCCATTTCCGCCACAGGTCAAGGCAGACGGAAGAGACAGCATAAGAATCAGCACATCGCTTCCTTCTGAGATAAGGTGCCACGCTGTCCAGAGGTCGGAAATGCTCTTTCCTGCTACTACAGCAAAGTACTCGAAACTGCATATACCCTCATTCACCTCCCATTCACAGAAAGTCGATGTACAAGGCAGTTCTCAAACAGGAAAAGAAAGCAAGCCCTCGCTTGGCTATACCGTACCTCCAGCATAGATCTGGTGCTCTAGGTTAGTCAGACTGGCTGTACTCCTAGTTCTAAGGTAGACAAGGGGGAGGCCTGGTAGACAGGAGAGACAAAGTTAGAGGGTAAAAATGAATATAGTGAAAAAGAAGACTCACCTCCAAAACACAAGCACAAACAGAGTACATGACAGAGAGCAAGCATCATGCAGTCACACGCTCGTTCCCCTCAGTGATTACTGGAGCTAAGAAGGCACTTGACGAAGTGAGCAAGACAGCTTCATGCCAGCTTTTACCGTGGAGGACGTGTCAAGGGGGCATGCTCCTTTCTTTCTCAAGTGGGGAAAGAAAATGTATTCAACATCCTCTTGAACGGAATGACAAGCCTTTTGAGGATTTTTAATGTAAAGCAGGTACGTTCTTAAATAGCACAGAAAAGTTACCAACACCCTTCAGTGGAGATTTTAGTGGGAGCTGCTCCATTCTGACTGGGAAAGGCAGCAGCCGTGGAATGCTGATCCCCCAGGGGTCTCAAAAATTCAAGGAAAGAGTCAGTCTGTGTTCCAAGTTTAACAATCTCTACTAAGGAGCTAGCTCATAGCATTATTTATATTATAAATTACACATGGAAGTTTTTAGAATATTTATATTGGATATTTCCATAAAATGTCCTTGGAATATAAAATATGTTCAATAAGGTGCAATGCCATCCAGGTTTACCTGCAGAGTCTCAGCCCTCACTGAACAAAGCCAACAATTATGTCAAAAATGAGGCCATTACTTTCTTTCCCCTGCTAAAGAAATGTGAGAAATCAGCAGCTCCCTTAGGCTGAATTTCATATTAAGAATCTCTATTCCAAGGGTTCATTTGAAGCTGACCTAATAAAACACACAAATTTGGGGGGAATGTGACTAAATATTCATGAATAAGACCCAAAAGTCTGTGATCAATTTAACAAGGTTCAAACTGACTTTCAAAACAAACGCCCAACAATTATGTTAGCAGGCCTATTAAAAGAATACAATCTCATTTGCTATACTACCACCCAGGAATTTCCAATAAGAAGTTCGGAAATTTAGGTATATTCACTGACGTCTACTTAAAAAGATATATTACACCTTTATAAGCCTAAGTAACCATAAAAATCTGTAAGTAAATAAAAATCCAGCTTTAATTTAGTACTGGCATTTAACATAGATAAGGCAGCTTATTAACTGTAAGGAAAGAGAAGAACGTTAAAAAAAAAGGTGGGGGGCAGGAAAGGGACAAAAAACAATCCTGAAGATTAGGCCTTCCTGGTGTTTGTACTAAATCTGGATTTAAGATCCCCCTGTATGAATAATGTTTTAAGAAACACACTCTCTAGGACACATTATATATTACAAACATTATTTCGAGTCTTCTGGGTAGACTACGTTACATTCTCTTGACACACAAATTGGGAAGGTTAGAGGAGGAGCCAGAATTTAAGCTGATGATATCTGAAAAGCCCTGGCGCCTAAGCAATGACCTTGAGACTCAGAAGCACAGCCTGGGAGACAGACAGCAAGCAAAGCTGACATTTCCTTGTCCCTCCTTCTGCAAGTACAAGGCAGATAAAAAGTCCATTCATCCACCCTGAGGAGAGACGAACCAGTTCAAACACTTCATACGCTAAGAAAATCCATCTTTCCGTGACATGTTTGCAGACCAGATGGAATATTTAAGTATTCATGAGCTATGTGAAGTCCAGCCAAGACTCCCAAAGAAACCACACGGAAAGAGCTGGGGCTGAGTTGAATGTGGATGACAATGGCTTGTGGAACAACTAAGGACCATGCTGTTGGCTATCACAATTTCCCCAGCTCTGAGGAAATCAGAGCTCCACGGTAAAGCATTAAATAAGGAAAGAAAACATCGTTAACAGAGAACAAACTGACTCCTGTTTCTTCAAGAGGCTGGGCATTCAATTCTTTTATACTTTATGAATAATACAGGGCCACTTTTAAAAATATTTTCCACATAGGACTCTGCCCTCCTTCTCTTCAAGAATATATCCAAACTCTCTGCCTCCAGATTTAGAAGACCAGAAGATGTTTTTAAAAATCCAGTCAAAAAGTCCAATCAATTGGAATGTTTTGCCGAGTAAAACAGAAACTGACCAAGGACTGATCTCAATGCGTTTTCAGACGCACCAGTTCATATGCGATGTTACCAAAATTTAGGAACTGTATATCGCAGATCCTTTCTCTTCCACAAAGGTGAAATTAGAGCTCATATCAAAAGTTTAGTACTTTGTGCCAGAAAAATGTCTCTTGCAAAGACTAAAACAGAACTATAGAAGATAGTCAGAATTTCCTGTAGGTCTTTCCATAGAAAATAACAATTCTATCTGGATTTCTCAATGAAACACGGCTCTGTAGTGATTTAATCAGACATTTGTAAGGAAAAATCTTACTTTGTCCAAAGCATGGAGGATCCACGGAAGAGCCCATCCAGTCTTCTGACGCAGCCGAGCCTGCTTCCTGGTCTTGTTTACAGTAATCCGCCATCCACGACTCCTTGGTACTTACATACTGGTCTAGAAAGAATTCCCCAAAGATATTAACAACAGAAGTAGAAAAGATTAAGGGTTCAAGTCAAGCAATTCCAATTCAGCAAAACAAGCTTTTATTAAATGCCTCACTATGTGCTGGGCACTCTGCTAGATTGAGAAAGTCTGTCCCCTGGAGAACCTCACACTCCACTGGAAGAAATTAATGTTAACAAAACCTAACTAGACACAATACGAAAGGAACTAAAACAAGGAGATAAATAAAGTTCTAAAAGAGCACAGAACAGGGGATGATTTATCCTGCGTTGGCAGAAGTTGGGGAAAATATGGACCAAAGTCCACAGGAATCTACAGAGAGGTGGGGACCTTTGTTCTGGGTCTTGACAAATGAGTAGAGGTTAGAGCTGACCACCAGTGGGATTAGGAATACAGGGACGTTCCAGGCAGAGAATGGCATGTGCAAACACTTCAAGACATGAAAGTACATGGCACATTTTGGGAACACTGAATACTCCGGTGTGACTTTGGCACAACGTATTGGGGTAGGGACATAGCAGAGAAGTCTAGGAAAAAGAATGACTTAGTTTGTGAAGTGTGGTGGCCAGGCTAACAGACAGGATTTGGAGACAGAAAGACCAGTTAGGAGACTGCTAAAAAAGCACCAAACTCAGGAGGCTAAAACCGAGCTGGTAATTCTCCAGGAGCAGTTTCCCTCTTTTGAGAGGAGAATTATCATAGGGAGAGCAGGCTACCACACCTGGATAAAGACCTTTTATACTAACTAAGGTATTAGACTTTTTAGAACAAGAATTAGTGGTCTCTGGTTTACATTTGGCTATATAAACGAGATTTATTTGAACACTAAGAGGCCACTGCGATGGTTCTGGGTTTCAGCACAGTATTAAGGAACTGAAGGTAAAGAAGCAAACAGCTTCACCCCTGACAGGAACGCCTTCTGGAAGGTATTTTTAAACAGACAGATGCTCATTAGAAATACCAAGAGAACTTCTACTTGAGGTAAGCCCTTGTTTATCATAGCTTTTCAAAGCACTACCCTAAACTTTATCTAAACTTCCAGATGATCACATTATATAAGAAATAACATAGGAGTCAAAATCATATAGTATAGAAGGGTCACGAGATCAATTTAGTATGACAGTTGATATTAATATCCAGGAAAATGAATGAACGAAATCTGATAATGTAAAACAGTGGTTTTAAAATCTGGGGATCAATGAACTTATGGTGTCATTTCTCCATCTTACTCTGACATGGAATAAGGCAATGGATATTTTAGAGCCTCAATCCAACACACACACTGAAGGAAGTTCCCAGATTTACAGTAGTATATGTTATCACTCAGCGATAACTACAGTATTACCAAAAATCACATTGTGAGATCAATAATTCAAACAGTGAGTGTGAGTTTTCATAGTGAAGGGTAGGCACTACCTGACTCTATGATCACGTTACTCTTCTTTTAGATGCTAAAAATACAAGCACAGAGTGGTCCTGACTCACTACGTTGAATCCAGGAATGTACATTTCAATGTTGTCAGAACACACACCATTAGCTTGGCAACCCTTCAGCTGAGTGATTTTCAGTTAGGTCAACACCATACTTGATGGGAAACAGTGCAGGTGACTTATCCTGCTACAAAGACAAGGTCAAAATTATACCTTTTAAGAATCATTCTGTGAATAGCCTGAGAGAAGTGAATCTAAACTCACTTCTAGAGCATTTAATAAACACCATTGACCAAGTATCATGGAGAGCAAGTTCATTATGGACATTTATGATTCCCAAGTAGTCTAAGCTTTTGTGTGATCATTCGCAGCATTAATATGGGATGCCAACTCTGGAACAATAGGTTGATGAGGCTAGGTTAAGGTTTATCAGGAAAGCAGCCATGATGAATAAGTGATGCCTGGTATGGGCCCAAGTATTTGCTAAACCAGGATTAATAGTCTTCTAGGCAAGGGACTTACGTACAGAGAGGTACCAATCTTCCAAAGACAACCTTCCACTCACCAATTAGTACAGAAGTGATATTGATATCCAAACGGGGTTTGGCCTTGGCTTCCAGCTTCAGTCGAGGAGGATGGAGACGACTAGCTGCCTGTTGTTGCCAGGATACAGAGCACGGCCATGGCTCAATAAATGGCTCCCAGCCTAAAAGAACACAGGAAATAAGACATCTGCTCAGCAGATATCAAGAGTTTGTAGGGGAACACTGTTCACAATGCTGAGCAACACAAACTATAGCTTAACAGTTTTCTATTTCCACTTTGATTTCACCATGAAAGCACCATCTTTAGCTACAGGTCACCCAACAGATGTCTGTGCTGTCAGAGGACATGAGTGGAAGAGTGTACATGGACCCCCACCACGGTCTTCCAGAGCTGGGAGGAAGGAGGGCAGGGAGCATGTACGTCCTCTTCTATTAAAGAGCAGGCAGGACCTGTTTTTGACCCACTCAAGATGGAAAAAGGAGTCTCAGACTCAGATTGGAAAAATACTATCAGTTGCTGATGTAACTATTACATTTTATTCTCCTGCTTACATCAAGAACCCATTGGTTGAATAAATAGGCATAATTTGGAAATTCATTAAGTTTTTCAAACATTTATTCTTAAAATATGTCATACGTACAAAAGGTATATAAACAACACATAGCTATGGTTTAAAGAATAAAATTACTGCAAATACTCATGTACCCACTATTCAGCTTAAGAAATAGAAAATTACGGGTTCCTTAGAAGTCCCTGAGTGCCACTGCCCCATCTCATTCCCCCTTCCCACCACCCCGCTCCCACACAACCCAATTAGCTTGAATTTTTAATCACTTCCTTGCTCTTTATAGTTTTACCACACACGTATGCATTTCTTAAGAATATATTAATTAGTTTGTCCTTTTGGGGATCTTTACATAAATGGAACCCACCTATATGTATTCTTTTGCAAGTTTCTATTTCTGCTCGACAACATGTCTGAGATTTACTCAATATCAATGACATGTAGCTGTGGTATACTTACTTTACCACTGAACTGTAATCCACTTGTGAATATACCATAATTTATTTATCCATTCCACAGCTCAGAGACACTCACCTGATTCCAGTTTTACTGCTATTAGGAGGACTGCCACTATAAGCAGTCTTGTACTTGTTTTCTTGTTCACATAAGCAAGAGAGTCTCTGGGGTACAGATGGAGAAGAAGTATATTGCTGGGCTGCTAAATAGGCCTATACTCAAGGTTATTAGGTCACGTCAAATTCTTCCCAAAGTGCAGGTACCAATTTACAATTCTAATAGCAGGAAATAAGAGTTCTAAGGCTCATATTTTCACCAATACTTAGTATTGTCACACTTAATTTTGGCCAATCTGTTGGGTGAGAAAAATGGCATCTCACTGTGGTTTTAAAGAGTCAACTTTTCAAGGCCAGTTAATTTGACAGTTTTCTAAGTATACTCCATCAGCTATAGATCAGGTGATTTACCAATACAAATCCAATCCAATATGTAGCATAAAAGAGGTACATTAGTCTCCTCACACCATTTAGCACTTAGTGACCTGAGTGTGTTCATACAACTTTAAAAGTAAGCAACATTCACCCTGGGAAAATAAACGATTCTCAGAAAAACCATATGCCCTATAAGAGTTTCTCTCAACTAGCAAAACTGGGGCCATTATTTTAAAGCTAGACATTTTGAACAATTAGGAAATAAGAATGTTACGTTTAAGTGAATCCGGAATAGAGAGGAAAAATGTTAACAAATGTATAAAATTAAATGGGACAGGTACTCTAGAACAATCAGCAGCAGCACAACAAACTGAGGCTGAATTTTCCATTGAAAGCAAAGGCAGCTGTCCCTCCTGGGCCTCAGCTTTCGACTGCACAGCACCGTCTACTGCGGCCACTCCTACTGACAAGAAGCTGTTCACAGCTCAAACCACACAGCCCTCCTACACGATGGCTCCTGAACGTCAGTCGGACAGGCCTTCACCTTGGTCTTTCCAGTGGAAGGAAAGAAAGCTGACAAGGCCTCGCAGCACACCCAGCTCTTATGTCTCTGGAAGAATACTTGCTCTGCTCGATGGTGTTTTGCTGCGGGGGCAGGTACAGCAGGTGACACATATTCTCCTCATGGAACAAACAGGCCCAGTAGGGAGCAGGAAGCTCGAAGTCTAAAATGCTCATGGGCATAAATCTCCCTTGAAATTTAGCTACTATCAGGGCCAGACCAATGATCCTTCACTACTGAGCAATTTCATGTTCCAGAGCGAGCCAAACTCCAGGATCAAAAAGAATTAACTATGAAAACTTTTTAAATAATTCAGTTGCAACATAACAGATACGTTTTTACAAAAATAAAAAATCTCTATCTTTTGTACTTAGGCTGTCACTTGTTTTTAATCTTGCCTTATCTGGCCCCACCCCCTTTCCCTCATGTAAAATTTATGTGTAAATAGGCCCAGGCAAATATTTAAGTGTGTTTTTGAAATCCCATGATAATATACGCCTCTACTGACCTGATAGTGCACGGTTATAATAATCTCCAGAAAGGATAAAGTGGGCGTGGCCTTCGGGGCTGGCTCTTACACGCTGAAGAAAATTCAGACCTGCAATGACAGCAAACCTCACTGCAGCAGCCGGGCAGGAACAACCAGACTTTCTTTTGCAGACAAATCACATCGAAGAGATGCTAGTTATAGCTAATACTGATGCTCTCATAGGGAAGCACACAAAAATCTGGTACTTTGTCCATCATGAATTTTTTTGCATGAATTCTGATTTTTAAAAACATTACATTATTATTAATCCTTTTTTTTTAAAGATTGGCACCTGAGCTAACATCTGTTGCCAATATCCTTTTTTTTCCCCTCTTCTTCTCCCCAGAGCCCCCCAGTACGTAGCTGTATATTCTAGTTGCAGGTCCCTCTGGTTGTGCTATGTGGGACGCTACCTCACCGTGGCCTGATGAGTGGCACCATATCTGCACCTGGGATCCAAACCAGCGAAACCCTGGGCTGTGGGGAAGCAGAATGTGTGAACTTAACCACTCGGCCACAGGGCCAGCCCCATTATTCATCTTAATTACTGAGTTTTTGGCACACCTTTGAATGCTGTGCATGAGGCAACTTGCCTCCCCCAAGTCTCAGCCCCCAGGTGTATCTGAAGCTTGTGGGAACATCAAAAACATATTTCTACCTGAGTACCTGGAAAGAGGCCGAGTGATAAGAGCAGCTTGTCCTGATAAATACTGGCTCAAAATTTTAAGATTACCATAGAAAAACAAGAAATAATTATTCTGTGCAGAAAAGATACTTATGGAAGCAATCAAAATTCCAGTTGTTACTTTTAATCAAGTGGCCCTTGTGTGACTAGAAGTACAGGTAAAAAGAAAACCTCTATAACGTGTGAAAGGTTGAATTAAATCCCCAGAGCCAAATTTTCCTTGAAGGGAAACGAGGCTGGCAAGATCAAAACAATGGAGAATGAACAGCAACCAGCAGTGAGATTTGCATTTACTCCCTTCAGAAGCCTCACCTAACACTGTGTCAATGAGGTGATTCAGGATAAAGGGCTTCTGCCCTAGGCCCACGGCTCTCAGACAAATAGTGCTTCACTTCTTACCTGGTCCTACAGAGGAGACTGAGGTGAGCTTCCTAATAAGATTCTGGGTTTTTTTTGTTTTCAAAAGATATATAAGGTAGAAGCATTACTTTCTGAGCTTATCGTTTAAATGCCTTTAATAACACTCATCACTATAATCTTTAGATACACAAAAGATAAACAAAATGGAGAGATCAGGAATTATTTAGCTGGAGTTGTTAATATAACAGAAATTTCGTCAATGACGATCTCTATTATCCCAACCTATAGGTTGAAGGCCATATAAGGCAAATAAATACACATTTCTTTAAAAGACAAATAATGAAAAACACATGTAAAACCATACTACTAAGTAGAGAGGAACATGACTAACATAATAAAAAGGCAGGTCCTCAGTAATTCAGCAATCACTGAAAATCCTCAAGATGAAGCTGAAAATCGGGGAAACACTCACGGGAAAAGGTGAGCTCGGCGAGAGGCACGTCACAATCCATGCAGTCATCGATGAAACAGATGCACACGCTCTCGGCTTTAATCTCCACTCCCGAGATCAGCTGTGCCGGCACAGTCCCCTGGCTCTCTCGGCTGTTAGAGGCCAGGGAAAGGGACTTCAGAGGTTCAGCATTCTTAAACAACCAACTTGCTGCCTTTTTCAATTGGCCTTCAAAGAAATTAAAAGCTGATCAGTTCAACCAGTTCCCACAGCTACTCAAGCAACTCAGAGGAAATAGAGAAATAAAGTCTATAGGGACTGACTGGACAGTCCAAGAGAACCCTGATCCCAGATACATTCTTACATGTAAAAAAGAAAAAATAGCATAATAATAGGAATTCTGCTTTTAAGCACATAGAACAAGGCCCCCTTTGTTGCTCACCTTCCACTCAAGTTTACCACATCTTTCATGATCTGGCTCAAAATGCCTCCAAGAAGCCATCCTTCCACTACTATGACATACTACGACATTGAAGACGAGGAAAGAGAAGAAAGGAGAGGATCTAAATTCTAGGTGCCACTTGGCACTTAAGGACTTAATCTTCACTATGTAGTTTTGCATATATTGGTGTGCTGCTTTGTAATTGTTCTCAGGTGTCTTATTTTGTACATACTTTGTCTCAACCAATCACAAATGCCTTGAGAACAGAGAGCAATGAGAACTGCACGTGTGTAATATATAACTGGTAACTACCAGGCCCCTGAATGCAACCAGATTGCTAAAGATAAAAAAGAAAAGAAAAAAAAAAGCAATGCAACCCCACACTTATAAATTCCCAGAGGCCAGGGCATGCAACAGCGGTAAGCGGTTATGGCCGTGGGCTCTAGAGCAAGATTGCCTGCTTCCAATCCTGGCACGTACGGGATGCTGGGTCTGGGCAAGTTATTTTCTCTCTCTGTGCCCGACAGCACCCACTCACACGACTGACATGAGAAGGAAACAAACAGAGTACAGGTAAAGAGCAGAGCCTGGCATATAACAAAGGCTCTAAAAACATCAGTTGCTATTATCATCTTTATTATTGACGGAACTAAGCCTTAGTTACTAAAGAAATAAAAATGAACAAACAAAAATCCAAAGGCTCTTAAAAATTTTTTTAAAAATGTGTTTGAATTATTACAGACTAAAAAGAAAAGGAAATGGAAACATTAAGGGGTATAAAGTTAATTAAAAATTTTTAAAAAGCAATGATGGGGGCCGGGCCAATGGTGCAGTGGTTAAGTTCACACGTTCCGCATCGGCCGCCCGGGGTTCACCGGTTCAGATCCCAGATACGGACGTGGCACTGCTTGGCAAGCTATGCTGTGGTATGTGTCTCACATACAAAGTAGGGGAAGATGGGCACGGATGTTAGCTCAGGGCCAGTCTTCCTTGGCAAAAAGAGGAGGATTGGCAGCAGATGTTAGCTCAGGGCTAATCTTCCTCAATAAAAAATAAATTAAAAAAAATAAAAATACACAAAGCAATGATGACTAGGTAAAAACAAAACTAAGGAAGGGACACATGATAACTGGGTCTACCGTCATTTTTTCAGAAGGAAAAAGATGATACTTAATGCAAACAATTATGTGGTGAGACCAGCATTTTCACACAGAATTGGTCAGAGTGTAACCTGGTACAATCTTTTTAGAAGATCTGTCAATTCGAGTAAAGAGCCCCCAAAATATATCTACACCCTCTGATCCAGTATTTACAAAACTAGGTCTCTCCACCAAGAAAATACTTAAAAGATGTAGACAAAAGTTCACACCGAAAAATGTTTGTTACAGAATTGGGTATAATGTTGAAAGAATGAAAAGCAACTGAAAATGGTTAAATAAATTATATACCCTTAAGTCAATGTAAAGAGTCAATATTTACAACTAATTTTAACGACATGGGAAGATGCTGCTGATACTAAGTATATCATAATAACATTGTAATTATTCAATAAAATTGTACTGTAGAAAAGGCTATAAAACTATATTTTCCATACAATCTATCAATGTACAAACTAGTATGTTTATATATGTATATACATAGCACACAGAGAAATAGAAAGAAAGAATGTATACGCAAGTATAAAGACTAGAAGAAAATACAGCTTTTGCCATCTCTCTTTTTTGAGATCAAGGGGAACACAGAGGGAGGTGGGAAGGTGGTGTGGTGCAGTGGAAAGAACAGCAGCACAGTGCTCTTAACCCCTCCGGGCCCTCACTACCAGATGACCTGAACCTATCCCAGCCCGTTTCCTCATCTGAAGTGGGAAGAATGCCCACCTCTAAGAGCTATGAGGATTCAACAGGAAACACAAGTTAGGCATACAGGAGCTCAGTAAACGGCCATGACTCTCAGCATCGCCACCAATACCTCTACCAGCAACAGCTGCTAACATCGGTAGAGCACTTGCTGTGTGCCAGGCACTTACGTGCTTTGCATACAGTGTCTCATTTCTATCAAAGCTCCAGGGGAAGTCCTCTTATCCTCAATTTACAGATAAAGCAGCACTGGCACAGAGAGATGGATAAGTAGCCAGTAAGTGGCAGAGTAAGGATACGAAGCCAGGAAATCAGCTCCAGAGCCCATATTCTCGTGCACTATAAAATACTGCTGTTCATTATTATTACTGGCCCACAGAGGACCACGGAGGGTCTTCAGAATACACTCCAGCTCTCCAAGTCATCTTGTGGGAGCGGGGAGGAAATGGAAGCATATTATTAAGAAAGAATAGATAATGGAAACACTCATTCAAATTACCTTGACACACCAGAAGAGCTTTGCGGCAATCCTCCATGCTGAACCCCAGTTCCTGCAGTCTAGCTAGCTGTAACTCTAGGAGAAAATGGTATATGATTTTTATAAATCACTTTATGTAAGTTAATCCATAGAGTAACTTAAGAAAAGAAATTCAGAAACTGGTGATTAAAACACCTCATTTCTCCAGGCAAAACTGGGTTCCTAATTGGAGACTTTTATCAAGTATGCCCTGATAATTTTAAGAGTCTTTTCCCTAAGTTTTTAAAAGTTTAAAACTCAAACAGTAATATTCACATAACTTTGGAGGAAAACTCAAAGTTTAAAACTAAACCTTAGCATTATGCATATAACTTTGGAAGAAACTGTAAAAGAAAAAACTGGGTAGGCTAGAGCAGTTGGTTTGGGGTGTTTTGTTTGTTTTTAAATAAAAAAAATTAGAGTCATACTTATGACTTACAATTATACTTAATGACATACAATTATACCCTGAACAATTTAATTGTGCAAAAGAAAATCTTAAAAGTTAAAAAGAACGAGAGTTATTAGCAGACTGAGTGGGTTTTATAGTTGAACACCTACCCAAGATAGGATCTAAGGTATGTCTGGTCCCTTCTTTGACTTCCTCTCCAACTCGAGCCGCACCCGGAGGGTAGCTGCCCCCAGCACCGGCCTCCCAGGCCGCGGCGCCCGGTGCTGCAGGGTTGGCTTGCTCTGGGATGGATTTTGCAATGGCAAGAAACAGCTGAACATCATTATAGGAGAGTCTGATATCCAGAGCTTGTAACTGAATCTAGCGAAATCAAAAAGGTGGCAGTTTTCAAAGTTGCATTTGGTTTTGTGTCCACATCTCTTAAAAGGTATAATTCCTAACACAAGTTCTAGAAGTCCAACAGACACTACACTCATTTTGAAGACCGGGAAGATTTAAAAATTAAGCACTAATAGCGATAAGGCAAAATGTCTCAGCTATGAGGTCAAATGTTCACAAAACTGCACAAAAGAAAAAATACTAAGCTAGGAAGAGCACTAGAATTAATATTTCAGTGGGATGATTTTTATACAAGTATATTAATCATTTAAGCAGAGGATCAAATAATGGCTCTGGGGGAAAATGATGACCCAGTAGCAACATTTCGTTTATCTATTTTGCTTTGATCTATTTAATTTTTTAAATCTCCGAGACAAACTGACCAACTAAATTTATCTTTTCTTTATTCAAACATAACCTTAAATGAGTCAAGCTTCACACTAATATTTCCAAAAATCCAGTCTTCCTCAGAGATTAGCAATAGCGCTACCATTGGTAAAAGCTGTACAGACACCCAGCCTGGACCACTTTAAAAATGAGATGACTGTTTGAATGTCTGGGAATGGTGCTTCATTTATTGACTTATTTTTAATTTTTTCAAAGGCCAAAAATCAGAATAGCTTTTCTCTCTTTCAACTCTATGGTTCAAACGAATTGCTGCATCGCCCCTCTACCAGAGAAATACAACACCAAATTCTTAAGCCGTCGTTGCCTGACTCCGCCTTCCCTTGTTTCGCCTTCCACCCTCCTCACTTCCCTACATACCTCTTTGTTCTAGTGAGACCTTCCTACGTCTCAGGTCTGCTGGGCCATGTCCACCCCTGACTCTGGCGCCTTCTGAAGCGGAATGCTCTCCTGCTCCGCCTGCTTACATCCCACACACCCCTCGGCTCAGACTCACCTCACCCTGAGTTCCACTCACAATCAATCTTCCTACCTACGTTGAGTTCTGCTCTCTATGAACTTTTATAGAACTTCAAGTAACACCAGACAATTAGAAGGTGTTTTATCCTCCACAACACTGCAAGGTCTTCTAGGACAGAGACAATGTCATTTTTATCTCATATTTGCTAAAGGAACAAATGGTGGGCTCAGCAGAGTCGATAGTAGTTCACGCACAGGAACGTGTTTGGGAGAGTATGAATGTGTTATACAGCTTTTTCATCATTACCTCTAAGACAGGTGGAAAATCTTCACTATTGAACGCATCCATCAATCCCGAACTATTCTGATAAGAAGAATTGCCCACCAGCTCCACTTGAATTTGTACCGGATCAACAATCGAGAGAGCTGTATCGTGCTCATTCCCTAGTCGGCATGAAAATACCTATAGAATAAAACGCAAGATGGCAAGAATTCACGTCTTGACTGAAGACGAGTCTAACATCAACAGAAAGAGAGACTATCTCAGACACAATCAGCTCTGTACTATCACGAAAGCCACAACAATGGCTGAAATAAACACTGTGACGAGTGAGGCTGGTACTTTCACCCACTGCCAAGAGCATGTACAGTGGTTCACCATGTGAAACGTAGCTTAGCAATACAGAACAAAAGGCCTAAACATCACACACCCTTTGATCCCATAATCCTACTTCTTTCGAAAAACTAACCTAAGGAAATAATGCAAAATACAGAAACATTCACTGAACCATTATTTAATAGTTAATAAAAAATGAAGAGCAAACCAAGGTTATATCACATCTACTCAACGGAATATTTTGCAGCCATTTAAAAGCAACTTAAAAAAACCATATGGAATGTAGGAAGATAGGTACAACATAGATATGTAAAAAAGCAGCCCAATCAAAATACTACTATGCATGACTTTAAGGAAAGAAACACATCAAAATGTCAGTAGAGATTATGTACAGTAGGATAGTGATTTTTCCCTCCCCTCCCCCAATTTTATGTAATATATTGCTACTTTCATAATTGAAAATAAATTAATTATTGAAGCTGGGTGCTAGGTACATAGGAGTTCATTATATTCTTTTGTTTACTTCGTAGATGTTTGAAAAGTTCTCTAGTAACAAGTTTAAAGATAAATATATCTATGGGGAGAGAGAAAGGAGGGAGGGTTCCCATTCGGGGACCAAATTATCTTGTGTGCTCAAGAAGAGCAAAGAGGAAAGTAGAAAGCATTCGTTTTGGTCTCCCTTGCTCCTTCCTTTTTTGGCATTTTCTAGTGCTACTGAAAGCACGTGACAGGAAGGTCCTTTGCTATATTCAAAATTAGCTCATTTTGCCTTCTCTCTAAATTCTCCCCCAATGATATATCAAAGAGGTCTTAAAATTCAGATCCAACTGTGCTACCTAAATAACAAGCCTAAAAGCAGTTTCCAGGAATCTCAAATATTTTTCCAAGTAGTTTTTCTAAGACTTTGGAGCAGGAAAGTTTCATTTTCCTTTTTCCTTTAGGGGCTTCTGCTACGCAAAACCCAATTGTACCTGACAGTTCATTAATCAATCACCAAGATTTTCCATTCAAAGCTGGTCTTGTGGTGGCTTGGGAAGCAGACGAACTACAATTTCATAATCAACTCACATCCCACCAGCACATAAATCCTTCCTCCCACACTGAGGTTTCTCTACATATGAGAAAAAATTGGTCAAGACGCGAAATCACCACAGGTTTTACTCAGCCACATCTGACCAGAAAAAAAAAGTACCATATGCTGCTGACAGTGAAAATAAGTTTTGTTCATTCAACCTCTGAAATACCACTGGAAAGAATAGGGCATGAAAAGTTCAGTCGTAAAGGGAAAGGAAATGATGAGTAACTCTGACCAAATATGCTAATGTTATAACAAGAGGAATGTTCGCTGAGATCAGTGAATTAAGAACACTTGATGGAGATAATAATCTGCCTCGCTTCTCCTCCTGTCTCCACAACCCCTAGCTTAAAGAGAGCAGAGCAGTTCTTGCTTAAAATTGTATAATGTAACGGTCAGGCTACAAGGGCCACCCCAGTGCAAATTCTCTCCTTCGGGAGATTAAATCAGAGCCTAAGTCACCACTATTAGCAACTCACTCTTTGATGCAGACACTTTCAAGGTGCCCTTCTGTAGATCAGATATTCCTAAAAGAATACCACATTAAATCCTTACACCTTTCATAAACAAGTTTCCAGGACCACAGAGCCCCAGCTCTTCACAGGGACAAGCACTCCCTGTGGGGAAAAGGACGCAGGGGAATGAGGGCCACGTCCTCCCCTTCACAAATTTGCCAAGGGCTAGACATGCAGAACTAGAGGACACAGGAGCCAGACAGGGTCTTGGGCGCCAGAAGAGTCTCCTTGAACTTCTTGAGGTGGGGAGGGTGGAAGAGAACGAGGTAAAGCCCCCCAGCACATGTACCGCCTGACACGGGAGGGCTGAACTCACATTAGAACATCCTGGTAGATCTGAGGAGAAAACCAAGAGGAGGGGCGAGGGCCCTCCAGTTCCAGTAATTCTCTCCTCCAGTGGAAGTTTAAGAGGTAAAATCCTCTTCCAGATGCTTTTCTCTAGAGCCAAACATGCAGTGTTTTGATCAACACACAGACTTCTTACCTCAATGCCAAACAAACTTCCTGAAAAGGGGCGATCAACAAATCGGGGCTTATAGGTGAGCACTGTGGTGCCTTTGAGAATAATGGCATTGGTATCAAAGCAGGACACATCCTCCACGACCACAAACTCCGTGCCTGGAAAGGACAGCATTGTCAGCCACGCCAAAGCTGGGAAGCTGGGAAGCACCAGGCTGCCACAAGCTAGGCAGCACCCGGCTGCCACAAGCTAGGCAGCACCCGTCCACCAAGGAGGACGTTAACCGTCAGATCTGTTCTCCGGGATGTCTGCTGATATTCAGCTTCACTGTCATCCTGAGCAAATTCTCTGTATCCGGCCAGGCACAGCTGAGCCAGCGGAGCACCGCACAGGCAAAGACAAGAATGCCGCTTCTCTCTTTAAAATCTATCTCTAAGCTCGGTCTCCCGGGAGGTCTCACAGAGATTCAGAAGCCCAGGAAATCACCCCTCTCCAGGGACGAGCTGCTTTAAAGTCCCAGGAAGGAGATGCACACACTAATGTTGGTCAGGCAGCACAAGGCACTATGCCATCTATGTGGCTACTCAAGTTATTGACAAAGAATGTAGATTTTTAAAAAATTAGTAATGCAAACAGTTTTCTATTCATCTATATATGGCAAATTTACTTTGCTTTATGCACTGTGTTTTCATCAAAAGCCATGTATAGTTTGAATTTTTGAACCTAATCCATTTAAAATGTATCGTGCTAGCCAACTTCCTCCAAACCATTGAGCAGCAGATAGGGTATATCACAAATATAACAATACACAAACACAGTCACATGGACTGAAGTGCTCATTAGTTAAAACAAAACCATATTGGGGCCAGCCCGGTGGCACAGCGGTTAAGTGCGCACGTTCTGCTTCGGCGGCCCGGGGTTCGCCGGTTTGGATCCCGGGTGCGGACATGGCACCGCTTGGCAAGTCATGCTGTGGTAGGCGTCCCACATATAAAGTAGAGGAAGATGGGCACGGAGGTTAGCTCAGGGCCAGTCTTCCTCGGCAAAAAGAGGAGGATTGGCAGCAGATGTTAGCTCAGGGCTAATCTTCCTCAAAAAAAAAAAAACAACAACAAAAAACCATAGTAAATCTGTTTGTCAAGGAAAATATCCTTTTTCTAAAGAAAATAACAATCTCCTCACTTATTTACTTTCTAAACTGAGATTTTCACATACCAAATTTGCCTAAACTCAATAAGCCCCATCTGTTGGGGCCCTAAAGACCAAACAGAAAATTGAAGCCAGATTTAACACTGGGTAAAAAGACCACTGTCCAGGCGAGTGCTCAGGCTGGGCATGCACATTAGGCAGGCAGAGGGGAGGGACAAGAGACCCTGCAGCCTTCAGTGTGGGCCAGGTAGCTCACATCTGAAAATAGAGGTCAAGAACTTCGACACTCTTTGGTCTGTAAAAGATGCAAATGTGTAGGTGCTCATGTCAAAAGAGAGAGGCAACAGAAAAGTTATCCTATAAGACACATATCGAGCCTAATATCCAAACTAAGAATTAGTGATTTACACCTACATATACTCACCTGTTACATTGACCTTGACCTCCAGGTGCCTTTCAGTGGACACAGGAAGAGAAGACCGCTTGGTAACTACTCCACTTTTCACAGTTTTGGGAACTGTAGCAGATTCGCTGCTAGAGTTACGGTGGCGAGAAGGAGTAACATTAGCTTGTTTCTTCATGTCACTGGGAGTGTGGAGAAAATCATGGACTAACAGCAGCCAGTCAAATATGAGAAACACACGGAGATTGTTCAGAACGACCGTAAAACAGGAGGAATCCTTCGTAGATCTACAAGAAAGAAAATCAAAAAATAAAATAAGAAAAGAGAAATACGATATTTTATTGGCTTGCAAATGTATTACTCAGTGTGGGCAGGTGGTATTCCAGTATTTTCTAAACTGACTGCTTTGAGTATCAATAAACTGTGGCCACTAGTTTTAACAAAACATTCAGTGTACGTTTTCAAAAGGTAATCATATTTGTTTCTTCTTCTTCTCCCCAAAGCCTCCCAGTACATAGTTGTATCTATTTTAGCTGTAGGCCCTTCTGGTTGTGCTATGTGGGACACCGGCTCAGCATGGCCTGATGAGCGGTGCCATGTCCACGCCCAGGATTCAAACCGATGAAACCCTGGGCCACCGAAGCAGAGCGTGTGAACTTCACTGCTCAGCCACGGGGTCGGCCCCTATAATCATATTTTTAAACAAGGAGGAATAGGCCCTAAGAAAACAGTATAGTATAGTCCAGTGTTCTCAACCACGGGTGATATTTGCTCCACAGGGGACATTTGGCAATATCTGGAGACATTTTTGATTGTCACAACTGGGTGGGGGGAGGGGGTTCTACTGGCATCTAGTGGGTAGAAGCCAGGAATGCTGCCGAACATCCCACAATGCACAGGACAGCCCCCACAACTAGGAATTATCTAACCCAAAATGTCAGTAATACTGAGGCTGAGAAACCCTGCTGTAGTAGAAAGAGCACAGGCTTAAACCTGTCACTTATAAATTATGTTAACTTAGGAAAGTCACCTACCTCCTCTGAGCCTGATCCCTCACTTACAAAATAAGAAACATTAATACTGTAAGAGACAAAGCACCAGGCACACAGCAGGGGTTTGACAAATGTCAGTTCCCTTCTCTAGGGGCTATTTCAAGACAGTGAGGAACACTTTGATGTCTAGGATCAAACTTCTTTATAAACACCAAATTTACATACTAGAAGGTTTCTCTAGCTGGAACTGACCTGAGAGCCCAGATCTTTTAACCTGAGGAGGAGGACAAATAAGATGACGTTTACTGTGGGTATTATCCCCAAGCACCCTAGAAGTGGAGTTGGAGAGAGAGAATATTAGTTTTGTAGCCCCCAGTATCCAAGGAGGACTCTTAGGCCTGGCCTCAAACCATGGTGTGCTCAGGGGCTTATCCAGGCCCTATCAGTACATTAGTGGGAGAGATGGGGAGGACAGAGGAAAAATGGGCTAGGAACACCTCTAAGAAGGTTTCAGGGTTGAACTCTGTTCTGTGAGCCTAAAAGCGACTCTAGGGCTCTAGCTACCACATGTACCTGGTTCCTCCCCTAAAAGGGGCTTCTATTCAGGAAAAGCTGATTTGGAGATATTTTTAAGGCTGGTCTCTCGTGTTTCTCCTAAACCTGGCTCACTGCCTCTAGAAAAAGGACACAATGATGCATGTCTCCTTCATACAGACACGGCATTTTTCACAGAAACACTTTACCCTTTTGTAATAGAGAAAAAATGTTGCCCTCAGTAAAATTTTTCCACCCCATTTTGAACACAGATCGTCAGAGCTATGCACTAACTGGAAAGTCAAAGTGAGTCTGATCCCTTTTCTGGAAAATATTTCAAGCCTTTAAACACTGTGAAGTGATTTATATTTGACACACAAAATCCCAACAGAAGAGCAATTCTTCTTGAGACACAGAAAGCGTTCAAAAGCTCCAATCAAGAGAACATTTCAACCCTCTCACTAACAATGATATTTCTGTTAGCCAGAGCCAAGGTAAGACTTTATTATTTGACTCCAAGAAATTATATACCTTTAGTGTATCAACAGAATAATATTTCCAGGCTGCTTATATATGAAAAATATGATAGGTGGGACAACTAGCTGATAGTTCAGGAAGCCAGATCAACAACAATAAAGCAAACCCCAAAAGAAATTGTTCTGCAGATGGACCAAATATATCCAAGCCTCCTGCTCAAATAAACATCATCTTCAAACAAAGAAGCTGCGAATCACAGCCAGCTTATCATCTGCCTGCAACCCGCCCACTGCGAGCAGCGAGAAGCAAGAACGTAGAGCCACGGCGGTCTTGAAGCCTGCTGGAAGGGACACAGGCTTTGAAGTCAGACGCCCAGGTCTGAGTTCCGATCACTTCTCCACTTACTAGCTGCGTGACTTTAAGAGTTACTTAACCCCCTCCAAGCTTCTACTTCTGCCTCTGTAAAATGGGAAAGAAGTCACCCACTTTGCAGACTTGTGAGAATTAAGGGTCGGTAAGTGCCTGGCTCAAGGTAGGGCTCGGTAAGAGGGGACTAGCATTCCTATTACTGAACTTTGAAAAAGTTCACACAAACATTAAATGTCTACTTTGCTAGACTTCCTAAAGGCGTATGGGAGACCGTGACTTCTCCCTAAAAAAAAATCTCAAGACTGAAAAATTCACTGAACAGGACATTGAAATATCAGGCATATTTAAACATATAAACATAAGAATAATCTTGACAATTTTTTTTCCTTTTTTTGCATAAGCAAGAAGTTTTTCCCAGCCTTTTTACTTACTGGTTTATATTTACAACATATCTGATGACATTACACACTACTAGAATGAAATTGACATTGGTTCCAAAGGTCTCCTTTTGGATTTGCATTGAAGGATTTCTTTAGATCAGACTTTTTCAGGTCTATGCTCAGTCATAAAATCTTACAGCAGTGTATCATAAAATAACACAAGCTCCATCAGGAATAATAGTAACAGCTACCATCTGTGCCTAGCAGCATGCCAGAATTACCTTGTTTAATTATTATCTCCGCCCTACGAGTCGGCAAGACTTGGATAGATAAATGGGTAACACAAGTCAAAACCACCTTCCCTTCTATTATTTGTATAGGCCAAAAGCCTTTTTTCCTCCTTAAACAGTATCATTTCTTCCTTTCCCAAGTCACTTTGCATATTAAAACAGCCCACAGCTTACAGCGAGGTTGACTTTAAGGATCTGGTTTAATTTTGAACTACTTTTATTTTTTTTTAAGGCAACAGAGACATCTTTTGGCCAACAAAAGAAACTGCGGGGTTACAGGAACACTAAGTACAGTACAGTACACCACACTGATATGCCATCATCTGCTTATCTTTTCAGTGATTCCTCAGTCCTTTGATGTTCTAAAGCGACATGGACTTGGCCCACTGGCCACAAAAGGAAAGGTCTCGATAAAGAAAGGCAAAGTCATGGGGCCGGCCCCGTGGCCGAGTGGTTAAGTTCACGCGCTCTGCTGCGGCGGCCCAGGGTTTTGCTGGTTTGGATCCTGGGTAGGGACATGGCACTACTCGTCAGGCCATGATGAGGCGGCGTCCCTCATGCCACAACTAAAGGGACCCACAACTGAAATATACAACTATGTGCTGGGGGCATTTGGGGAGAAAAAGTAGAAAGAAAGGAAAAAAAAAGAAAGGCCAAGTCTGGGTAAGGATGTGCCACCTGAAATGCAGCTCGATCTGAATGGATCCTTGGGTAGTGCCGCTGTTCTTGGAGGGCTGAAAGACACAGCTGAATACGTTTGTCACGCCAGGACTGGTCTTCTGCCCAGCATAGCGCGTGTCAAAAGCCATCATGGAATGGGAAACCAAGTTAACGGACTTGGTTTGGTTGGAAAAACTCTCATACAGCAGTTTACATTTCTTGAAGTCAAACCTAAAAGGGAGAAAACAGACGAGAGGTTAAGCTCTTCTATTTTACAAAATTATGTAAGTCCAAGATAAAAGAACAAAATTATAACTACACCTAAGTTCTACGAAGGAAGATAACTTGCATTGAGACCTTTCATTGATTTTGTTAGCAGACTCCTCAAAATGGATTTAGTGTCATCGTGCCCTGTCTCTCGCTTTCCATTGCCAAAGAGCTAATCTTCTCCATGGGAACTTCATGTACCACAGGAATAACAATACCACATATTTACTGTATTCTTGGTTCATTAGCATTCTCATTTCTCACCTCAAGTCTAAGAAGGCTGTGCGTCTGTAATAATCCCCACGGGATGTCAAAGGTCCCTCTAGACCTTTGTCCGTCAACTCCTGGCCTGACTGGAGGACCCTCTCTCCAGAGCCTGCTGAACTTTTACATAAGACCACTCTACCTTACTGGGAACAACCAGAACAAATGAGACTCTTCACTTAGCGAAATAATATAACTGATCCACCAGCAGGAAATGCATTTGGGACTGCCTTTTTTTCCTTAGTAACAGAGAAAGCGGCAATGAGCAATTCATAATTACTCAGTAATTCATAATTCATATGAATTCGTAACTACCATCATGACAATCTGTACAGAATTGCTCTGTACTGGAAAAAACTGAGGGCACAGCCAGTCATCAGAAAAAGTTGCTGGCTTACAAGACAATCAGTCTGGGAGCCAGCTTTACTATATCATATTCTCATTAGCTGAGTTAGGTACAGACCAGGATGGACTTTGAAGGAAAAGACAAAACAAAAGACAGAGTGCTTCGTGGGGAAATTATTACCCTTGAAATCCTGTTTTCAAATGTCGAATTACTTTTCCAGCCATATGATGTCATGCTAATCAAAAACTCTTATCTGGAAAATAGGAGTAATACCTACCCAAACTTACATGACTGTCAGGAGATGAAATTGAAAGGTTATCAAGTGTGAAAACACAATACACTCTTGAAGGTTCTATACCAGTAATCACAAATTCCTGGTCTACACTGATCAAGCAAATGATATAAACAAGAGAATTGCTAGGTAAGCACATGCCCTGTGTAAGGCAGCCCAAGTTGCTACTCAGCTTCCAGGTGCTTCCAAGGGAGAACATGGGCCCAGTACTGCCAAACTTCCCAATTTTTCAAAAGAAGCTGAAACCCAAACTTTTTACGTGAAATCCCACAATTTTTGAATGTTGGCCAGTGAAGTAGTCATCAGTGCCACTCACCAGCTAGTTTTTAGTCTCTCTCTACGCAGACACATGGTAAGACTGTACTTCCCGATTCCTCTGTGCTTGCGTGGGGCCACGTTCTGGCCCCCTGAGGTTTGCAGAGCATTTAACTGCCGCTCGAGACCACTGCAGAGCTCTTGTTTTTCTCACTGGCACACCAAGATGCTGGAGTGACTACAGTAAGCAGAGCAGCCCGAGACCCACAATGGACACACGGCATGAAGAGAAAAATCCCTTTGCTGTTCTAAGTCACTGCTATTTTGGAGTGCTGGTTACTACAGCATAACCTCAGCTTTCTTGACTGATACAGCAATGAATTTAAACTTTTAAAAAGCACTGTGTAGACCAACCAGAAAGCACTCTGCAGACCACATTCAGCCATGAACCACCACTGTGTAACTTCCACTCTATGCTAAAGCAAAATATGTGTATTATTTGTATTGCCATAACTGTAAAAGAATACAATTAAAGCCACACCTGGCCAGGGACCCAGCGCCTTCTCTTCCTTTTGGGTCTTTCAGCTCCAGACTTACATTCACCATATCAATGAGGAAACACATGCACGTGTACACCTCTCCACTCAGAATAGTCTGCAAAGGGAAAACGCAATCAATCTACTGTTGATGATGCCAACCTAAAAATGGAGTTAATATGTCAAGAAATCCAATCTGCTTGTTGTTCCATCTTCTTTCCCCAGGTGAATTTGAGGAATTTATACACAGAGTGGCCACCAACTGAGACTATGAGAGTTAGGGAAGAACGTTAAGATCTCACGTGAATTCTCGGATCTTGCAGATCATAAGGCCGCATAAACTCCTCTATGGGTTCTCCAAGGTTGTTCTCTAACAAACCACGGATCAGCTTGTATTTGTACAAGTCCAGGGAGCAGTGAACTGAGGAGAGATTGCCATGGATAGATATGTCTGGCACAGTATGACTTATTTCTCTATGAAAAAAGAAAAAAGGTCACTTTCACAAACAAATCACTAACTCAACATTGACACAGCCCACGTTCAAATGTAAAAGCTCAAATGTGCCAGCTACATTATCAACCAGTTAATTTCAAACTTCCAAAGACAAAAGTTTCACCTGGCTCCCATGAAGCAAATTGGTACGACTAAGCGTCATGCTTCAGCTACAAAAAGTCCCTTTCCTCCCAAAATATACATTTACAAAGGCCCCAAATCTGAGTTAACTAAGTAATCTATTAATAAGGAAAAATCTCATGAGACTCAGAAATAGCTTAAGCATTACAGTTGGGAATGCAATAAAGCACAGTGACAAGCTCTGTAACTCATCAGATTTAGTGATAACTAACGGCAGAAACCAGTGTCTCATGCTGAGCCCAGATGGGACGTTAGGATAAAATCTGAATCAGTTACTTGTCTTAGCTGAGACGGCAGGAGTAAAGTGAAGACGCCAGGGTTAGGGGGTAATACACCTCATCCCAACACTGCAGAGCTTTTTCTCTACTCTGCTCCCCCAAGGGTGCAGTAAGCATCAGGGTCCTGCAGACACTACACTCTGAGTATAGAAAGCGGAGGGTTAGGATGTGAAGTGGAAGAGGAAGATAAAAAGTTACTTTGTCGACAGAGAAAAACGTATATACAAGAAAGAGAAAAAGGACCAGTGACGCAATCAACAAAGAAAAGCTGGAAAAGATTCTCAAGCGTTCTCTTGGGTTCCTGTTTCCGTGGTGTGAGAAGCTAATGGGGTACCTTGTGTTCAGTTACCACCTTCCACCTGGGCTAACAGAGTATAATCATCTGCACATAAACACTGATAGAAGTGGGTAACATTTAGACAAGCAGAGTAGCAAAGCACAGTTTTTTTTTTTTGGAAAGCATTACTTGAAAAGAAAACAAAGTGTTCGATTTCTAAACAATGAAGCTCCTCTTAAGACTGCAAAGCCAGTAAAATCAAATACAGCTCATGCCAACCATAACTGAACACCAGCCAGGGAGCACTTGAACCACAAGTAAGAATCAAATGCAAAAAACCCAACGAGAGCGGCTAAACGTATCATTAATCCACAGAGAGAGGAACAAGTGACACCAAGTGACTTGAGCAAGCCCAAGAACTGCAAAGGGAGTGGCCGAAAAGGGATTAAAACCATACTCCATCCAAATAAGGAGACGGCTTCTCTAGATGCTACGAATGAAGATCTCCTTCATGACTTTACAGCCACACCGCAGCTTTCCCTGGAGTTGAGATGCAAATGTTGCTGCTTCCTCCAAAATTAATGCCCCAATTAAAAGACATCACACACTAGCCAGCAGCTCTCAGTCCAGCACATGGGCCAGGCAAGCCTAAGCACCAGCAGAGGACCCTGTTAAGGACAGTCAGGTTCTGGTGGTCTCAGGGAGGGTCTAGGAACATTTATTTTCAAGAAGCTTCCCAGCCAGATACGGAACAAATGACAACTGAAGCAGTGCTCTAAACCACAGAAATAAGCAGCATGTGTTCTGAGGCCAATTAAAAGGTAAATTACAGTCAGTTCATTAGTCTTTATGGAGTACTTTCAGATTGCTTTAATGGAGTGAAATAGGCAAAACTGCATCTAAACAGTTACTCTGATGAAATGGAGCTCCAGGGTAAACAGCAATAGCAGGTCCAGAATCTACTGTCTTCACAACACATAATCCACATGTTACTTCTTCCAAAATACTTTCCCTGCCATCACCACCTCCCTACCCCCACCAAAATCCACACCAAATTCACGTCCCTTCCTCTTGGTTTCCAAGGCACCTGCTGCAACCCTACACATACGGTTTATAACACCGAATCCAACACTAAATTAGAATCATCTCCTTACCTTCCTACATCCTTCAACAAAACGTAAGCTCCGTGGGGGCCGAAGTTTTTCTTTCATCATAGGAGCCATGTCTAGTACACAGTAAGGACTCAAACATTTGTTTCATACATGAAGAAATAAGCGAATACCTATGCTCTTCCAGACTCACGTTAATAGACTTACCTTACTGAATTCCAAGTTATTAAGATTCTACTTACAATACACAGTTATTCGGATCCGAAACACTCACTTGTCCAAGTTCCTTTCCACTTGCAATTTCAGCCTACAAGGCTCAGTTAAGAGGCTTCCTCCTGTCTGTCGTACAAAATAGGAGGGAAAGATCAGGTCTCCACTGTTGTCTTCTGAGGCCTTAGAATACTCTCGTGGATGTCTCTCTGCAGCAAAGATGTCCATGTCTTGTAGATCCACAACAATGCAATCCAGCAGGCAGACATGGTCTTCTACAGGGACCCAAGGAAAGAGAGACGATGAAGAAAACGGGACCCAGAGACGGCTGGCCCTGAACAAAACTAATGTCAAAGAAGGTTCATTCTGTCTTTGGAAAATGTTTAGAACTGCCTGCTTCAGAAAACTGGGCGTCCAGAAGTCTCCATGCTGGCACCAAGGCCTCTCTATGCAACACTCCATGTGCTGGACACTTCCTCCTGGCACCCCTCCACACTAAGCACATACTGTGCCACATTCCTTCAGTGTCTCACTACCATCCTGGGACTCTAACTGAGGCTAAAGGCTTTATGACTAAAATGACGTAGCATGCATCCCTCCCAAGGATATCCTACAGAGGTCTTGTGTAGAGATAATGCTACCCAAAGGTTTACAAAATCTTCCAGCAGTAAACTTCTGTTTCCAAACAAATACCATGTGTAACCTTTCCACTACCACTGATCTAATCCAAACCACCTTCCTTTTTGCCTAGACCCCCATAAACTCCCCTCCAACACACCTACGTAGTTCCATTCTGCCCCCAAAAACCACTCTGCCCACCACATACCTCAGTAATCCTTTAAAAAAATCAATGAGCCCATAACATTCTCCTGCTTTCTACACTTTAATGGCCATGTTTAATCCAAAGCTCTTTCTGTAAAACTCCCCTAAGTCCCCGGAAGACCCTGCATAAGCCCACTGCCTACTTTTCCAACCTCATCTCTAGCCATTCTCCACCTTGCTCATGAAGCCTCAGGGTCACGGGCCTTTGTTTCTCCAAAAATGCCAAGCTCTTCACTGTCTGAACACTCTTACCTATGTTGTCACTGTCCCCTCTGAATCCCACCTGGGTCCTCTCTGTTTTTTTGGCCTACACCATTCTGTCTCTCCAGTAACATTTATCTTAATCCGTCAATATTCAAATGCTGACTTAATGTCTTTCTCATACGATTCACATGGTCACAGGAACCATGTCTAACAGCATGTTAACACACAGGAGAACAAAATATTCTAAGACCTGGCATTAACCAGGCATTAAATAAACTAGTTCTTGATCTTCTTGCTATACTGATAAATATGTGAAATAGATAAAGGCGGAGCTGATCTGGTAGAAGGGGGCGGGGGATGGGAATGAAAGGCTTCGGAGACTCCCTAGGACACCAACGCGGAATCCCAGGGACACACAGAAGCAGGCTGAAAACCACTACCTTTATCCAATCTTAATCACAGAAGAATTCCAGAAACAAACGGCAAATCCGGAGGAGAAATATTGTTAGGAAAGAGAGTTTTCCATAAAACATCCTAAAGCACTTGTTATAGGCATCCACCTACATGTAAGGCTGGCCTTATTCCTAAGTACCATTGTCATCGTAACAAGAGTAACAGAAGATGACATTTATTCAGCGCACTGTGTGTGCACCCTGCTCCCTGCTCTACATGAGTTCTGTCTACAGACTGGTAGCAAACAGCATGTAGGGTAAGAATTCAGGTTCTGGAGTCAGACTGCCTAAATTCACAGTCCAACTCTGCCATTTACTATGTACACAACTGCAGGCAAGTTAACTTACTTAATCTCTCTAAACCTTTGTCTCATCTGTAAAATGGGGATAAAAATAAAACTCTATATGGGTGTTATGAGGACAAAACGCAATAATTTATGTAAAGAATGTGCCCCAATGCCTGGCACGTAATAAGAGTTCAACAGCTACTGTGATGATGATGAGTCTGATAAGCCCACTTCACCATTAGTGCAACCACAAACCACTGTGCTGTCACCCAGCACTACAAGGCACCGCAGGGAGTGAACTGCTCCTCACGTCTATCTAACAAGACACTGGGCCTCCTGCAGCTCATGGCCCACAGCTCTCAAAGTCCAACCACACTGGACTGATCTTTGTGGCCAGTCATATTCTGCCTCCCTCTCTAGCTCCATGGAGCAGCACCTCACTTGTCCACACCATCACCCATCCAGAACACATTTAAAAACTAAAAGGCCAAAATCAGGCTCTCATCTGGAATGACTAATTCTTAAATTCTAGAGAAAAGCGCCAATGGCTGGATGGTTCACGTCTTTTAAAAATTGTTGCTCGGAGTATTTCTGTTGTTACCTAATTCACATTAATATTTTTTAAAAGAGTTCTTTTGTTTTTTTAGAATTAAATAGTGACTTGCAAGGACAATGTCTGGATAGTGACTTGCAAGGATGTGTCTAAGGATGCAGGAATTGTTCTAGTAATACTGTCACCATCTGGTGGCAACCATCCTGATCGCTAAGAAAAAAGTCCTACTAGACAATCTAAATCTCTTTATTTACACTGTGTCTTGCTAATTCAACCCTACTTTAGAAGTCTAATGCTAAATCCATAGCCTAAGATTCTTAAGCCTTCTACAGCAGTATCAAAATCAGATTATCACTAAAGAAATGCTATCACTTTGTCGACATCTGCTTGTACAGGTTACATCTCCCCTTAGGTTCTCGCACCGGCCTCATGAATTTCCCCGCCGTCATTATGTAGCTCCTTTCTCCTCCTTTACCTGGACTGCTGGAAACCTGGCCGACAGAGGGTGTGGCTTGTTGCCTGTGCTGCTTGGTCGAGGTGCTGGGCACAAACTCACTCTTCAGGCTGCCTAGACTCATTCCCGCAGGAGGCATCACGAATAGCCCCTGGGAATGGGTCCCCTTCGGCTCCTCCGCACTGGTTGTTTTCCTCAGACTGTGTTTGGGCGTACCCGTTGGGGAAGCTGAAGGCACAGATTCCTGGGAAGAAATAAAATAAAAACAGAAGGCAGGAATGGAGGTGACATCTTTACTATCCTGGAAGTTCCATCCCAGTCCCTGGGCTCTTCAAAGACTCACCGGGCACTTCCCAACCACCCAGATCCCATCAACAAAAGGGTAACAGGGTCATGACATTTATGCCACATGTAATTATTTGCAGAGATGTTACATATAACTCAATACTTGTTGAAAACTATAGCAATTGTGCAGGAAGATATTATCTTTGGCTTAAGAGCGCATGTCAAAATGCTAATTGCCAGTGGTTTAATCTAGCTCAAAGGCAACAAAAACAAATCACTCAGCCATATGATATATGTTGCTTGGCTGGAGGGGAGGGGCTATTGTTCTAAGAAAATGTGTCTAACAGCAATATGGCTCCAATGGAACTCAACTATGGTAATGAGCCTGCACGTTCTAGAAGTCTCCCTCATGGGTTTACATTTCTCATCTCTCAGTAACTGTGCAAATGAAAACAAAATGGAAAACACAGGCAGTCAGCCATTCCTACTATGTTTCTGTTCAAGAACATTAAAATTAAGGGCTAATCCAGAGTAAAATAAATTCTATAATTCTATTGAAAATACTACATACTTTTCTTACATACGTACTTTCAGTTAATTTCAACAGGGGTAACTCTTTTTCACCAGAATGATTCAGTAATTGACTTTTAAACTTCCCATGGTCTCTTCACCAAAGCCTCAGAGCTACGTATCTGTGTGGCCCCTCCATCATGGGTTTGTTTTAATCCATCCATTCTCAGAGCAAGTTGGAGGAGGGGAAGGACGGTTTTCCCTACAGTACCGCCTTGTATGTTTATTCCTCTCAGCATTTAAAAAGGAGATGAAAATACTGCTCTCTTTCACAGTTATCTTGAGTAGTAATTACATGTAACCGTGAAAGAAACCAGTTCTTAATTTCTGCAATTTTTTTGCAAGTCAAATTACTAGGTAAATGCTATTATTTAAGCATTCCAACATTAGAAACCTTCCCTCTTGCTTAGTTTATTTAAACTCTAAAGAGTATTTGTTGCTCTTTCATTTGATTCTTCTCTACATCCTCTCTGTAGTTGGTTTAAATAAATCAATGGCTTGAGGAGATTAACTCAAAGTTTTTGAAAGATTGACTTAGAAATTACGGTTTAAGAACAAGCTATAGTTGAGAAAGATAAAAGGAAAAGCCTATGTAAAAATTCAAACCTGCGCTCATTAAGACATGGATTTACGTACAATTCTAAACACACAGGAGTCACAGAACTCAAAGGCAAAGAACCCATGTGCAAGCTTTGGGCTCAGGATTGTTTCCTGTTCTTTAACCACTGGAACGCATGGCAGACAAACCTCACACATGCAAATAAGGTACACGCATTAGTCACTTCATCTGGGCTTAGACCAACCGAGCTTGACTGTACGCATAGAGAGGTAAGCTTCACAGACAGGTTTATCTGATTACAAACACGTTACAAGCGACACACTCCAAGCAGCCCTTATGGAATTCCACAGAACAACCACTGGTGCAGAACAGGTAAAGCTTCTCCAGGATTTAAGGAAACAAAGTAAGATCACCAAGAAACTACTACCTAGAGCTAAAAAAAAAAAAAAGAAATTGCTTTTAATGGACCTTAAGAAGGAATTCTTTACACAGAAGTGATTCACCAAAAAAAAAAAGTGATAAGCAGGCTTTCCTCAGCAACAAGATATTTTAAATTTTCTTTAAGTATACGAGTGTGAATTGACTGCTGAATCCCATAAGGATTTTCAGAATAACCAGGAGGCAAAAAAGCATATTATACCTTGAAGAAAAAACGATCCTTGTATGCACTGCCACTTAAAATCAAATCCTCGAAAACAAATACAGGGAAATTTTTTCACTAAAATGCTACAAACTATGTGCTGTTATTTGGCTTACTTAACAAAATAGAAACTCTTTTGCAAAAATTTCTTGAAATATTTTGGCAATTCTTTAGAGACTAACTTCAGAGTCAGCTCATGAGCCCACATATAGATAAATCTGATATACAAAATCAGTTTTTCACCTTTTTAGGAAGAGCAGAGAAACAAAAATGGTATTATTGAACTTGATCACCCACTTTGGCTCTAACTGATCTCTTTCTAAAAAGTTTAGGCCTCAAAACAAAGATTTCCCACAAACAAATATATAACAAAGAACTTACTATTGGTTCCAAAAATGGTTCCCAAGGAGGAATTCAACTCTCCCTTGGGCAGTAATGGCAGCAGAGCTGGAACAAAGACGCACTATTCTGAGGTGGCACTGGGACATCGTTCACGTGCAAACGCAAGCGCTGATACTTTTGCTTAATATCTAATCATACTAATTATAAATGCCTCTTACTCAGGAAGAGTGAGTACAAAACTTTAGAAGCAGTTACCAGTCTTTCTTTTCATGAAGGGATCTTTCTGCCGTGGTCTTTAAGATTCCAGTCAGTGAACAGCAAAGTGCTCGCCACTCAACCAGAAAACAGACCTTCTTCATAAGACCAAAGTGACCAGCCCTCTCCTAGGCCGACTGGGAAAGCGATGGGGACTGATTTTACTTTTACTAGCTTAAGAAATATACATAAGCAGAAGCTTCTTTCTCAGCTTTCACAGCAGCATCTGGCAGTAAGGCCTATTACCCAACAGGAGGGCTTCCTGCAGCAAGGCAAACGCGCGAGTTCTCAACCATCACGCCTCTGAAGACACGTCCGTGAACCTGGCCGTGCTCTCCCCGTTGCACTGCGAAACTGCTGTTTTGGTTTCACCCTCTGCTCTCATCAACTAACACTGGTTTATATGAGCGCTGGAAGTGAGGTGATATATGAACAACTTGCCCTCCAACCCTTCATCCAAACACCCCTACTCGGTCCTGAGCCCAAGGTCACGACACATGAACATGGTCCCGTGGTTCTCATCTTCACTCGTCTCCTTACCTATTCCCACTCACTGAATCCAATATGTCCGGTTCAGGACATTTAGGTTAGTAATAGTGAGTAAATGGATGAGTGAGAAGTAAAACAAACGAAGAAAAATATGCAGACAGAAATCTGAAAATAATAACATTATTTGAATTTAGGTATTATCAACAAATATGGTCTTTCTATTACTTTCTCACTCAGGTTAGGTCCTCGGCAAAGTCCTGGTAAGGACTACCACCCTAGTCACTTTCTTTCAAAAAGTAACTGCTCAAATTTATATCTTTTCTGTGATAATCTTTGGAGTCCGTCCATCTAAGTTATTTTAATGAACTCACTGCCATACCTTTTAGAAAATTCAAAAGAGCTACAGCCATTCAGGAAAGGGCCAGTGAGAGACATAGCAGGAACAGCCTTTGCCCCATAAACCTAGTCCTCACACTGGGAGGTAGAATCGGATCAGGCTAAGAGCACGGAGGACATACTGAAGGCAGACACATCAAAGTCTCAAGTCCACACTGCACTCCTTACTAGCTGTATAACCCAAAAGAAATGACTTAACCTATCTAAGTCTCAATTTCTTTATCAGGAAAAATGGTGTTAATAATACCAGACACCTCTTAGGTAGTTAATGAGGACAAAATGAACAAATACGTAAAGAGATTAGCACAGGCTGATGTATAATAAGCATTCAACAAACATCAGCTATTTATCACTAGTATTACCGTTAGTCAAGATCTTACAATCAAATCTTATGTATGTCCTCCTTCAAAAGCTCTCTCTCCCCATATTATGGGCCGTTAGACTAAACAGGAACACAACTAGCTGGGAATTTCAGTAAGTGCTTTTCTGATACTGAATAAGCAGATAGAATAAAAAGCTGCCGTCGAAACCAGCAAGGTTTCATTAAAACACACTCCAGGAAGGACGAGACCGCCTCTAGGTCCAGCAGTGTTACTCAGCCTCCTCAGCCGCAAAAATGGAGGGAGGGGCTGATGACACCACGTCCAAGGTGCTCCCAGCACTGTCTATAATTTATTAGGTGCTCCTACTTTTATCATTTATTCTCAAATCCTAGTTTTTCCAAATGTAAAATGAAAATAACAACAAACTTCATCCCAATTACCTCTAAACGTTGTAAGAAATAAGTGCTAAAGTACTTTTAAATTGTAAAGCAAATACTCTATAAGAGTTTATTAAGGTATTTTTAAACAGCTTCAGATAAACATTGGGCCAAATCAAGTCCTCTGACGAAAGCCATGTAATGTAAAAAGTTGATTATTATAAGGTCAACCTGTGAGGAAAACATTATAAAGATGGGAGGCTGGCTCTGTTGGCTTGTTCTTTAAAATAAGCTAATACTTACAGTTAGTAAGGGTTATAATTTACACTTCCCCTATTAAAAAGTTAATTGAAATGTCAAAAAAATATTCTTCACATCACCTATGCTACAAAAATAACAGCAGTTAGGAACCGTCTTACAGCAACACATGAATTTCTCAACTGGTGTTCAAGTACTAGTTGAACCGAAAAGGGAACGGATACCGATTGCTCACCTTATCCTGTAAGGAAAAGGTCCCAGGAAAACCAGCAAAGAGAAACTTGTTCTTGACTTTCAACTTCCCCAAATTTGCTACAATCAGATTATTTGATCTAGAACTTTCCGGGATAAGGAGAACAGGAGCACCGGCCTCAATATCCAGGAGAACCCGTGAACAGCGCTGGGCTTGATCTCTCACCTGAAAGAGGAGGGAAAATAGACGGTCAGTTAATTCCCTCATTTTACAATCAAATAACCTTAGGTTCCCAAAAGTCTCGTAAATTTATAAATTTAAAACAACTAAAATCACATAAAGTGTATTCTATGCCCAACATGGAGTTAAATTAGAAATCAGTAACAAGAAGATGATGGAAAATCCCAAATATTTGGAAATTAGACTATACACTTCTAAATAACCCGTGGGTCAAAGAAGAAATCACAGGAGAAACGAAAAATATTTTGACCTTAAACAAAAAAGTACATTAAAATTCATAGGATGCACTTAAAACAGTACTTAGAGAAAAAAGTTTAGCATTAAATGCTTATTTTACATAAAAGAATAAAGATTTAAAATCAATCATCAAAAGATTCCATCTTAAGAAGCTAGAAAAAGTTAAAGTAAAATAAACCTAAGCAGAAGGAAGAAAATAATAAAGAGCAGAAACTGTTATTTAGAAAATATAAACAAGAGAGAAAAATCAAGTAAACATTTATAGAACACTACACTCAACAACCATAGAAAATACATTCCTTTCAAGTGCACAAGTACTCTTAAGGAGTATACAAAACACATGCCTCAATAAGTTGGTGATTTGAAAATACTGCTGAAACTGATAAACTTCTACCTATATTAATAAAGAAAAAGGGAAGGAAACAAAGATCTCCACTATCAGGAAGGAGTGTGGGACGTTGCTACAGAACCTAGAAATATTAAAAAGATAAGAGAACCTACGAACAACTTCACGCCAACAAACTGACAAATTAGATGAATTCAACAGATTCCTTTAAAAAAAAATGACACAAACTATCTATAGCTAACATCATATTTAATGGTGAAAGAATGTTTTTTCCCCTAAGATAAGAACAAGGCAAGGATATCCACCTCACCACTTCTATCCAACACTGTAGCAGAAGTCCTAGTCCGTGCAAAAAGGCGTATAGGTTGCAAAGGAAAAACCAAAATTCTCATATTCACAGACAACATAATCATCTATGTAAAAAAAACCTTAAGAATCTAAAGGAACTTCCTAGAATAACTGAGTTTAGCAAGATTAGAGGATACGAGCTCAACATGCAATATACAAGAGTTATTTGCATACATTTCTTATACTTTCAATAAACAATTGGGCATTGAAATTTTTAAAAAATTGCTATCATTTACAATAGCATCAAAAATTGGAAATACTTAGACATAAACCTAACAAAATAAGTGTAAGACTCATACAAAACTTTACAAAACATCGTTACAATTGCAAAACATTGCTGAGAGAAAATGAAGACCTAATTAAATGGAGAGATATACCATACTCAAGGATCCAAAGACTCAAAATGCTTACGATGTCAATTCTCCAGATATACAGATTCAGTGCATCCCCAATCAAAATCCTGGCTGACTCTATTGTAGAAACAGACAAGCTGATTCTAAAATTCACATAAAAGAACAAAGGACCTAGAATAGCCAAAACAACCTTGAAAAAGAACAATCTCATAGGAAGAGCTGCACCACCTGACTTCAAGACAGACCACAGAGCAACAGCAATCGGGACAGGGCGGTACTGACACACAACTAAGTGTCGGTCAGGGGAACAGAACAGAGAATGAGGACACACACACACACACACACACACATAACGGTCAACTGAGTCTCAACAGAAATGCCAAGATAATTCAACAGGAAAAGAACAGCCTGGAGATAATGATACATACATAAATATATGGGGGAAAAAATCTCAGCCCTCACTTCACAAAATACACAAAAAGCAACTCAAAATGGAAGAGATCTAAAATATATAACTTCTAAAAGAGGACGTAGGAGAAAATTTTCGCCACCTTGTGGTAAGCAAAGATTTCTTTGATAAAACACAGCACCCGATCATAAAAGAAAAAAATTTGACTTCAGCAAAATGAAAAAGTTGTGCTTTTCAAAAAATAGTATTAAGAAAATGAAAAAAGAGTTAGATGAGCCACTGGCTAACCCAATAATGAAAATGTTGGTTGGCAGTATCACCAGCAGAAAAATAATTTATCCCAAATTAATGAGCATGTAGACAGGTGGGCAATCTTGAAAACTTTTTTTAAACATAAAATAAAGCTGGGAATCTATACAGCTCTGTATACTTACAAATGAAAGCAATGCTTTTTTCTTCTTCTCCCCAAAGCCCCCCAGTACATAGTTGTTGTTTTGTTTTTGTTTTTGTTTGGAGGAAGATTAGCCCTGAGCTAACATCTGCTGCCAATCCTCCTCTTTTTGCTGAGGAAGACTGGCCCTGAGCTAATATCCATGCCCATCTTCCTCTACATTATATGTGGGACGCCTGCCACAGCATGGCTTTGGCCAAGTGGTGCCATGTCTGCACCCGGGATCTGAACCGATGAACCTGGGGCCGCCGAGAAGAGGAACGTGCGAACTTAACTGCTGCACCACCAGGCCAGCCCCCCACAGTTGTATATTCTAGTTGTAGGTCCTTCTGCTTGTGCTATGTGGGATGCCGCCTTAGCATGGCCTGATGAGCGGTGTCATGTTGCACCCAGGATCCAAACCGGCAAAACCCCGGGCCGCCGAAGCAGAGCACGCGAACTTAAACACTCGGCCATGAGGCTGGCCCCGAAAACAACTTTTGAAATAGTACTTGAAAAATAAAATTTTTAAAAAGCTACAGACTGGGAAAAAATATTCACAATACTTGCATCAAACAAAGGATTTGTATCGAGAATACACAGAGGAAGAAATAAGGTCAATTCTACACAAACTCTTCTGCAAATAGAAGAGGGAACACTTCCCAATTCATTCTACAAAGCCAATGTTGCCCAGTTACCAAAACCACAAAAGGCATTCTCTTTTTTCAAGAAAAGAAAACTACAAACTAATATCCTTCACAAGTATAGATGTGAAAATCCTTAACAAACCTTGAGCAAATCAAGAAAACTGTAAAAGCATCCAAAGACAATAAGTAAATGAATGGTCAGGACTGTTTTCCAATAAAACTTTCCATGTGTGTGTACACGTGTGTGCAGTCTCCTGGGCCATAGTCTGCCAACCCCTGGAATAAGTGAATGCTTTTCCTCTAAGACTGGAAATCAGGAAAAGATGTCTGCTCTCACGACTTCCATTGTACTGGAGTCTAGTCAGTGCACTAAGGGAAGAAAAAGAAATGAAAGGCATACAGACTAGAAAGGAAAAAGTAAAACTCTATTCAGACAACATGATTATCTATGTAGAAAATCCTAAACAAACTACAAAAAAGGAACTAAAACTAATAAGGGTGTCTAGCAAAGCCGCAGGGTGCAAAGTAGAAAAATCAACTGTATTTCCAGGTACAGTCAACGAAGAACTGGAAATTGAAATTTTAAAAATTAATATTTATAATAGCATCAAAAATATGAAATGTATAGGGATCAATTAAATGAAAGATGTATAAGACTAGTACTCAAAACTGCAAAACACTGCTGAGAGAAACTAAATAAATTTAATTAATTAATGGAGAAATATGCCATACTCAAGAAACATACCTATGGTGCTGTGAGATTGGAAAGATTAATTGCTTTCTCCAGATTCCCTATAATTTGAATATGTTATTTTTAGGTTTTAAAAAAAGACATTCTCTGGAAGATACACAGGAAACCGGTCATATTAGTTGCTCCCAGGAAGAGAACCTGAGAAGGAATTGAGAAGAAGACTTTTCTCAAGCGCCCTTTTTCACTTTGATTCTATACCAAACCAACATATAACATACTCAAAAATTTTTAATCTCCAAAATTGACCTACAGATGCAACATAATTCCAATCAAAATTTTAGCAGGGTTTATTGTATAAACTGACAAACTGATTCTAAAATTCGTATGGAAAAACAAAGAATCTAGAACAGCCAAAATAATCTTGAAAAGACCGTCTCATAACGTTAAGCATATAGTTACCGTATGACTCAACAACTCCTCCCCGAGATATTTACTTAAGAGAAATGAAAACACACATCCACATAGACTTGAATGCAAATGTGCATAGCAGTTTTATTCAAAATAGCCAAAAACTGGAAACTACCCAAATGTCCACCAAGTGGGTGAATGGATAAACAAATCATGTTACATTCAAACAATGGAAAACCACTCAGGAATAAAAAGAAATGCACTGCTGATACTTGCAACAACACAGATGGATCCCAAAAGCATTACACTGCGTGAAAGAAGCCAGGGACAACTCACTACACACTGGATGACTTCGTTTATAGGAAAAAAAAGGCAAAACTATTGTGATAGAAAGCAGACCAATGGCTGCCAGGACGCAGGCATGAGGGCTACGGGACTGCTTGCACAGGGGCGTGAGGAAACTTGTGGGATGATAGAGAAGTTCTAAATCTTGATTGTGGTTGTAGTTACAAGACTGTATACAACTGTTAAAACTCATTGAATTGTACACTGAAAATGGTTAATTTTATTGTAAGTAAATGATACCACAATAAAGCTGACAAAAAGTATCATGTATAATACAATGAAATGTTTCTCATATATGGATTAATGAAAAATATAGATCACAAAACAGTGAGAACAAGACAGATACTTTTCTTATTCATATTTTTTTGTTGATATTTCTTCTACTGTCTACAAAAAAACAGATATTACTTTTTAAAAAGAGAGAAAAATACAGCCTGTATAATATATAAAAGGCTCTTCTTTTTTTGGTGTTAAGTGCATAAGTCAGGAGAATTTACAACACAATAAATACTGTTTTCACTTTCTGTCTGTACATGATTGGCAGTACTGTCTATCACCCCCTGACTACTGCCTGTTTGCTTTGTTTTTAAGTGAATTTCACACTTAAAATTACAAGTTACAAATTAACTCATATTCACTGTAGAAAACTTAGAAGAGAAAGACAAGCAAATGGGAAAAATACAAGCAAATGGAAAAAAACTGCTATCATCCATAATCTCGGCACCACAGATAAACACCGTGACCATTTTGGTGGTTTAGTGTAGGAGTCAAGAGTAGCAGCTCTGATGCCTGACTCCCTGAGACTGAATCCTCGCTCTGGCCACTTACTGGCTTGGTGATCCTGGTTAAGTTGCTAGGTCTCTGTGTCTCACTTTCCTTAACTGTAAAATGGGACTAATAATAAGCCCCTATCTTAAAGAGTTGTTAGAAGGATTAAATGAAACAACACACCTAAAACACCGAGAAGGGAGTACGTGACAGCTATTATTAGCACATCAACACAACATCCTTTTAGTCTTTTTTCCTATACACTTACACACACAACTATTTTTTTTTTTGAGGAAGATTAGCCCTGAGTTAACTACTGCCAATCTTCCTCTTTTTGCTGAGGAAGACTGGCCCTGAGCTAACATCCATGCCCATCTTCCTCCACTTTATACGTGGGATGCCTACCACAGCATGGCTTTTGACAAGTGGTGCCATGTCCGCACCTGGGATCCGAACCGGCGAACCCTGGGCCGCAGAGAAGTGGACCGTGCGCACTTAACCACTGTGCCACCAGGCCGGCCCCCACAACTATATTTTTTAGAGTTCAACATATTAACTTTCAGATTCAAAAATAATAAACTATTACTGGCATACTGTACAGCTCCTACTTTTTTAACATGCCTTAATAGTTACGTGTTAATGGGAAAAGAACAGAATGACGAGTTAACCAGAGCTAAGAGTCCCAGACGACCAGAGAGGAGTGACGGTTTCTTCACCTATTAATGGCAATAGCACACCCACCCCTACTCCTCATCGCGTACCATCATAACTCATGATCTCTCTTTTCCTGTTTCTATCTTCTCACTAAAATACAAGCTCCATGAGGGCAATGACTTTGTCTTTCTTGTTTTCCACTATGTTCCTAGCACACGGCAGACTGTAGGACGCATCATTCCTCAAGGAACATTCACTAAATAGGTGAAGAAATGAACAAACAAGGTTGTTGTAAGGATCCAGTGAGAGAACATACGTGAAAGCACTTTAACATAAACAATTACTAACCGAACGTACAGCACACTTATTTTTGCTATCTCCATTTTCCTCCTACACCTGAGTCAACAGAAGAACAGCAAGAAAATAACTTGCCGATGGTGACACAGCTGACAGCGGCAACACACAGACTCCAGATTCTTGTCCCAAGATTCCTAAATTACATGTCTTAGCTCCACCAAAAATCTGCATTCCTGGTTGCTCAGTGAATAAAGAAATTTAATATAAGAGGCATCAAGTAAAGCAGAAGACACAGGAAAACTGTATCATACTGTGGGCTAAAAAATAAAGGAAACAATTTATATTTGGCCTAATCAAATTAGGTACATGATATTCTAATTTCAAACATCAAGATTAAAAAGAAATTTAAAGTGCTACTGGATTACAGACACTAGAAAATGCAGGAATAAAAATCCAGCTACAAGTCAAAGGTAGACGATACCACCTGCCACCAGTACAATATTAGGAGAAAGGAATTTAAATTCCAAACAAAACAGCCTCTTAATCTTATCAGCAAATAAAAGTAGGTCTTTAGCTCTCTCTATAAATCCGAGTAATTCAAACAGCTAGGATTAAAGATCCTTGAGAAGATTAGCTTTCCTTCAAAGCCTACACATTTAGCACCATTCAAAACAGAAAAACATTCCTTTAACTTTTTGCCTGTCTTAAATAATTTGATAAACCAAAGCTTAAAAGACTTATCTGTTTAATTTCTGCTTACCCTAATTACTCAGAAATGCAGTGTCTCATTTCGTAACCCAAACCCAAAGGGTTCCTCACAATAACACTGTTTAAACATGTAAAAATAATTGTTTTAAACGTACATAACAATTGCAGCAGACAACATTTAGCAAAGTTGTATTAAAGAGTCACAAAAATGTTCACGACTTTGATCAAACAATACTATTTATAGGATTCAACCCTATAAAAATAATTTGAAAAATAAAAACTATGTGCACAGATATTCATGGAAGCATTACTCGTAAGAATAAGAACTGCAGGACCAGCCCACAGCTGAGTGGTTAAGTTTGGGCGCTCCGCTTCGGCAGCCCAGGGTTTCGCTGGTTCGGGTCCTGGGCACAGACATGGCACCGCTCATTAGGCCATGCTGAGGCAGCATCCCACATGCCACAACTAGAAGGACCTACAACTAGAATATACAACTATGTACTGGGGGGCTTTGGGGAGAAGAAGAAGAAGAATAAAATAAAGTAAAAATAAAACACTGACAACAGATGTTAGCTCAGGTACCAATCTTTAAAGAAAAAAAAAGAATGCAAACTGGAAGCAATTCAAATGTTAAAAAATAAGGAAATGATTAAGTAAACTAACATGATGGATTATACAGTTATTAAATAGGATAGTTAAGAAAAATGCAAAGCAAGATGGAAAAAGATTATGAAAAGAAACTGGATTCCAAAAGTGTATGCATAAAATTAACACACTTCACATACTTCACTCTATGGACTGTATGATTTTCCTCAATTAAAAGTTTTTCTAAAAAGCCTATGTAGGCCATAAACGGAATACCGTTTTACACTCAGTAATTGGCCCAAAATGAAAAGGTTGACAATACAAGTGTTGGTAAGGATCAGAATTAAAAGGAATTCTTACACATGCTGATGGGAGCGTGCCATTGAGACAGCCATTTTCGAGAACAGTCTTACACTCTTATAAAGACAAACATGTTCATACCCTAAGGCCCAGTAACTCCACTCCTAAGTATCAGAGAAGCTCTGACACATGTGCATTCGGAGATGCGGTACACAGCACTAGGACACTGTAAACAACCCGAAGCTTCAACAGGAGAATGGGTAAGTCATCCGTGTCAGACACAACGAAATACGACAGTGAAAATGAAGGAAGTGCAATCAGATGTAACAACACGAAAGAATACTAAGACACTAAGTGACCGAAAAAAGGTCACAGAACATTAAATACAGTTTAATACCATTTTTATAAAGATCAAAACAAGGAAAACAAAAGATAACATAGAGAAACTTTTTTTTTTTAAGGGACTAGGAGACCCGAAAATCAGGACAGTGGTTTCCTGTGGAGTTGACAGGGGAATGAGGGAGGGAAGGAACACAGGCAGCATCTTTGTAATGTTTTAATTTTTATTTTGGTGCTGGGTTCATGGATGTAAATTTATTATCATACTTGGTAACTTTAGAAATTTGATACATGCTACAACTTATATACATGCTATAAATTTTATTTATTTTTTTTTTTTGCTGAGGAAGATTTGCCTTGAGCTAACAACATCTGTTGCCAATCTTCCTCTTTTTTTTTTTTTTATGTGAGCCACCACCACAGCATGACCACTGATAGATGAGTGGTGTGGTTCCACGTCCAGGAACCAAACCAGGGCTGCCAAAGCGGAGCAAGCCAAACTTTAACCACTAGGCCATCAGGGCTGGCCCCCAGATATTCTTTTATATGTGTCAAATACCAAATTTTTTTTTAAGTCTCTAAAGAGAGGAAAAAAAGGTTACATACTCCATGATTGTAACCATGGAAACATGTATAGGAAAAAAATAAATTAAAACATACCTATGGTGCTAGGAGATCAGTAAGATTAATTCTTTTTTCCAGATTCCCTATAATTTGATCACACTATTTTTATATTTTAAAAAAAAATACATTCTCTGGAAGATACACAGGAAACCAGTCACATTGGTTGCTTCCAGGAAGAGAATCTGAGAAGTAATTGAGAAGACTTCCCCTCATATGCCCTTTTTCACTTTGATTCCATACCAAATCAATACACAACATACTCAAAATTTAATTTAAATTAAAACATAAAATTTTTAGAGGTGCCACTATAAAGCAGTATCTATCTATTCCTTAAATTATAATCTTTTACCCAATAAAGTTTAAAAATAAATAAATAAGTTTTCCAAATAACTACATCATCATTTTCTGTGGTTCCCAAACTGCGTGCCAAGACATCACAGGACACGGGCTTGGAGTCACAGGTGAGCTGCCAGCCTGGACATTTTACGTTTTTGAGGGAAACACATCATCTGTCGGACACTGGACAAACTACTAGCTTGAGGTAGTTCGCATTCACTGTTAAATCACGCTGCATTCCTTTCAAGGATATCACATCATTGCAAAGCTACGTCTCAAGCAGCCACTACAATAAAGAGCAAGTACCATAAGAAAATAAATGTGGAACTGGAAATGAGGGTCGTGACATCCAGCCTGACTCCAAGTTTGAGAAGTTGTGCAGTGCCCAAGAGGCACATACATCCTACTAGTAAGTAACTGTAGCTATTGGAGAATGAAATAAAAATATTATGCATTTATGTGGTATGTTTTGAAACAGCTACTAAGTTGTTAGGACATACATATTTAAGTTGCTTAGACTTAATTATTCTGTAAATGGAAAGGCCATTAGGTGTTTCTTTTGGCCTAGGATGTGCCACGGAAAAACTTTCCAAGACATTAAGGCAGCCACGAACTAGAAGTCTGGGGACTTCTAATCTATTTGGGAAAACCCTCCCTGTAGAATAGATACGTTCCTCAGGACCACTCTCCAAGAGAAGCAGCCCCACTAAAGTCCTTGAAGGGCCCAGGAGTCTCAAGTGTTACCCATAAATTTCATTTATCTTTCTTAGAGAAAGCTAAAGCTAAACTCTAAAGGTAAACAGGATATAACGAATAAGGAATATGAGCTCTTCAATTACAGCAAGATTTCCGTAGATGATCAGCCACATGGAGGACATTAATGAGCATAAAATTACCTAATTATCTTTACTCTTTTCAGTGAAATTTTCCAATTTAGCTCTAGAGGCTTAAAAGTTCCATCATCAGTCAAACTGGAAAAGCAACTTGGACCAACGAGACGACCTACCGTCTGCCCCTCAATAGCAGCTCGCTGGCGCCCTAGGACATCTTGCAGCTGGGTGAAATGCTGAATGAAGGCCACCACCTCGGCCTGGAAGCGCTGAGTGTGCACGTACTGCACGGAGGCCATCTGCAGGCTCACTCGGATGTCGTGCTCTCTCCGGAGCAGAGGGTCAGGCCGCCCATATCTAGGAGTAAGACGTCAGCAAGATACAGGTTAGTATTTGCAGGAAAACAAGCTACTATTTGCAGAGAACTTGGGTTGATTTAGGGGTTTCCCTAAAAAACAGCTACAACTACTATAATAGAAATCCGCAATCAGGTTTTACACAGCAAACTCCAGTAATTACTCCCTTTCTAAGGTTCAGCGACGTGTTGAGGACATTAAATAAGTCTGGTGTGACAGCCAGGGCTATAAACAGGTGGCAGCTTTGGGCACTAAACTCACTCTTGACTCCAGAACTCACTCAAAAGCCACCTGTGGTTCACACCTTCCACCTGGGCCTCTTTCTCCCTGCCTTTAAGGAAAAGTGACTACTCCTGCTGTCTCTGTTCTGGTAAGGATTGTGACAATACGGGCTTGAAAGATAATAAAAATAAGGCCATGAAACAACTGGTAAAGAAAATCAGGCAACAGAACCAATGTTTCTGGGGAAATTTGTCTTCTGGGTGCAAACAGAAGTCTTCGTTTTACTTCATTGAAATGGAGGCCAGGGGCCGGCCCCGTGGCCGAGTGGTTAAGTTCCCGCGCTCCGCTTCAGCAGCCCAGAGTTTCACCAGTTTGGATCCTGGGCGTGGACGTGGCACCGCTCATCAGGCCATGTTGAGGCAGCATCCCACATGCCACAACTAGAAGGACCCACAACTAAAAAAATATACAACTGTATAATGGGGGGATTTGGGGCGAAAAGGCAGGAAAAAAAAAGAAAATTGGCAACAGTTGTTAGCTCAGCTGCCAATCTTTAACAAAAAAAAAAAGAAATGTAGGCCAAAGAGTTTCAGCATCTACAACCAAAGATAAATTACAAAACGTTCACAATGGTTTTGAATTTAATGGAACATGGTATCACAATAATAAATTAGTATACAGGACATAGTCACTGGGGAAAGGCACTCACAATTGCTGAGCACTTATTTAGAGCCAGGCAGAGTTAAGAGGTTTTTTTTTTTGAGGAAGATCAGCCCTGAGCTAACATCTGCTGCCAATCCTCCTCTTTTTGCTGAGGAAGACTGGCCCTAACATCTGTGCCCATCTTCCTCCACTTTATACGTGGGACGCCTACCACAGCATGGCTTGCCAAGTGGTGCCATGTCCGCACCCAGGATCCGAACCAGAGAACCCTGGGCCACCAAGAAGGGGAACATTCGAACTTAACTGCTGCACCACCAGGCTGGCCCCGAGTTAACAGTTTTATATTAGTTATGTTTATATTCTATATTTATTATAGAACCATGCTACCATGGTAGGTAATAATATAAACAAATCAATCTAAATTCTCAGTAGAGTATGAGATACTCCTCCTGAAAATAAAAGAAGTCCTAGACAGCTTTAGAACAGTTTTCCTCAACTCTGGTTGAACATTAGAGTCACTTTGAAACATTAAAAAAAGGGACTGAGGGGCCAGCCAGTGGCGCAGCAGTTAAGTTCACATATTCCACTTTGGTAGCCCAGGGTTTGCCAGTTCAGATCATGGGTGTGGACCTACACACCACTTATCAAGCCATGCTGTGGTAGGTGTCCCACATATAAAGTAGAAGAAGATGGGCACAGATGTTAGCTCAGGGCCAGTCTTCCTCAGCACAAAGAGAAGGATGGGTGGCAGATGTTACCTTAGGGCTAATCTTCCTCAAGAAAAAAAAAAAAGAAGAAGAAAAAAGACTGAGTGCTATCCTAGACCACAATATTTGGGGACAGAGCTATATATCTACATTTTCTAACAGCTCCCAAAAAGGATGAAAACTACCATTTTAAACATTCTGCCTTCTGAGAAAACCATCCTTTAATAATTAGATAGGGCTAAAGATGACTTCTAAAATCTAAAATTGATAAGATTCAATATAGATTGTGTTTACACAGAAAAAAAATACATAATGTAATTTATCACCCATATCTTCAATAACCTTCTCAGGCTGAAATCATTCCAGAACTTTCAGAGCGAGATGGGAACTGATCCCACTTAGTCCTCTCAATATTTAGGTAGAAAACTGATGCACGGCGATGCAGTGACTTGCCTAAGGTCACAGAGCAAGTTAGTGCAAAGCCAGCACGAGAGCTCAGGCCCTTCAATAAGCAGAACTATCTGAGTCCTACCCCACCTGTTTGTGAAGCCTGAGAGCCCACTTCAGTGCAGATAGATCCATTTAATATAAATCAGGATTCCCCACAACTAGGTCATTTTGACTCTACATAAGAAGGTAAAATTTTTAAAAACTTTTCTTCCTTGTTTAGCCAACCAGAATTTGAAACAGTAAGTAATTATAACAAAATGTTAAGTGAGAAAGGATGGGTATTTTTACTTAAAAGTCTGGAAGATGAGAGCCTCCTCCCCGCTGGTAGTGAAGCGCTCCCTGTAGAGCTCTCCGTGGGCCGTGAGGTCACTGAGGGACAGGCTCCCGAGACTCCCCTCCAAGGCCAGGTCCCCCTCTGGGAAGGCGAAAATTAGAACACGTCATGCATCTTTTTTTGTCATACACCTTCAATACGTCCAGAACAAAAACTGATACACACATGCCTCAGAATTTTCACTATTAAACTAAATGTCAAAAGCAAAAGCAAAAAAAACCAATTTTTTTGGGTGTATTCTAATACACCCAGAAAAAATATTTTATGCAGTATTCAAACTGTCTCAGTGAAGAAGTCCAAAGGGAACTGACATAACACAGCGACATCACACTTGAACATTTACAAGGGGAAAGGAATTAAACTGAACGCATACACAAATTAAAGGATAAGACCTTTAATGAGATTAGACCACTAATTAGAATTAGTGAATTAGCATAAGGTCGCTTAATTGTACTATGGATAAAAGAATAAAGGAGAGAGTATCAGAGATATGTCAGGTATTAAGCAACATTAAGTGGATTCTGGTATGATTTAATAAAAAAAGCAAAATTAGGGCTGGCCCCGTGGCAGAGCGGTCAATTTCATGCGCTCCGCTGCAGGCGGCCCAGTGTTTCGTTGGTTCGAATCCTGGGCGTGGACATGGCACTGCTCATCAAACCATGCTGAGGCAGCGTCCCACATGCCACAACTAGAAGGACCCAGAACGAAGAATATACAACTATGTACCAGGGGGCTCTGGGGAGAAAAAGGAATTTAAAAAAAAAATCTTTAATAATAAAAAAAAAAGCAAAACTAATGAGATAGACACTGGAGGCATAGATTTGAAACTAGTCTGATATTACAAGAGTGGAGCCCCTGGAAGGTGGGAAGAACAAAGAAGGAACGTTGAAACACATGCACTTGGATGTGACCGTCTAATGAATCATTCTTAACATGGTGTAGATATTGAACGGGACATTCTGAACTGCTGCTTCGTAAAACAAACTTTATCAGCATAATCAGCATAACAAAGCAATGACTCAGGTGGCTGTGTTTGGCCTGCTAGTTCTGCTCTCAATGAATCAAAGACACATACTTATTTGGGGCTCAATGTCCTCGAACAAAAATACCCAAGTTCCCCCCAATTGTAAAGACCTATCTCTTCTAGGAAGCGTTTATAAATTAATTTACACCAGGCAGGCAATTTCAATTTCAGTTTACTCCTTCCTCCAAAAGCTATTCTTGTTTCACTAGAGTCCACATTTGAGCTTTGTGATCTTTATTTCATTACCAGTTGCTTAAGGAAGGAACAGAGTTTTATTGCCACTTTGTAATTATTAATAATGCCCCCTTTCACCTTCAAAAACATTCCAATTTGGAGAAAGAAATTATATAGTCACGACAGACAATTTGTTTAAAAACAAAGATCGATGCAAGGGTCCCCTCCCAACCTCCAGAATCGCATTCCTGGGATACGGAGGGAGTCGTGCCAGGCACCTGCATTTTTACAAGTCATCCCGGTATTCTGATCCATAAGCCAGGATTTGGGAACCAGCACCACGAAATCACGGCCAGGCCAGTAACTGAACCAAGTCACTGATCCACACCCTACTTAGCATGTGACGACAAAGATCGGTGAGGAAGGCGTTCAAATTCTTACCAGATTTTGCACGTTTGATTTTTCCCCACTTACCGATCATTTCCAGGTGTGCCACTAATTTGGACACATTCGCTTTAGCAAGTTCACTGGTGGTCTTATTGAGCACGAGAGAGAGTGAATGAACCTAAGAACACAGGAGACAAAGCAAGGCAAACATTACTGCGGGGGAGCTGTCTTCCAGGCAGACGGCAGAACAAAATCGAGGAAGATTCAGACAGGCTTAGGACATTTGCAGGCAAGGCTTTTACTGATGCCAATTTCATTTCAGCTTGTCTTAGCCAGTCAGACCAGAACTTGAGAGGGCTGATAAGAAAGGAACGCAACCGGGCAATTAAAAACCCAGGTTCTGGGGCCGGCCTGGTGGTGCAGCCATTAACTGCACACGTTCCACTTTGCTGGCCCAGGGTTCACTGGTTCGGATCCCGGGTGCGGACAAGGCACTACTTGGCAAGCCATGCTGTGGTAGGCGTCCCACGTATAAAGTGGAGGAAGATGGGCAAGGATGTTAGCTCAGGGCCAGTCTTCCTCAGCAAAAAGAGGAGGATTGAAAGCAGATGTTAGCTCAGGGCTAATCTTCCTCAAAAAAAAAAAGAAAGAAAAAGAAAAAACTCCAGGTTCTGTGGAGCCTTCTCTGTGGTTACCTTGTCTAGTCTCTCTCAGTGAAATGATTTACAGTATGAAACAATTCTTCTCATTTTTGCAATCATCTTTAATATTACACTACAGAGTGATTAAGTCAAGTCCACTCCAAGAAATTTGTCAAAGAAAAATGATAAATATGATTAATATTAATGTGTTCAGACAAATATTTAATAGAAGCCCCTGTTGACCAACTGAGACTTTACCTAGGAACCATAATCAAAGATTTCTTTTTCCCAAGAGACAACTATAAATAGAAGAAAACCAAAATCCCCTGTCTTGAGAACAGCATTATTTGTAACAAATAAATCCAGTACTGTCATACTGTCATTTTAAGCACTAAAAGGACTATACGTCTAGGATTTGTTGAGGCAGGGACCTGAGTGCCATCACTGGGGATAAGGCATTGGTTGAAGTCAAGGAAGGAGAGAGAAGGCGGAGAGCAGATCAAACCTCAATTCCCACTCACTGTTTCCGAACGGCAGTGGCTGTGCCTTTATCTTTAACGCCTGCCACAAAGGAGGCGAGAGGCAGATGGCCGATGAATGAATGATTAGCAGGAAAAAAGACAGGACAAGAAAGAAAGAAAATAATACGGGGAAAGGAAGAAGGAAAAACATTTTTAGAGGAAGGCAGAGAAAAAAGGAGGGTATGATTATAGATGGAGCAGTCCCCTTGGGGCCACTCAGTGCCACAGAGGTTCTGCCGCTCAGAGACACAGAGGAGTAAGCTTCTTGACATAGACCACAGAAGAGAACAAAATTAACAAGAAGGGGGCAAATAAAAAAACCTCTAGTCACTAACTCACCAAAATAACATACGCTGGGTCTAAAAATGCTTTGTTTGGAGGAATCTGGCTATCATCACTTGAACCCACTCTCAACATGAATCTCAGCAACACCAAGTGGGACAACCAGATGCTGTATACACCTCCTGGCATAAGGCAACAGGGCACGCTCAGCACCACCTACCAAGTGTTCTTACCAAACATGATCAAGTCTCTAGAACTAACTTCCATTTCTAAAATTAGAAGTTAAAAGAAGAAGTCAAATGGCACCACAGGGAAACAAGCTGACAAATCCAGAAATGTGGGACACTCTACAGGACACTAACCCAGTTCCCATAAGCCAATTGCATGGGGCGGGGTGGGGGTGGGGTGCGGTTTACTTTAATTTTCAGAGACTTAAGACACATAACAGTAAATGTAACGTGTGAACCTTATCTGGATCCCCATTCAAAAGATTCAAATGGAATTTTATGTAATTCTCCTCATTTTGTGGATGAGGAAACTACAGCTCAGAAAAGCAAAGTATCCCATCCAACTGCAGAGATCAAAGGAAAGATGTGAAGTTTCTTAGACCACTCATTCCTTTATAATCCGGCAGTAAAAGGGCATTTTTGAGACAATCAGGAAAATCTCATTATGAATTAGTGAGTAGTACAAAATGCCAAGGAATTCTTGTTAATCTAGTTAAAGGTGACAATGTATTGTGGTTATGTAAGAAAATGTCCCTAATTTTTAGAAATGAATACTCAAGTATGTACAGGTGAAACGATATATCTGGCCTTTGCTTTAAAATACTTCAGCAAAGAGAAAAAAGAATAGATAAAGTAAACGCGATGACTCTCACAGGATTGGGTATACGGGGGTTCATTACACTATTCTATTTGTGATACATCTGAAATTTTTCACAATAAAAATGCTTTCAAAAATTCTTATTTTAAAAAAGTATACTGTTGACGGGCATTTATCTCGTCCTGTCCTCTTGTGAAGCCAGCTTCATCTGTCCACGCAGAGCCCCCTGGAGTACTCCACATCCAACACCAATGGGTTCCTGGGGCACCACATTACAGGCTCCACAAGAACATAGGCACAAACACATCAAGTGCAAAAGAATGACTGAAGCCTCTCCAGCACCATCCACCTCGCTACACAAGGTGCCAGGGGCCTCAGAGTACCACGCAGGCGTCCACTCACGGACACGGAGCAGGAGAGGAAACGTGGTTCGTGCCCAGCCCTCCTCCATTTCTAGAGCAGCGGAGCCTACTGCCAGCCGAGCAAATAAGAGAATGGCAGCTGGCTAAAACAGGACTCTCCTCCCCGACTTCTCACCAGCAGCAAGTGCAAGCGCACACATGCTGAGACGTGTGGGTGAAGAACTGCATCCTGGGGGCACACCAACACAGTCAGCCCCTCGGGGGCCCCGGGCTCCGGGGCGGTGCTAGTCACGTAGGCCCACGTGCCCCCAAGTGCGCAATTTAACTGCTTACACATCTCACTGTTCTATCACACAGAGCAGAACGGCCTTAAAGTCAAGTGCTGTGTTTTTTAAGTGTTTTTTAACCCTTTACAATAAGAGTACCAAGGACACGTTGTGAGTATGGTAAAAACAATACCAGCTCAGGAACACTTACTGTAGGCCGGGCACTGCGCAAAGGGCCTTACCTATGTTACCTCACGGAGTCCTCGCAACCTGATGGCCTAAGCACCATTTAACACCTCAGGTTATCGAGGAAAAACCTGAGGGAGAAAGAGGTTAAGTAATGTGCCCACGGCCACAGAGCTACAAGGTTACAACAAAAGTGTCAGGATTCAAACACGGGCAGTCTGCCGTTTAAGCCTTCGTTCTTAACGGCTGCACTGTTCCGTCAATAAAAGCCAACCATGTTCCGAGTGCGGAGATGATGATAAAGCGCACGTTGTAAAGTAGCTACTAGGTACTGAACACTTAGCAACGTGCTTAACACGCCTCACCTCATTTCACTATCTTCATCAGAGATGGAGGATGAGGAAACTGAGGCTCAGAGAAGCTAAGTAATTCCATTGAATTATACAGCCCAAAGGATGAAGAAGTTAGCTACTTAAAACCTTTTCCCTGCCTCCAGATGGAATTTGCACTAAAACCTTCTCTAAATTATTAATGTCCACCCTTTTGTAACATCCAAAGACTATCCAGCTCCCCTGCCAATGAGATCTATTTTCGAGAGCAAATGTACAATGATAGCATTTTATAAACAAACGCAAATTCATTCTTATGACTTAAAGAAGCCAAAGGCAACTGATACCTTGAGGTCCAGCTTCGTGTTAACTGGCTCCTGCAGTTCAGACTCTGCTACAGCATCTGAGGCTGACTTCGCGTTCTGCAGAATGTCCTCGGGCGGCACCTTCATCGCATGGTTGTCTGCAGTGGAGCCAATTCCAAAAAAATCTAGGATCACGACCCAGGTCTGCAGTGTGATCAGCACATCCAAGCAGTTGAAGTCAACATCAACGCTCCGGTTAACTCGATTATAACCAGAAGAAAATTCTGGATGTTTCTTATCCACCAAGAATATATTGATATGGACCAAGGAATCATCAAATTTACTCTTTCCAGTAAGTATCTTGGGCTCGTCTACCGTCGGAGAAGGAGGTGGGGTCAAGGGGTAGTCCTTGTCTTGGACTTCCTTCTGCTTCCTCCGGGACGCCGAGGTGGGTCTCTGATACAGCTGGAAGACATTAGGAGCTTCTTCCATGTGGGAAGGGAGGGAACGCGGCATGTCAGGGTACTCCACGTTGGACACTGAAGGGCAAGACTGAGAAAGATACTCTTTCTGTGCCAAACTAGACGGCTTAGGGGCTCCCCGAGACACCATCAGGTTCTTATACTTGGAATCTGGATTTTTCTCCAACAAGTCTTCCATGAGCAGAGAGCGCAGGGCAATCTGAATGGATAAAGTCTGAGGATGGTCTTTATTGAATTCCACCTCAAAATCCTGAAACTTTAAGCTCACAAGACCCTGGGCCCCCAAAGTCAGATCTCCACTTAGCTGAACTTGAAGCTCTGATATACAAAAGTTGGCTTGAATCTGGGTAAAGGATCTGACCTCCTTCAGAGACAAGGACTTTTGAGAAGAGTTAGAAAGGCTGGAGTGGCTGAACAATCCGTTCTCCTTCCTTTCAATGGAAGGTTCTCCACAGGTGCTGAGGGTGGGCAGGGGAGAACTGGGGCAAGGCGAGGAGGCAGCACTGACTGGAAACTTACTCAGGTCTTCACTATACACGAGATTGTCCAGCGTCTGTAAAACCTGCTCATATACATGCTTTGCTAACACTACCTGCATTCAAAGAGAAAAATCCAGTTATTCTGCCACAATTATTGACTGCACTCAGATACACCGCCCACAAAATTTCCAAAGCTGATTTTCATGGATTTCCCCAAGAGGTTATCAATTAGTTGATAGCAAGGACTGTCTCTTTGGTTTCTTTTTGGTTGTTTTTTTTTTAGGAAGATTAGCCCTGAGCTAACATCTGTGCCCATCTTCCTCTATTTTGTATGTGGGATGCCGCCACAGCACGGCCTGATGAGGAGTGCGTAGGTCTGCGCCTGGGATCCAAACCAGCGAACCTCAGGCTGCTGAAGCAAAGTGTACAAACTTAACTGGTGTGCCACCAGGCAGGCCCCTCCTTGGTTTCTTTTCTGTCCTTCTCTCTCTCTGACCTATGTCTATTCATGAGGCCTTCCCCTGTCGCTCGCAGAATAATCTACACACAACAAATGTTCAGTGAGTGCTACTGATTGTAGTAGGCCTGAATCAGCAAAATCACTCTTTCTGACCCCACAAAAACAACTGCAGACATTGAAGGGAATACTGCTGAAAGTCTAAGATGCTTATGCCGTAGGATTGAGAAACAAGACTCAGGGTTCTAAAACTCGCTGATCATCACCTAGTGTAATAACCTATGTTTAGTACACCAAAACAAACAGATAGTACTTTTTAATGATAATAATGACGAGCCATGATTACTTATCTTTCCTTCCTCCTTTATTTTATTTTCAATTACAATTTCTTATTAAAAATATTTTCAGGCATGTTTTTTACTTATGTAAGGGCAGTTTTTTTTTTGGTGAGAATGATTCACTCTGAGCTAACATCTGTTGCCCATCTTCCTCTTTTTCGCTTGAGGAAGATTAGCCCTGAGCTAACATCTGTGCCAGTCTTCCTCTGTTTGTGTGTGGGTCACCACCACAGCATGGCTTGAAGAGTGGTGTAGGTCTGAGCCCAGGATCCGAACCTGCGAACCTGGACTGCCAAAGCAGAGCACACCAGACTCAACCATTAAGCAACAGGGCCGGCCCATAAGGGCAATTTCTTAACAGATGAATCCAAACAGATACAGAAACAAAAGAATTAGAAAGTGATCAGGGCCAGCCTGGTGGTGTACTGGTTAAGTTCGCACGTTCTGCTTCGGTGGCCCAGGGTTCGCTGGTTTGGATCCCAGGTGTGGGCATGGCACCACTTGACAAGCCATGGTGTGGTAGGCATCCCACATACAAAGTAGAGGAAGATGGGCACAGATGTTAGCTCAGGGCCAGTCTTCCTCAGCAAAAAGAGGAGGATTGGCAGCAGATGTTAGCTCAGGGCTAATCTTCCTCAAAAAAAAAAGGAAAGAAAAAAAGAAAGTGATCATTTTGTAACTCCCAATTAAAAAATTTATCCCATCACAGTTCATCAGTGGAATAAATGCTTATAGGAATGACTGACAGGGAATTTTCCAATGGAGGGATCAGGGTCTTGCCACCTAACACATACTCACCTCACACACAAGAAATCCCTATCCTTGCCCATTAAATTTCAAAGAGGGCAAGACTAATTCTCCCTTGAAAGGATCTGTCAACAGCTCAGATAATCGGATTGTTTTACAGGCTGGGCCAACTATGTCAAAAGCACGACAAGAACTATATCCTCCTGGGAACGAGAGAGTGACTGCTAAGCAGTAACTTTCCTCATTTCTGATGGTGATGGAATTACGGATTTGCCTTCTTCCTCTGTATAACGCACAGCTCCTCCACATAAAAAAGACGGACAAGACTGCTTCCCCAGTGACACAAGCACGCAGTAAAAGGATTCCATGTTTACCAGAACAAGTCATCAGCAGTAATATGCATTAATGCTATCTCTTTGAATTCATATATTTTCCTAACATTTTATATTTATAAACACAGAACATATTTATATAATATAAGTGTAAAGTAAATACACGACTTCAACTGTCCTGACGTGAAAATCAATAAATAAGGTGTTTACCTGAACAGGATTGACGAACTTTCCTTCGATCTTCATGATGCTAGAAGTTCCCAGGTCATCTGGACTGAGGGAGAAAGTCAATTCAGATTCTCTCTCTATAGGGATCTTCTCCAGTTTAAACTGAATGGTGGTGTTATTCAGGATGTGAAAAGCTGGCAGAAAAAGAGGAAACGACAGACTAGAAAACTCACATTTACTGCGTTATTGTTGATTAAGTGTAGGATACATAAAATAGAGCCCATGAGTTACTCTTAATTAACCTGGTACCTGATTGAGGACAAATTTTGATGACCATCCCAAGACCAAAACTCACAGCAAGCGGAGGTACAAGACAAATTTATATACACAAAGAAAGAGTATTTTCATGACATGCTCCATTTGGTGGCTTCAAACTATGACGTGGGGATCATTAATCCAGGCAGGGCTATGTTAAGCTTCTCTTAGGCTCCCAGGCTGCTGTTTTCCAAACCAAATGGCTCATCCTTACCCAGCTTTCAGATACAGACGAATCCCTCTTATTGGGCCTAAGTCAGAATCCAGGACAACATATAGCTGTAAGTGAAGAACTTTTACCCCAAGCAGAGAAAGCAATCTCTCGGTAAATAAGCAAATGAGCTGATGCATTAACATCTGAGGATCACAGAAGAAGTTTGCAAAGGCATTACTTTCTTCATCAATAAAGCCACACGCTAGGGCTTACCTGATTTCTGCAGAGGCCAAGACTGATAGATTGAATTGTTTGTTTTAGCAGATCAGATTGAGAACACAAAGACAGGCAGTTTATTCCCAGAACCCCAGACCAACTCCTTATAGAGGATGGCAGAATACAAAAAGGAGAACATCCACACACTAAATTCACATTCTATTTATGCCAGCTGTCTTACAACATTTCACTAAGAAACATCTACCTCCCAGGAATGAAAGAGTTAGGTGCGTTTGACCAAATTAAATAATACTCTAACAGCATCCCTGTAAATGTGCACTCATCCAGTTTCAAAGGGGGCCACCTAAAAAAAACAATTCTTATTTTGCCAAATATGGCCTTCAATGGAAAAGGCTGCAAACATACCAACCTAATGTAAAGCATTCTATTAAAATTCTACCTTGATTTCTTAAATATTAACTGGGAACAATTCCAAAAGAAAAGGTTTTTATTGTTGTTTTAAGCAAAGCACTACATGAGCTGGGTTTGGAATCTTTAAACGAAATGAGACAAAAGACATGTTCCTCACCTTGGCCTCTATGCAAAGATTCAAAGAAATCATGTCGGGTGAAGTGAGCTTCCTCCTGACTGTTGGCGCTGGCCGACCCAGGAGGGCAAAATGTCCGGCCTACTTCAGACCCAGGACCCTCTCTGCCTGCCAACTGGGTGCAATTCAAAGAATATAATTTAATGTCTTTGATTTCCACCTGCAGACGGTCACTTCTGGATTCATCATCTCCTGCCACAAAATTCCGGATGAATATCTGTCCCAAGTGTCCTACCAACAACTCAGGACTCCCAGGCTTCCGAGGGACAGAGACCACCGGGGATTCGATGTTCACGTTCAAGATTAGCTTCACGGTGTCAGAATGGGACGCAGCTAAGCCAAACCCACATGCTTCGTTCTCCTCTAAGATACAGGATTCCCGCATCTTCCTTGGAGTTTCAAAGAGCGACACCATCTCACTGTACTCGGCTGTCTTGGTGGCGAGGACCGTGGTGACTTTGGTGGCTGCACTTTTCAGCATACTTCGAAAATTCTCCTCCAGTTCGTCCATGGACAACGTCAACTCCTTCAAAAATTTAGCAGAGTGGCTATAATGCAAGGAAGCCATCTTGAGGTTGAGAGAACACTCCTGTTTAGATTTCTCAACAAATGTGAAACTCAGTGCTTCACTGAGGGCTGCATCCTCCATTCTGACAAAGACAGATTCAAAGTAGCCAATGTCACTCATGATATTTTCATAGCCTATGGAATTCCCAATGCTGACGACATACTGGCTCTTAACATTATCTTGTGTCAAATCCATAAGCTGCAAACAGCCAAGAGAACCATTCATGTCAAATGTGCTACCCATTGAGACGTTAACTTTGGTGCCACCTATACTGGCTGTTGCTATTTTTCTGCCATATTTCTCTCCATTTGCCATTCCTAGTGTCCGAAGGAGCAGTAAGTTAAGTCTGTGGATTTCCACTGCAACCTCAGTGTTTTGTTCATATGTAGATCGGTAAGTTCCTTGTTCCCTAAAGCTTCTTTCAAAATCAGTCATTAAAGGTTGAGGACTCAAATCATCTTTTTCCTTGGGAAAGGATTTTTGAAGAAAACCAATCAGCTCCACAATTGTCTCTGGATTTAGGATAATATCCAAATTATTCACCTGTAAGGAAATCACCTGGAGAGTGCTGTCCAAATTCATCGATGGACACTCTGAACTCACAAACTGATATTCCAGTTTAATGAGGGACTCCTGTTCTTTGGTGAGAACTCTGTCCAGTGAGACACCGAGAGCTGACTGGTCATTCAGCGTAGCAGCATTAGTGAAGTGGGCCACATTGGATCCAGAGACAGGAGACTGGGCCCTACTATCCCGGAGGCTTCCTGTTGGGATATCAAAGCTCAAGTTCTTATGTGAAGCCATCAAAAGGTCAAAATCAGCACCGTATGTCTGCATGGTGTCCACCAGGAGCAAACCATGAACGGTTAGGGAGACTTCAGCATCATAAGGCCTCTTCACAAAGTGAGCATTGGTACCAAACACCTTGAGCACGGAAATGTACCGGCCATTGCTCTCAACACCAAGCTGCATACAGTTCACTTTAAACTCGGCCAGGAGGAGCTGGGACTCCACCAGAACCTCCCGGGTATGCTGCTCCAACGTCACAAAGCTCTGCGTTAAATTCATCACGGAGTCCTGCAAACTTCCCCGCTGTCCCTCCTGGGGAAAAATCTTCTCTTTAATGTGAGTGTCAGAAGTCTTCATTTCTGGGGTGGTCAGGAGAGCAAAGCAATTCTTTAGCGCAGATATTTTATCTTCATTGATGTGGATTTTTAAGTCTGGAAGGTTGCCAGAGAGCACAGCTCCAGGGTACTTGGGATCTGAAGTATAAATCAATCGACGTTCTAACTGTAGGTGAACATTGAACTTCTCAACCACATGGGTTGGTCCCACGTCAATATCCTGGACATGCTTCCAATTGTCCTTCACTCGCCCAACCATGATCTGGAGGTCCATAAATGACAGGGAGTACCTCTCATACATCTTTGTGCTCATTAAATGAGCTTGAAGCTGCTCTTCACTGAATTCAACTCCAGAAAATGGAGGTGTTTTCTCCCCATTACTGCTGCTTATCTCGGGAGGTGGGGTGTTAGGGGGTGTGGCAAGAGGGGTCTTATATTCATCATCACTAAACTGATTCTCTTCAGATGCTGAGCCATCCCCACCTTTCCTCTTGGAGTCATCTGCAGATAAAAACGAAAAGATTTAAAGTATATGTCTGCTCGCTCTTTCCTTTCCCCTTTAACATAATAATTAAGAAAAGTAGAGAATCAACCAACCCAAATTTAAAAAAATAAATGGATGAAAACTCTAAGCATAACATTCTGTATTTACTATTTATTTAGTGTGAAATCATCTATTAATTTGGAAATCAAAGCACAAAGAGTAAAACTATCCACACATGAGAAAAGAGGGAGAGCTGCCAACATAGAACACAGGTTAGGGTGCAAAACTCAATAACCTGCAGCCCAGCCCTCCCTCCCCACCGCAGCTGCTGGCACCAACCCTGCCTGCATGGCTCTCCACAACTGTTGGCTCACCTTTTCCCTGTATTTGTCTGTGTGTTCATTTTGTTCCTCCCACTCGAATGTCCCAAAGAACAGAGGTCTCACGTGTCTTAATCAACACAATACCCCTAGGACCTAGGTCAGGGCTGGGCAAGCAGGAACTGCCCACTACGTCACGTTCCAGCCCCAGAGTTCACACTCAAAACCCCTCTCTTCTGCAACCGAGCACTGCCGAGACAAGAGCTAAAACACACCACGGGGTGCGGATGCCTATGTCTCTATTCCGTGTTCATCTTCTATAAACTCTAGTAGGTGTTTGCTGTGGTTGTATGAGCCTCTCTTCAGATCTAATTCCCTTAGCACCAAACTTTCCCACTTCTGCTCAAACCCTCTACCCTCTTCTATTTCGGGTCTTCTCAGTGAAGTAACACAAGGTTGAGATTATTTGATAAGTCTCCTCAATCTCTTTTACCCCCTGAATCTTCTCTTTCTTCCCTCCCAACTCAAGGTAAACAAGGAATATTTTTTGGATCTAAAAATAGTAATGAAATTACCTTCCAGGAGTCTCTTTTTATATATGCCCCTAGTATCCCTAAGGAGATTAAATCTCTACTCCCGAAATTAAGAACTGAGAAATAATGTTTATTAAAATAAAAAATGTTACATAAGAAACACTAAGAAAAAACCACAATGACATACTATTTCACACTCCTAACAACGGCTATAATCCAAAAGACAGATAATAACAAGTGTAGGCAAGGATGTAGAGAAATTGGAACCCTCATACATTGCTGGTGAGATGGTAAAATGGTGCAGCCAGTTTGGAAAACAATCTGGCAGTTCCTCAAAATGTTAAACACAAAGTCACCATATGAGCCAGCAATTCCACGCTGAAGTATACCCGAGAGATTGAAAATATATGTCTACACAAAAGCCTATACGTGAATGTTCACAGAAGCATTATTCATAACACCCAAAAAGTGGAAACAACCCAAATGTCCACCAACTGATGGATTACAAAAATGCGGTATGTTCATACAAAGGAAAATTATTCAGCCACAAATAGGACGAAAGGACTGATACATGCTACCACATGCATAAACCTTGAACATATTATGCTAAGTGAAGGAAGTCAGACATAAAAGAGAACACATTGTACAATTCCATTCATATGAATGTTCAGAATAGAGATATAAAGATTAGTGAATAAATCCACAGAGATAAAAGATTAGTGGTTGGCAGGGGCTGGAAGATGGGGTAATGGAGACTGACTGCTGATGGCTTTAGGGGTTCTTCTTGGGATGATGGAATGTTCTGGAATTAGATAACAGTGAAGTTGTACAACTCTATCAGTATACCAGAAACAAGTGAAGTGTACATTTTAAAATGTATCTCAATAGAGCTACTATAACAAAGTAACAAGTAAACTCCGGAGCTAAACAATGTCATATGAACTTTTTTTTAAGCTTTACATGGTTAAGCATAGATAGCTCCATTACTGCACACTCATGCTATACCTTGGGTATTTGTCAGCAGCATTCTTCCTAGATCCACAACAACTAAGACAGGATTCCTGAACTTGAAATCATCAGGAAATATCACCTGAGGGGCAGAGATATCTAGTCGCACAGTCCACCGTTTACTCTCCTCCTGTGAAAAGAAAATAAACTCCAAGTGAATAACTTTTAACTATAACTGCTGAAACTGGACAGCTTTATCAGTTAGGGCTCAAGCCTTTCTGAAAGTCAAACCTAGGATTACGGCACAACTTAACGGTTTTTGGCGTGAAAGCCAAAAGTTTAAAACAAAAGTAGAATCAGATGCTTGAGGATTTGACACATCACCACAGGCAAATGTCTGAGGAGGGAAAAAAATTAGCAAATTACTTGTTTGGAGAGTTGTCTGCTCTTTGACTGTGATGATCCACGGTTTAAGAAAAATCTTGTTTCTAAATTTATAGGACTTCATACTTTAAAGTATTGCAGAAATTATGGAATTTAAATAAATGTAGAAATCCAAATATTCTTACTTATTCATGGACAATGGGAACCATGAACTTCCATGCCAACATATCTTAGTGAAAAACATAAGCTTTGACATTTGAAATATAAAATATACACCAATTCAAGAATTTGTTAACTGTTTTTCCCTACAACTAAAATTAACCTCAATTATATGTATGTAGTAAAAGCTAATTTATGTAAATGTTATCAAAAGGAAACTTCTTTGTCTAAGATAACAAGAGGATACTAATTGCTGTAATTTGTGCTGGAACACAAAACAAAAAGCAGGACTGATGCTCCCACTCCACACTACATCCCCTGAACCTTTCCCTTTGAGCATCCTTGCCGCCCTCTCACTCCACCTGGCTCTGTGCTGCCCCGAAGAAGCCACACCCTAACCGCCCCACCCACTGCCGCTCGCAGGAGCGCACCGCCCCGCCACAGTGTTAGAAACCGAGTGGTGTGGGACTGTTAAGATGGTTCTTTGCTCTCCTTGTTTAGGGCATCCTCATGTCAGCTGGTCACTTAGCAGCACAAAGTGACCATCACACCCTGGAATCGAATCTGGGGCATCATCATTCCAGTTGTTTTCCTTCTGATAACAGTAAGTGAAAAGGGGATGTTCTTAAGTGAATCATTTACAAAGCATCAGGTCTAGAAAATGGAACAAAGATGCGTGTTGAGTGTTCCAAGATGGGTACAAGGAAGAAACATGATCTAGTCCCAGTCATTTGTTTTCATTTGTTAAACCCTGACTGCAAAAGACAGGAGATATTACTTTTTGCTAGCTGATAAAGATCTCATATTTCCAGTTTACTTAATCAGTGTAACTGATACAAGCACGCCTACCTACAGTAGGTAAAGAACTTGAGCAAAAGAAAGCCTTCCGCTTGCCCTGCTCCCAAAAAGAGTATTTCTGTATGTCCACTTACAATGAAATCACCCACTAGCAAACGATCGAGAGTCTGTCGGATTTCTGCCTTGGTCTGCATCTTCAGTTTGTTATACTGTCTTCGGGCAGCTTCAGCCACTCTCAACTCAAGTTCAGACTGATAACCAAAACCTGCAAGGTTGGAAATACACAGGAGACTCAGGATTTTCAAACGGCTGAGTGGAAGACAGTGCTGCAACATCTTTTCTCACCAAGAATTTCCACCAAAGCTAAAAAACAGTCTGCAGAACAGTTCCTTACTCCAACCTGACCCGGCACTAGAAAGGGTACCAGGAACGAGGCAAAGATGGGTGAGGGACAGCAATGGCAAGAAAGGCAGCACGTGAGGGAAGGGTGCCTAAGTTACTAGAATTTCTCGAACCATTTTCTGAAAGATTCCAAACGATCACATTTCAAAATCCTTAAAAGTGTGACATCACATTGAAAGAGAAAATGGAATTTAGAAGGAAATGCCTTCTACTTTCTGAGTGACAGAGCAATAAAGCTACTGTTTACATGAAAAGACTCAAAAACTGGACTCAAAACGAAATCAGCTTCATTGTTATAAAGATGGAGAGAGAGGACACATTTAGGAAAGTACTACTGTTTTACCAATTTCCCTGTCAACAAAAGCGTCTTCTCTGCACACCCTGCCTCAATCTTTTGTTGGGAACGAAGCGAGGCATCAATACACCAACGGTGCGGGGGCGTGTTGCTCACCCTGCGCTGGCCTGCACAGGGCCACGCCTGCATCATTGACTTGGCAGCAAGTAAAACAGACCACTGATCCTGTCATCTAGAATGAAATTCATGAACATTCCTCCTAAATTCACTGGCCCAAAATATCCTGGGTAGCCAAGGAAATCACCATCCTAATGGAAAGGGAAGTATTTTAAAATGTATGCTAAACAGAGGCAAAGAAAGAGAAAATACTCAAAGATATTGATTCCTCTTGGAAAAGCGACTTTCCAAGGACATCTGCTTTGATTCAATAACTAGGGACAACCCTCTTCACTTATTCCACAGGCCTTTTCTGCCACCACCAGGTCACCTGGATGTATAATAACCCCTGTCCAGAGCACTAGAAATGACAAAAAAGATGTCTTTAGAAAGTAACATAAGATCAAACAAACAAAAAAGTTAACCTGAGGTATGGACCTTTCCCTTGTAGAAAAAGTCTGCTACTTTTTTAATAGCCTGGGGGTTATAGATGATGTTCAAGGGCCTCGTGCTGACGTTCAGCCGCCTCTCAAAATGACTGTGTGCTGGATTTCTCTCATACAGCATCTCAAAAACTGGGTCATCTGGATCCGCAGCTAAGGAAAGAACCAGAGAAAGAAAATGGAACACAGCAAAAACAATCACCTTATTCTTAATAACCTGTAAGGAATTCTGGAAAAATGACATTTTCTAAATTATTTTCCAATTAGTTCTCATTTATGAAAATTTTATAAAATAGAGAACCTAATAAGGATCGACTCTTTAATTTTCAACAGGAATCCTCAAGACTGGGTTGTTGCATTCGTTCCAAATATGGAAACCCAGGACCCCGAGGCCCTGCGAGGCTGCCTGGTTACACACAGGTTCACAGAGGGCACAAGGCAGTCTCCAGATCAAACATGGACCCACACAGCAAACCACTGGGCACAAAACAGGACACACTCCTTCTGTCTCTGCTGACCGAGACTACTGATCTGTAATCAGCACATTTTTAAGGATGAGTTTAAGAACACAGGACAAATTACCAGCGTAATGATCACTTCTGTCTGCAGATGTTGTCTGGAGACCAAAAGACTGTGAGACTCTGCCAACTTCCTTTTGCTATTAAACACACACAAAATGCAAAAAGGTCAGGGCGAGAGGGGTCGATTCACTGTGCACACACACTCATGTTTTACCCTTTGGCATCACTCTCACTGAGCACAATCCAACCACAACTCGCTTGGCGTCAGATTACTGAGGACTTGCAGACTGACCCCTCCAGTCTGCGCCTTCTTCCCAGCCCAGTATGGACAGTGTGCTACTTCGCATTCAGCACAATGAATGAATGACTGCTAAATGAACAGTAAATGTGCACGGCTTTTCAAACCCACTCTTCCCTCCCACCCTCTCCTCCTCCCACAACCCCCCTCGCCAAAAAATTATGGACAGATTCAGTGGCTAAATATTCCAACTATTATGACTGTATCCTTCCCGACTTAATAAGATGAGAGATCTTCTAATTAATAAAGCATCTTACACATAAAAAATTACTATCTATAGAAAACTTTGGAACGCTGGAAAAATGACACAACCTTCAGTGACTAAGGGTCAGAATGCATGAAAATGACTGTCAGATAGAGACGAAATGCCAACATTGACCTTGAAATGCAGGAAATAGTGATGCTTACGGCATTTTCTTCCAAATCAGAGCAAACTATTCCCTGGTGGCTACAACGACACAGGAGGGGAGGAAGGCATTGCCACAGATCCCACCAACACTCACTCTCTAACAATTCAAAAAACCGACCAAGTCCAGTTTGTTTTTACTCAGCCTCTGTCTCAGAACAACCAAATGTCAGAACGAACCAAGTTAATATTCCTTATTGCTTTCCTCAAACAGACCTCATTTCATCAACACCCTGAACGGATGGGCCGTCCCACTGCTGTACGTACTGGGTTAGGGAAGACCAGAAGAGGAAACATAGTTCCTTCTGTGGCCACGTCTCGGAGAAACAGTCCACCCAACCGGACTAAAAGCAAGGAGGAGTTTCTTCGAGGAAGAGATTCTGCTAGAAGTTTCACATCTACAAAAAATAAATATGAGAGTTGATACTACGCCATGATAAAGTGTTTTAAAAGCATTAGATATAACAATTTACAGAAGACTATCAGATAGCATGAACTATTTTGCCCTGAAATTAGAACAAAATAATCCTATCCATATGTCGATGTAAATCTATCTACATAAACACATGAGGATTATTAGAAGTGTCCCGGCAGAATGAATTTTAAACAGAGCACTTTATAATGAATCTTACACTATCTGCTAGTTCACACTAAGTTCCTGATACCCTCGGCTCTCAAGCCTATAAAGTCAAACAAACCGGCTTGTGCCTGGTCGTCTGCGTTTAACCTACGGACGAAGCTCAGCTAAACAGCTCCTTTACGGACTGCAGCGAAAACATGTGCGAGAAGAGAAAACCAACATCTGGGTACTTATTTATACAGCTTTAATTCAAAGTCACAAAAAGAAGTCAAATACAGTCAATCCTCATTATTCGTGGATTCTGTATTTGCAAATTCACCTATTTTCTAAAATGTATTTGTAACCCCAAAAATCAATCCTTGCGGCGCTTCCGAGGACACGTGCAGAGCAGCAAAAAACCTGAGTGACCTGATGAGCATGCTCCCAGCTGAAGCTGAACGAGGCAACACTCTGCCTTCTAGTGGCAGCTCTCAGCCTGGACGTAAGTGCACTTTGCGTGGTCTATTTAGCGCCAAGTTTTTTACATTTTTGTGCTTTTTGCTGGTGATTTCGCTGTTTGAAATGGCCCCCAAGCATAGTGCTGAAGCACTATCTAGCACAAGAGGGCTGTGGCGCCTTAGCGAGAAAACACTCATAGCAGGTAAGCTTCGCTCAGGCGTCAGTCACAGCGCAGCAGCCATGAGTCCAAAACTAATGATCGACAGCATGTATTGAATAGGAGTCTGTAAACACGAGCACTCATAAACAAGCTTCTGTACTGACCCACAGAGGCAGGCTGTGACCAGATGCTCGCAGGCACCTAACCCCGTATTTCCCCGAGGGGCAATGGTTCAGGATTTCATAATCCAGGGTTCACGGCAACTTTCTAGGATACAACTACCGCAAATAATGAGACTCAACCGGACACCGGCTCACAGGGAGAGAAACAGCCTCAGCGAGTTCTCTGGGGCAGTACCTGAAAACTCAAGCTGCATGAAGGCACTTTCGTCTGTCTGGGGGGTCCCTTGCTCCTGGTGTGACAGAGTCACGGTTCCCCGCTGCAACTGCAGGTTCAGTTTCGCAAAGACGTGATCCCGCTTCGTATACGTGTTCAAACAAGAGGCGTCTGCAGTGGGGTCGAAAAACTCCTCGGTGCCTAAACGTGAGGAAGACAAGACTTTACGAAAACACATAGGAAAACTGCAAAAGCACCACCAGGCACACTGGCATTGTTTAACTATTTTTCCCTTTTTTAGGGAAGAACTCCAAAGTCGAAGGTGACTGTTTTATTCACTAATGTAAAATGACCCCAGCTGCTTTACAAGGGCTCTTATCAACTTACTGTCAAGCCAGGGGGACGTGAAGATTCACAATAAAGCCCGGTTTGGAACAGCACTGCCCCGTCCAGTGAAATGCTCGGCATCTGCACTGCCCAGCACAGTGGCCACTCACCACAATGGCTTGGAGAGCTCACGGCACGTGTGGCTGATGTGGCTGGTGCAACTGAGGAGGTGAATTTTTAACTGTATTTCATTTTAATTAACTTAAATTTAAATAGCCATGTGTGGTTATGGATACTACACTGGACAGCAAGGGTCTAAAGGGTGGCTCTGCACTGGTATTCAAGTTTCGGTTTAAAACTTTTGAACTTGATCAATGTATTTCTCTGCCAGTCGCTGCCACTCAGATCTATCTGAAACTGTACTACTAACATTCATGTTTAGCAATGAAATTGCAAATGAAGTCTCTCTCCAAACCTCCTCTCTCTGCCTCTACGACCAGGAGACAGACTGTTTACAAACGTCTGCGCTTTTTATTTAACAATATTGCAGGCCATTTCACAAAGAGATGACTTTTCACAAACCAACTGCTTCCCTCCACTACAGCCAGGCCAGGTGCAGGCCAGCCCCCGCGTACCCAGGATCTCCTCCGGAGTCCACTGCTCCGGCTGCTCTGCGGGCAGGCCCTCCGCTGGCTTCCCTTCAGGCGTCTGCTGCCCATACCAGCCGCCCCAGCCGGGGAACCAGGACTGCAGGTACTGCAGCATCCCGCTGCCTCCGCCGGCCTCGGGGTCTCCAGGAGAGTCTCCGGGAGAACCAAACTGAGGCTCTCGCAGGCTCTGTGTCAACCAAAAACGAGCAAATCTGAGCGCCACAGACAGAAACAAGCAGTGAAATGCCGCTGATTATTCTCTGTCCCCCTCGGGAGCACTGAGTGCTGGGTCCCAACACACCTCCTCATAGAGGATTTCTCACCTCTGCCAGTTCTTCCTGTTTGTGAAACCGTTCATGAACCAGCTCACGCAAAATCTTCAATTCTTCAAAGCTCTGTTCCTCTTCAATTCGACACATTTCTTCCTGTTTGGGTGGAAACAAACACAAACAAACAAAACAGGTATTACAGCTCCAGAGAAACTGGCCACCTTCACAACCACCATAGTACCGTGAAAGAACCTATCTGACCCCCAACGTTTCCACCGAAGGCCAAAAGACAGTGAAGACAGACAGCCCATGATCGCCACGTTTCTGGTTTCAACAGCTTTTCCATGGAGCCGTGGCAGATTCTCCTTGGTCTCTGAACTGATCACAAGCACAGAGGGCACAAAGCACAGCATCAGATGCAAACAGGCAACGAAGCACGGGGGCTGCCATGACACGCTGAACTCTGCACAGCACTGAGCGTTCACACGCATCGCCTCAGCTGGTCACAGCCGGTGACCAGGTAGCATTCTTCCCACTTCCGCTGAGGAAACTGAGGACCAGGTTTCCACATAAGTATGCAGGCCTCCGGCTCCTTGGTTTCATACGGGACATCAGCAAGGAAGTGGTCATTTTCATTTGTTTCATGCTAGTTAGGAGAGAACAGTGGTAGCCAGCTACATGCAAAGATGCAGAAGGTAGAATGAGCTAGCCTAAACTGTTTCTTATACCCTAACATCAAGTAAAAGGAGAGGCTCTGCATTTACTTGCTCACCTCAGTTATAATTTAGATTTCTCTCTCCCTCCATGTCTTTGCCTGGGCCTTTAACCATCCAAAACAGTGTCTGGTTTACTCCATCCTGTCCACAAGGTGCCTGTCAGTAACCACGCCTGACACTGGTGAAAAAGCATTAACAGAGAGAGTGGGTCGTGCCTCTGGGTGCCGGCAGGAGAGGCAGGAATACCTAGGGATTCAGCACTGCTGTCGGGCAGCACAGTGGGGTGCTCTCATGGGCTGAATGTGCCCCCCACAAATTTCATGTTGAAGCCCTAACCCTCAGTGTGATGGCATTTGACGAGGTGGGGGGCGGCCTGTCAGCGGTGAACAGGTTTAGAGGAAGTCATGAGAGTGGAACCTTCATGATAGGATCAGTGCCCTTACAAGAAGAGGAGGACAGAAAGATCTCTCTCCACCCAGGAAAGGCCCTGTGAGCACATGGCAAGAAGGCAGCTGTCTACAAGCCAGGAAAAGGACCTTCCCTAAAAACCAAATCCGCCAGCACCTTGATCTTGGATTTTCCAGCCTCCAGAACTGTGAGAAATAAACGTCTGTTGTTTAAGCCACGTAGTCTGTGGTATTTTGTTATAACAGCCCAAGCTGACTAAGATAGGACTAAAGGGAAGCTTAGAAAGGTTTGCTAAAGAAATCATTAAGAGACAGCACCTGAGCCAAGATATGGGAGAGTCTAAATTGCTATTGCAAAGACTGATGCTCACCAAACTGAAACAAATCAAGGAGTAAAGCAATCCACAGCCCCTTCCCCGGGGAGACAGAGGCAGACAGACTAGCGGCAGATGGAGTTCCAGGCCAGGACTCCAGCAGCGCAGTTTTAAGGGTCTCTAGCCCTACAGTTAACTGAAACCCGAGCCTGCCTCCACCACTGACTCCACCTCCACCGAGCCTCCACCTCCAGAACACCCTGAGGTCGGCCAAGCACATTGGGAGCAGGGAAACGCAGGCCAACGCCACAGGATCAGCTACAGGCTTTGAGGGAAGCGAAAAATGACTAGGATCAGGCTTTGGAGAGAGCAAGGTGACTAGGGAGAGAGTCTCTCTGGGCCCTGCACAGAGAGCTGGGGGAGGCGAGAGGGCATGAAGGTGTGGAAGAACATGGCCACCTTTTCTCCCTCCCCGCGGGGCCTGGCTCTCCTCATGCAGCAGAAGGTGGAGGATACTTCCAGCCAAGGCGAGGCCGTGGCCGTGCAAGAAGTTATCACCCTAGTAAAGACCAAATCCACGCTGTGAAACTAGGATCTTTAGCCACGGACTTTATTTCTTCAGATTCCATTTTCCTCAGCCTTTAAGAGAGATTCTTATCCTCTGAATGAAGACAAGAAATGCAAGACAATGGTCCCCTCACCTTGTCGTCGGCAGACAGCAAGCCTCCTTTTAATTTGCTGAAGTACTTGTCAGTGTAAGATACAGCATCGCGGGCGCGGTGTAACAAGAAGTCCCAGGTACAACGCTTCCTCTGCTCTCGGATCTCATTCAGGTTCGCGTTCAAAGCAAAATACCACCACTCTCGGCAGCTGGGATATTTCACAACAAAGTAATTAGTTCTTACAATAAAAGCAACTAAAATGCCACTGACCCAGGACAATCCACATGACACCACTCCTCTTCTGAGCCATCTTTTCTCTTGTCAGCCAGCAGTTTATGCCTCAAACTCATTTTACTATTGGGCTAAATTCAACATATGGGGAAAGTAAATTTACTGGCAAAGAACGTCAGATAAAAGATCCTCCACTTACACATCAATAATAACACGTTACTCAACGGGTTTGAATCACCCATAGTATCAGTGCCTTCCACTGACAGATAATCAAGTGCTGACTGTAGCGTAAACACTATCACAAGATAATCACCAAGGATTTGATGCTAAAGATTTTAAATGGAACACTTCAGAAAAGATATGGACATATACAGGATCTAAAAAAAGTTTTAATATATTAAACTGGTCAAGCTTATCATTGTAACATGAATAGATTTATTTTTGCTCTAGAAGTTATAAAGTGTACTATACAAATGCTGACCAAACAACTTGGGAGAAAAGACACAGAAGAGGAGGATCGAGACTACTGTGAAGTATTCACTGTGCAATCAGGTCCCACCAGGGCAGCACCAGGCTGCTTGCTAAATGAGATGGACAGAACCTTCTCAATTCCACCACGCTCAAGCTAAGAGTAAACCCACGCCACCAAACAAATACACAGTAAGAACACCAACGATGATAAACAACAGAAATGGCATTTTAAAGACCAGAAAAATTGATTGTACTTTCATCTCCAACCATGTGTGAGGACAGTGAGGCATATTTCTGATCTATATACAAAAAAAGAAGATGCTATGAAATGCATTTCACATACAAACAATTGATTTACAAGCCCTTACTTCTCAAATATGGCCACTTTGGGTTTCCATTTTCGGAACTTGACCTGCCTCTCCTTTCGTTCCAGCTCCTTGAGGAATTCCATGATTTGCCGGTATTGCAGCTTTTTATTAGAGGTTGATAGGTACTAGGTTAGAACTGATGTGTTTCTTTTACTCAGTTAAGACTATATCTAACGAAAACAATTCATATTAGTCAATCCACAAAAGTGAAACCCAGTGCAAACTGAAAGACCAAATTTCAGCATCGAGCGGCATTTCTGTCTGAACACTGACAGTTAAGTATTTATATTTTCTCTCTCTCGTACTCTTTGCTCAGCACTTAAAAACGTCAAATCAAAACTAACCTGAAATCAACCCAATCCGACAGCACAAGAGACAGTGGGCTCTGCACCCGCCACAGCTTTGGTCTCACGTGCTCTTTCTTTCCCACTAGGCTACTGACTGTGAAGTATTGAGACCCTTCCATCGTCATGCTCCCCTCACCCCAGGTCCCAGTCCAACAGTGAGAGTATAAAGCCTCGGGCAGAAAGAGGGTACCTGAGAGAGTTTCAAGGGAATGGTCTCCAGCTGAATATCACACTCCATGCGGGGAGTGTGCCGAGACCTCAGGGGCTCCTTGGAGCAGTTTCTCTTCAAAAGAGCAGATGCGCACACAGGCTCCAAGATGTAGTGATGATCACGACTCTCCATGCTCTTGTCCATGGCCTCCTGAGTGTCACAAGAAGGTCTGTCATTATAGCAAATGTTTTTAGGATCAAGTTACATGTTGGCATGTTATCTAATCTATGGTATATTACACCAAAATCCAAAAACAGGATAAAACCAAAGATAATCTTGGGTGGTGGAGAAAAATGAATTATTTTTCTCCATCTCATTTAAACCACCTACAATTTCTCTACAAAAAGATTAAACTGAGATTTTTTTTTTATCCTTTACAAACAGTAATACTTTCTATCTAATAATTTATAAGGACTTTCTAAGTATTTCTTAAAGGAATGCCACTGAAGATGAAGTTTCAATGTCATTGTAATAAGAAAGCTCTTCTTTAAGACTCCGATCTGGTGCTTTGTTCATTTACAATCTGGATGCCTAGCACATAGTGGCTAAGAGAATGGAGAACTATGATATGTGGGATGCATACAGTGAAATACTATGCAGTAGTCAGAAGCAATGAACTGGGGACGTCCCCTGGCCGAGTGGTTAAGTTCGCAGGCTCTGCTTTAGCCGCCCAGGGTTTTGCCAGTTCAGATCCTGGACATGGACAAGGCACCACTCATCAGGCCATGCTGAGGTGGCATCCTACATGCCACAGCTAGAAGGACCCACAACTCGAATATACAACTATGTACCGGGGGGCTTTGGGGAGAAGAATAAAAAGCAAATAAATAAATAAAAATAAAAGACATTTAAAAAAAGAAGCAATGAACTAGAAGAAGAAACAGCAACACTGATCAGTCTTAAAAACATAGCTTTAAGAGCAAAAAAAACACAAAGAAATCTATAATACAATATAAATGTAAAGCATGCACTAAACACTATATATTGTTCGAGTTACATACATAACAAGTAGCTCAAGCAAACCCACTTGAGAGCAGATGCTATGGAGGAGGAGCGGATGCTTTGGAGGAGGAGTAGATGCTATGGAGGAGGAGCGGATGCTTTGGAGGAGGAGCCGATGCTATGGAGGAGGAGAGGATGCTATGGAGGAGGAGAGGATGCTATGAAGGAGGAGCGGATGCTTTGGAGGAGGAGCAGATGCTATGGAGGAGGAGCGGATGCTATGGAGGAGGAGCGGATGCTATGGAGGAGGAGCGGATGCTTTGGAGGAGGAGCGGATGCTATGGAGGAGGAGCAGATGCTTTGGAGGAGGAGCGGATGCTTTGGAGGAGGAGCAGATGCTTTGGAGGAGGAGCGGATGCTATGAAGGAGGAGCGGATGCTTTGGAGGAGGAGCGGATGCTTTGGAGGAGGAGCGGATGCTATGGAGAGGCAGGGGATCAGAGAGGCCGGGCACAGACACCCCATGGCAGTGACCCTACACCACTTCACTCCACTGTTGTTACGGTGAAGCCCACTGCCAGAATCATACCTGTAACTCCACCTGAGGCAAATTCCCCAGTAAAGTGCAATCGACGTCCCAATAGATGCTAAATTCTGCCACATCTAATTGCTTTTTCCGCATTAATTTCTGTACCTGAGGTAAGACAGACAGGGAAGAAAACAAGATGACTCCTCTATTCACAAATTCATTCATCCATTCATTCAACAAACCATTTGTGAAGAATCATACACGAGGCACTTTGCAAGGTGGCAGGGACACAAAACTGAATTAAAACATGGTTTTGCTCTTACAGAGTTCAAAATTTAGCTAAGGGGGAATACAAGCATGCAACAACTTCAATTAAGCAGAGGGAGCCAAGGAGGAATATATAAGGTGCTGTGAGCAAACAAGAGAGAAAATGTCACTGTGTGGATAAGTATTGAAAGATACATAAGTTTCAGGCAAAGGGTAGGGTAAGAAGGAAGGATGGGGATGCATTTCAAAGAGTAGGGTCCACGATACAGAAGGCCTGATATCTTCAGAGGACGGTGAACACGTCTGTGTAACTGGAACACTGGACTCGTGGAGTGCAGGCAGTACAGCTACATGTGTTTGAACGCATATTTGGAGTAGGGAGTGAAATGCTAAAAAAAAGTAGCCTGGAATGTTATTAGCTGTACTGGGCTGAATTTCATGTCCTCCTGGAACCTGTGAATAGGACCTTTTTTAGAAACAGGGTCTTTGTAGATGTAATCAAATTAAAATGAGGTCATACTGGATTAGGGCGGACCCTAATCTAATAACCAGTGTACTTTTAAGAAGAGAAAACAGACATACGTGGGAGAAGGTCATGGGAAGATGGAGGCAGAGATTGGAGAGATGCATCTACAAGCCAAGGAACACCAAGGGACACACCAGAAGCCAGGAAGGAGCACGAGACAGTTTCTCCCTGAGAGCCTCCAGATAGAACCAACCTGCCAACACCTGGATTCTGGGCTCCTGGCCTCCAGAACTGAAGAGAGTAAGTTTCCATTATTTTCAGCCACCTGGTTTGTGGTAAGTCGTTAGGGTAAGCCCAGGAGACTAACGCCCTACAAAAGGAAGCTTATGCCACACTAAGGAGTTGGGACTTCATACTTGCAGGGACCTGGAGCCACCAAGGGTTGTGATGTAGGCACGTGCCAGGAAAAGGTATGTGTTTTAGAAACAGAACTCCGGCAACAGTGCAGAGCAGAGCCTTCCCCTCAGGTGTGCCAGAGAAATGAGTCACGAGTGTGTCAACATAATGAGCAAGTTTATAGGATCAAGTTACACTTCATAAATATCCGATTACTCTGAGCTAACCATCTCCAGCCCCAAGGAACCACATGCATTTGCCCCAGTGTCCTGTACAAAGACTACATTTTCTCTGTGTGCCGTGACATAAGGAAGGCCACGAGGCATTGGTATAGAGTGAATCCACAGCCTGGATGGGAGCAAGGAGGTCACGGAACAGGATCTTTCATTATTCTGGGCAAAAGGTGACAGGATCCTAAACTCACACAGTCACAGTGAAAGGAGAGGAAGAGCCACACTGACGACATTCTGCAGGAAAAGCTGGCAGAACATTGTGACCAAATGAATACAGAAGTTGATGAATAAGAAGCGAAAGGATGAGCACAAGGCCTCTAGAAGTTAGTGTATTGGTAAGAACAGATGCTCTGAAGCAGGGATGGCAAACTTTTTCTGTAAAGGGCAAGACAGCCAATATTTAGGCTTTGTGGGCCACAGAGTCTCTGTTGTAACTACTCAACTTTGCCATTGTTGCACAAAAGCAGCCCTAAACATGACTTGAATGGGCATGGCAGTGATCCAATAACTCTTTACCTATAAAAATAGATGGGGCCAGATTTGGCCCCCAGACATAGTTTCCCAAGCCCTGATCTAGAGCTGGTCCACCTGGGTTCAAGACCTGGCTCCCTCACTCACCCTATCTTACTGCTCCTTAGCAACCTCAGGTGTAGGAGGAGGCTAATGGTGGTGGAAAAGTGATGAGAATTCCACGAGGTGAATCATGTGAAGCACTAACAACAGTGCCTGGCACATAAAAGGGCTCAAAAGATGTTAGTTTCGTTTGTTTGTTTTAACATTCAGTAACATGTTACAGAACAAAGGAAAAAAGTTGGTTTCATGGGAGCAAAACGGACAGATGGAATTTAACAGGGTCATTTTGGTTATGACAAGCCTAAAATACCACAGAGGGGTCCCTTAGGTAGTTAAAGACCATGAATATGGAGGTCAGACAGGAGCTCAAGATCCGGAAGCCAGCAGCAAACATCCCCCAGTGGCAGCTGGAACTATGGGACAGAACGAGTTTACCCAGGGAGTACACGCAGGCTGAGAAGAAACTCAGAGATGAAATCCTTTCTGCACCTCACTTTCTTCGTGTATAAAATGAAAGGGACTGCGCCAACATTTAAGGGATGAGTGAAACAACGAGAAGTCAGAGAAAATGAACTGTTTCCCTATTTCAGTAAATTAGATTTGCTGCATACAGACAAGAGACATACATAGGCGGCAAAGAACATGGTGGAAAAGAATGCAATCTCATGTACATAACAAAAATTACAAAAGGCAGAGCCCCAAATTCCCTAGAACGAGTGCTTTCCTCCTGGTGCAGTACATTTCATACTCACAGGCTCGCTGACAGCATTCTGCATGGACACATTCTTGATGCAGACGCCAAACGCAAAAGGATGGGAAGGATTGGTGACACCATCTTCAAAGCGCAAATGGACATCTTGAATTTTTAACTGCAAAGGCAAGAAGAAAGGAGGACACATTTGGACAACTGCCGCAGGTGGAACTTTCTGCCGCAGGTAGAACTTTACAGGTCGGGGTCAAAGTGCCCTGGAGCCATTTAAGTCAACCACAGCCAGCGCTTTATACAGACGTTTACATTACACACCTGTCCAACACACTTCAAGTTCCTGAGAGAGTCGCAGTCACAAGCTGGATGTGAATGACAGTTGAGATTAGTGCTGTCTCAAGGAGACAGTCACAACACTTTCATTAAATCATTTCAGAAGACACCTTAAAGAAAGACTAAAAGAAAGTAACACCATTGTATCTAGTAACTGTCCCTCCCTCCCTCATGATATCTTACTCTTGCCTCTGTGTCCCCACACCTGGACACAGGCACACCAGCCCGGCATATATACTTTGTACTTCTTTCTTTCTGTCTGTCTTTCCCCTTGCCCCTAAAGGCAGCCCATAGAAAAGGCACTCTGCTTCAATAAACTAAAAAATACTAACAGAAAGGGAAAAGACAACCCAGAGAATGGGAGAAAATATTTGCAAATCATGTATATGATAAGAGACTAGGATGCAGAGTATATAAAGAAGGCTCACAACTCAACAGTAAAAAAATTAATCAATTTTTAAAATGGAAAAGGGATTTGGATAGACATTTCTCCAAAAAAGATATACAAATGGCCAAGATGCATATCAGAAGATGCTCAATAACATTAATCATTAAGGAAATGCAAATCCAAACAACAATGAGATATCACCTTACACCCACTAGGACAGCTACTATCAAGAGACAGACAGCAAAAAGTGTTGATGAGGATGTGGAGAAACTGAAACGTTCACGCATTACTGGTGAAACTGTAAAACAGTGCAGGCTCTCTGGAAAACACTTTGACAGTTCCTCAAAAAATTAAACACAGACTTATCATATGACTCAACAATTCCTCTGAGGTATATATTCAAGAGAACTGAAAACATACATTGACACAAAAACATACACACAAATGTTTATAACAGCATTACTCATAAAAAAGTGGAAACAACCCAAATGCCCATCAACTGATGAACGGGTAAACAACATGTGGCCTTTCCTGAGAACTGCAAAAACTCAGTCCAAATACCGCATTCAAACCCTGCAGTAATGGGGCCGGCCCCATGAACGAGTGGTTAAGTTCGCGCGCTCCGCTGCGGTGGCCTAGGGTTTCGCTGGTTCGGATCCTGGGTGCGGATATGGCACTGCTCATCAGGCCATGCTGAGGTGGCGTCCCACATGCCACAACTAGAAGGACCCGCAACTAAAAATATACAGCTATGTACTGGGGGGATTTAGGGAGAAAAAGCAGAAAGAAAAAAAAACCAACAAAAAGCCCTGCACTAAGAGACCAGACCAGATTTTAACAAAGCTCCTAGCAGCCTAAGGCTGTGTCCTGGGACATTCCGGCCCCTGTCTGAGCGCTGGTCTGGGAAAGCTCAGGGCTTTTGTTCTAGCCAACACCTGACAATAGGCCCTGGCCTCCCTTTCTCAGAGCACTTACCACAAAGGGCTCCAATCGCAAATCTTTCTCCATCCCTGTAAGATGTTTATGTACCTCCTACAACTCAAGGACCTGAAAGCCATTCCTTTGAAATGTAATCATCAGGAAGGACAGCCTCTGTCTCCAGTCTCTGGGGGAGAACAGAAGCCTCATCACATTTACACTGAGCATCCCTTCGTAATTTTCACCTGGGCCCTACACACACACACCCCCCACCCCTTCATTCTCCCTTTAAAAGGCCCGGTCACCTCTGTGGAAATTGGAATGGAGCTCTGCTCTTTCCCCTACTGTCGGCAGTTACTGAATAAAATCTGTTTTCACCACTCTAACTAAGGTCTGGCTTTGTTTATCTTCAACATTCCATGCGATAGAATATATTATTCAGTCACAAAAAGGAATAAAGTACTGATACCTGCCACAACATGGATGAACCTTGAAAGCATTACGCTAAATGAAAGAAGCCAGACACAAAAGGCCACAAAGTGTCTGATCCCATTGATATGAAATGCCCAGAAGAGGCAAATCAATAGAGAAAGTAGATTAGTGGTCACAGGGGGCTGAAGGGAGAGGAGAATTGGGAATAACTACTAATTGGGCATTAAGTTTCTTTTTGAAATGATGAAAATGTCCTGGAATTAGATAGTGGCGATCAACGCACAACTTTGTAAATATACTAAAAAACACTATACACTTTAAAAGTGTGAACTTTACGGTATGTGAACTAAATCTCAATAAAGCTATTATTAAAAACAAAATTAAAATAATAATCAATGTTTAAAAATCAATAGCAGCTAAAAAAATAAATGCCTGAAATAGAATTCAAAGCAGCCACCTCAAATGTACTGATCTTTTTGTGGACGTTATCAAAGTTACGAAACCAACAACCGCACACTGTATTTTTTGGGAAGTGGTACACCCAGAAAATGTTTGGCCTGTGTCCCCTTGGCATTGCAAGAAAACCCTGGAGGTACTAAGTAGGGGCTAACTCTCATGACATTCATGAAAATTAGTGTGGACACTGATCTAGTTTTTGAGGACAAAACAAAATGTAATTAAAGCAGAAAATGTGGCCAAACAGCCCCAGCCTTCGAACTCATCAAAGTGCCACCAGACACATCAGTGAGTTAAATCTCTCAGTGGGCTGTTCACAGTTCACTACGCCATCAACTGGAAACCACATATCCAACCTCTCTCATTTTACAGATGAAGAAGCTGAGACCAGAGAGGTTAAGTGATTTGCCCAAAACAACACAGTCATGAAGTCTTAGGCAACCTGGCTTCCTAAGGGGTGAATCCTTTAGCAAGTGGGATTCCAACATTCAAAAAGAAAGTGCAGTGAAATGTAAGTGAAACAGAAACTCCTACTCAACTAGCTGAAGCAAGAAAATCCTGTGTCTGCCCAGAGCCGACTTGCCTTTCAGGTTTTCCCCTTGGCAGTGCCTAGAAGACGGCACAGCTGAGCAGTCGGCCCGCTCTCTGTACGCCCTGTGTCAGCAACAGACCAAGAAGTGAAATACATTCAAGCCTGAGAAATCCCTTCCATGTTGTAAAAGTAACAGCACTTACTTCAATGTTCTCCACAATTCTCGTAACTACCGAGGCAGTCACTGAATACCAGTAGGATTCCCCTTTCTGCTGCCGTTCACTCTACAAAGGAAAGAGCCAGTGTGAGCAGAAGCTGGTGCTGTGCTCACTTCAGAAGTCTCCCCACCACCGCTCTTACGGCCACAAGGATTTCTGCCTTGCCTTCCACTTGTCCTCCAGGGCTTGCAGCAGAGCTTTCTTGCGCTCCCTTTCCAACAGCTTCTCCTTTTCATCGTTGAAATCCTGTATTTTTTCAGGGGCTCCAATTAAGTGAAGACTGGAGATGGAGATCACCCAAGGGTCCACATGGGGGCGATAAAAGGGAATCTGAAGGGTTACTTTCCCAATGAAGCCTGGGAAAAGGAAAGTCTTCTTAAATGCCTGTACACATTTTTTAATTCTATTTTCCTGTATTCTTCTAGTTTTCTTTAAGGAGCATTACTATTTTTACCATTTATTTTTTAAGAAAGCAAGCAGCAAGTTTTCATACATGTGAAACAAATGTTAGTAGGCTGAAATCTCTAAGAATGAATTAGAAGCTGGAAAAAGTTCAGTGTGACTTTACGATATCAAATGCAACATCTCTTCTCTGAAAACTGCCTCCTCCCCAACCAGACTACATCTTAAACTTCCTCAGCGTATCTTTCTTCCCAAGACACCTGCACAAGCCCATAGGGACAAAACTCACTTCCTGTTCGTTATTAATTGGCTGGTTGATAAGTACTTATTGGAGTTATCAGACTTACAACACGTCCAATCTTGAACATAGTGCACAACTGAACTGGAACAGAGGTCATGTTGCAGTGGCACTCTCCCGAGAAAGAACTCTGATTCTTCATGAGAACCCGGGCTGAGGGGAAAGCTAAACGGCCCGGTAGAATTATGGTATTTATTTCCCAAATTCCACCATTTCTAGCCAAGCCTCATAGACCACAAGCCTTCTTTAAATTCAATTAATAAGGCAAGTCACCACTAAGGAAGAATGCATAAGAACATCTGAACTATCCTAACTCTCAAAGATCCACACGGCCCAACTAATATTCTACCTCTAAGAGCAACACATGTGCTCAAAGCATAACCATTACCCTCTAAGGTCTAGACTCAAGTGGAACCGATCTGCTAAATTTAAGATAACAGAATTATCACCAACACCCAGTGATGGACTGTGTAATCCAGTAATAAATTAAGAAATTTTACAACACATAATGAAAAAATATTTTAATTTAGATTTTATCTAAAAAAACAAGTGTTTTTTATATTTAGTAACATTTATAACTGAAATAGCAGAATTTTAACAATAATTCATGCACAGATACAATTCTAATATAAATTAATTGGGGGAAGATGCATAATATTTGATAGTTATACAAAAGCAAAATATAACTTCTGTTAACATTTCATTTAATTTTTGCAGAACAAGCATTAAAAGGGTCATCTTTGCAGAAATATTAGAAAACTCCATCAATCTTCCCAGAGCCTCTCTTAATCCTCGGATATTCAAATGATAACTGCTGGAAGTACCCACATGTCATCGTTGTTGGGAACTTCTCTCAGGTCCTAATTTGTCAGCGCCTTTGCTTGTGACTCTGGCAGTTCACGTATCACTCGAATTGACTTCCAGAAAGCCTGAATCTTTTGCAAGATTTCTATTCTAATTCACCTAGCAATTGATCTGCATTGTACTTACATTTTAGTGTATTATTAAGTAGCCCAAATAAGGGAAAGACTGACTGACATGAACAGGCTATTGCTGAACAATGAGGGGTGTCTGAAGAGGGACTAATTTTATAAGTGGTCATTTAGTAAGGAATGTTTTTATTCTCTGACAATTCTTGTTTCCTTACCAAACCTAGTAACTGCAAAACTCCTACAGTCACTGCAAACAGCTATTCAGTGTGCCAGGCATTGTTCTGAGTGATTTTGGTGCATTAGCTCATGCATTCCTCTCAACAACCCCATGAGGTAGGTACCATTATCATCCCATGTTAAAGAGGAGGAATCACACAGTGAGGTTAGGGAACTTCCCCAAGGTCACACAGCCAGAAAATGGCAGATATGGGATATAAACCCAAGCATACTGTTCCAGAGCCCACCTTTCATTCAATAGAGTAAACTGTCTCCCAGTAATATTTATAATGAACTCTCCGAAAGTCGGAACTCCCTGTACCTGGAACAGACCTTCACACTTCAATAAACATAAGCCACCTGGGATGCTTATGAAAAATGCAGGTCCAGTGACACGCCCTTGGAAGCTCCGATTCAGTAGGTCTGGGAGCCACCTGACCTCCCCACCACCCCAAGGTCATCCTGACAGAAAACGCCACACTGTATGACTGATCTAAACTCTACACTTCCTATCCTGCCTCTTCCTGGTCAATAGCGCCAAACTCAAGGGCTCTCAATTTTCAGGTCCCAAACAATATGATTCAAAACTGCCTCCCTCTCCTTTAGTTTCCCATACCAGCTTTGACTTCAAACGGTAACTCCAGTTCTTTCAGGGCATCTTTCTTTAATGGCAAGTTTTCTAATTCAACGGCACCTAAAAAACGAAAACAACATCATGAATTGTTCATCCAACGAATGCAGGAGGTGTCTCCTTTGTGCAAATCACTGAAGGTCACAGGAGAAGTTTTACATCTAGACTCGAGCTATAAAAGGCATGCGTAGCGCTATGACTGGCCTATGTGCTTTATCTCTGCTAGCTTCCTGACCATCCCACTCCGACATGGAAGTAGCAGCTGAAGCTTGCCAGCTGATGAAGGGTTTAGGCACGGATCTAACTTGTTCTGGAATGAGTCAGACAGTAAATATTTCAGGCCTTATGGCTTCTGTTGTATCTTTTCTTTTCGGTTTTTTTAACGAGGCTTTAAAAATGTAAAAGCCATTCTCAGCTCCCAGCTGGCCAGTTTGCAGACCCCTAGGTTAGGCTGGCGTTCACAAGCGGACCACTAATACCTGAATCACCCGAAATGAAATGCAAGCTCCTGGGCCCCCTGCCCAGACAGCTCTGGGACTGAAACATAGAAATCTACAATTTTTAACAAGCTCCGCCTCCCCACCCACCCCCACAAAACGGGTGTATTGCACATAACATCTCAGAGCCCACGAGAGTTAAATAAAGTTGGTCATAAAAAGGAATTATACTCTCTCTTCTGGAGAGATCAACTCCACATGTTCTCCTCTACACCTCCACCCGCAGGTGCAATAACCAGCCAGAAAAAGTAAAGGAACGAAGCACTGCTGCGGGTCTTTCTCAGCCGAGCTTTTACAATGACTTAAACCTAAAAGTACAAGACGTCTCCAAAGCAGTTTGAAGGAACAGTCAAGGGGGTGCAGCTGGATCTCTCACTCTCCCAGCTATGGAAGTCATTCATTCACACATAGACACCAATCCCTGCTCTGCACTAGGCACTGCGAATGCAAAAAAAGACGGCAGGGTCCCCATCCTCAAAGGGCTGGGGAGACAGCCACTGTTTTACAAAACTGTCTGTACAACACAAGGCAATTTCCAAGCCACTTAAATCTGACATAAAAATTTTCAAGAACAGGGAGTAGAGACAACAACCACCCAGCAACCATTAACTGGTAAGAAAAATTAGAAGAAAGGCAAGCAAGCCTTTTTCCCTGAGGAAAAACTAATACAAGAAATGATCATTTTTCCCTTTAAATGATGGTTCAAGACTTGTGGGTTATTGGCTTCTAAAGAAGTATTCAAATCTAGCAATTTGGCAGATTCTGAGCAAATGCACCCAACTTCTGTTTTAGACTTTTGCAGGAACATTTGTCCACACGGCGCCCTACATACCTTAAGACTAACCAAAAAGATAAGTTAATAACCCCAGAGAGCCTGGAAATAATCCTACTTCCACACTTAGGAGAAAAATGATCATGGGGGGAAAAAACATGAAACCTGTTCCTTATCAGCTGAAATTAACTTAAAGGGAGAAAGTATCCTTCTTCTTCTGAAGAGCATCATGTGCAGTGTGAATCATCTGCTCTATTTCTCGATACCCAAGTCTGTCACACAGGCAGACAGCCCTAGGTTTCCTTGGCTACTGTACAGCTTGGAGAAGTGGAAGGAAATTGTACGCAATCCACACCGTGAAAAATTAAAGAAGCTGAAATGCAGAGAGCAAAGGGGGTGGTCTAGAAAGAAGAGGAAACAGAGGCAAGAATGAGAAGAAAGGGCAGCCTGTAGCAAGTCAAAAACAAAGGAACCAGGCAAAACAGCGGCAGCAGTGATTCAAGACAGAAGACTTCCTAACTCCCCGCCCGCTCAGACACGCACCCACACGGCCCTGCTGGAAAGGCCCCTCCCAGAAGAGGTGAGTACTTTATAAATGATGATGCTCTTCAATTATTTCCAGGCAGATAATCTGCAGGCTTATTTATGCAGTTGTCACCCAAAAATTCCTCATCTTAGATTAGCAAGAAACCTAGTCAACTAGAACTGGGGTGAATTTGGAGGCTGGTCATTTTTCAGTAATCACCGAGGCTACTGGATTCTCTTGCCTTGGCTCTACGTCATTTAAAGGGCCGACCTGAGGTTCAGAGCTTATAAAAACAAAAAGGAGGGAGAATCTAAGTATACACATACACAGATATGCCGACGGCCCCAAGTTCAGACTCCTTGACATGGCATTGGCAGCCGCTACTTTCTGGCCCCAACTATCCCAAACGTGCCCTGCAAGGTTTCAGCCTTCTGCATCTGCTCACAAGCTCCATCCTATCTAGAATGTGGAGACCCCCTAGGCCACCTACTGAAATCCTGCTAAGACCCCCTGGAAAGCTACCTCCACAACAGCTTCCTAGAGTCCTGCAGGCGGGATGAATGGCTGCCCCTTTGCACCCCACTGCATCACGCCTTTTTCTCCAGGACAAAAATTCACCATACACTGCCTTGTATTACTGCATCATTTCCGTCTCCCCAACAGGCTAACAGCTCTCTGAGGGCAGCGACTAGAGAGACAGAGGTGGAACAGCAATAATAATAATAACAGCAGCTATCATTCCGTGAGCTCTTACTAGTGCCAAGCTCTTCCTAAGCATTATCTCATTAAATCCTCACAACAATATGAGGAAATACTATTATTTTCTCCATTTTTGAGATGAGAAAAATGAGGCTAAGCGGACAAGCAGTTTGCTTAAAAATCACAGAGCTAGTAAGTGATAGTGCTAGAGTTCAGACCACATCTGTCTGATCTCAGGTAGCAGGAGGGAGCTGGGGTGAAGAGGAGGCTTAAGTAACCTGCTCATAGTCACAAACAGCTTTTAAGTGGTGAACCTGGGGTTAGATCTGACGCCTGAGCTCTTAGTATCTTCTACTGTCTCCCCTTTCTGTATCATTCCATAACACAGAGCCTTACCCAAAGCAGGTGCTCAATAAGTGTTTGTTGAATGACTAAACAAGTGAAATATTATACAGGCGCTATCTCTGTCCTTCAACTATTCACATGCTACGTTCCATTTCTATGACTTTTAACATGAGTGCACAATGTAGCCTTGAAGTCCAACCCACCAGCCAGGCATACGTTGATGGTCATGACGATGGACGATTACTAACAATGACTGAGGGCCCATGATATGCCAGGAAAAGGTCTAAGCTCTTTGACCTTCATTAATGTGTTTAATCCTCAGAAACTTATGAGATAGTTAATACTATCTCCAATTTACAGAAAGGGATACTGAAGCAGGAAAAACTTCAATAATCTGCCCAAGTTACTGGTAAATGGAGGAAATGGATTCAAATCCAGCCTGGCCATAAAATCCACACTCTTGACCACTATTTCAGTCTCCTTTTCACTTCTCAAAGCATCTAGAACAGTAAAGACTTGCAGATGGACTGAACTAACATTCTTCTTCCTATCTAGTACCCTCCACCCAAGCACTGCGTAACTGTGGCATCAAGATGGACAAAAAGTGTCAACTTCTTTACAAAGCCACCCTCTCGGTACACTGCAATGCTGCAATACTTTTCTGGCCAAGCATTGTGGTGTGCTTTGGTTCCATAAGGATGGCGCACCATACTAACATAAGTTATCAAAGAAAAAGCGTCGTTTCATTCTGCAGAGAAACATTCCTCAAATTCCACAGCTTCCTTAAAAGCCATAGAGAATATTTTTTAAAAAGGAAATCAGCACAGAAAAGAGTTTAAAGCATCAGAGACATGCACACAGTTGTCATTACAAGATACATTCTGTCTAAAACTGCTGAGATTAGAACTCTGGTATTGATACAGACTCCAAGCTACATGAGATAGCACAAACTTCTACCTAGTCATTTCTTCAGCAAACATGCTCTTACCCTACTACTCTCGAGAAACCCAACTCTTTTATTAGCAAGGTTCTGGTGTGCAGTTCTCTCTCCAGGCCATCACCTGCCCTGTACGAGTTGGTTAGCTTCAGTGCGTGTGTGAAAACTTCAACAAGTGACCCAGGTGGTGAACGTGACAGCAATAGTGTACTCTGAGCACATCCTCTTCCCTGCCGGACTGGTCACTTTCACTTTGCACTTTGCAGCTCCCTTCTAAGGCCAGGACGACAAGCAGGAAGAGGAGATTAGGAAAGAACCCATTTCTACATCCAATGAAAGGAAGGAAGCGGGAGGGGCGACCACCACAGTTCCCCGCAGTCCATCGCTGCCACACTCATTTTACTGGTTTAGATGGCTCAGAAAAACTGGAAAGCAACCCTTCCGGGGACAGGGGAACCTCCTCTCAGACTACACAAACATCTGGATCACTGCTGTCTCAACCAACCTGTCCCCGTCCACCTGCCAAAACTCTCAGTCCCAGGAAGCTGAGGTCTCCACTGAATCTGAGCTCTCCTTTCCACTTCCTATGAGTCTACATCCTTGCAGACTGACTTTAGTTTCTTTCTCTAGATTTGCTAAAGGGTTTCATTCTGAGTTGAACAAAGAGAACTTAAGAAGGGGGAAAAAGGAGCTTTCCAATCTCCACCCCAAACCACTGGACTGCACTTAGCAACTGTAGGCCTGTAAAGGCTACAATATCTCAAGCTTTCGGTACTTTACTACTAAGCAAGACAAGACATCGGAAATCTTGTTGAAGACTTCCCCATAACATATTTTAAAATTCCTACTGGGTGTCTATTACATGCTCGTAGGATAAGAACTTTAAATGTCCCTCTGTCTGATCCTTGCAGTAACCCTGGAGAGGTATATAACCCTCTTCTTCTAAAGAAACACTCTCAGGGCCAGCCCAGTGGCGCAGTGGTTAAGTGCACACGTTCCGCTTTGGCGGCCCGGGGTTCGCCAGTTCGGATCCCAGGTGTGGACACGGCGCCGCTTGGCAAGCCATGCTGTGGTAGGCATCCCACGTATAAAGTAGAGGAAGATGGGCACTGATCTTAGCTCAGGGCCAGTCTTCCTCAGCAAAAAGAGGAGGATTGGCAGCAGTTAGCTCAGAGCTAATCTTCCTCAAAAAACAAAACAAAAAAAGAGAAACACTCTTAGAATTTCAATCACCTGTTCACATAGTCAAGAAGTTACACAGCTGGATTTGAAGCCAAAGCCAATGCCATTGTCAGTACATCATGGCTGCCTCCATAAAGCTTCATAAAGCTAAAAACTTAACTGGGATAAAGCACAGTTACCAGTAATATACTGGGTTTTTCAAATATTTAATAGTTCTCTAAAATCTAGAGCAATACAGCTACATACTTAAGTTACCCTGTAATAATAATCAGTGTCATATGGGAGAACATATTTCCTTTTACACATATTTAGCACAAAGCCATCTGGGCATTATGGTTTATTATTCTCAAAACAACAAAAAGATCATAAAAAACAGAAATGCCATCTGCAAAGGCATACTTTACAAAAAAGAGAAATATGTACTCACCTTTCAGAAGTGCAACAGAGAGCTGGTCAGTGTTCAGGTTATTGACGTACTTCCCCAGATAGGTGTTGAGAACCCAGGCTACAAGACCTTCCAACATGTCTATATCCTCAAGACAAGGTGCTTAAAAATCATGGATCATTCTTTCTCTCTCTCTCTCTCATGGTCACAGAAGAATCTACGAAAGAAAAAAAAAGGAAATCAACAGAAAAACTAGATGACCTTCTAAGCTGATTTCCTATTCTACCTTCTCTGAAAGTGGATGAATGCAAAGCAGAGATTTAAGAAAAGATGGGTGAGAAGAACGGCAAGACGCCCATTAGTATAATGGAGGGCAAACCAACGCATCTACTTTGGGGCAGCTGCAAGGAATAGTCACTTATAAATTTACCAAAAACCACCTACAATTCAAAGTTGTGTATCTTTTCGATGTAACTAATCATTAAACTGCGTGCGTTTAGTGATTCACCTTGGGACTAGACTGTCCTGATCAGAGGGTCTCATCCCGGTGTAATTTGGCAATGTCTACAGACATTTTGGTATCTTGTGTGTAGAGACCATGGAAGCTGCTAAGCATCCTGTAACACACAAGACAGCCCCCACAACAAAGAATTACCCAGCCCAATATGTCAATAGTGCCAGGTTAAGAAACCCTGCCCTAGATTAAGGGAAAAATGCCCTAAGAGACTGTATCAATAAACTTCATATTCTGCAATGATCCTCTTTAAGCCTTCCCTAATTTAATTTTGCAAATTTGTTCATCAGGATCATTTCTAAAATAATATAAATGGAAGGGAGATGGCAGTAGCTTATCATTGTTCTTAAATCTCCTGGAACTGCATTACTGGTACCTGGGCACCAGATGATGGTGATTCAATGAACCCTCTTAGTCAGTAATTACAAACACCAGAAATCCTCTCGTTCCAGCTACAGTATTTGCACTCAGTACTGGATTTCTACTGCCTATTATAACAATTAGTGTTTATTAGCATTGCAAAAAATATATAGATTATCTTTAGTATAACAAAAAGTTAACATGAGGGAACTTCAGACACTACAGTTTAAATGGATTCTGAGATCACTCAGCTAATAGATCCCAATCAGAAATGTGAGCTCCAAATCTTGCCCTAAGCCAAGCCCGTCAAACACAAGCCCACCACGCTAGACACTCCAGATTGGCCATGGCACACATCCCAGTTGGAACCAGCCCTGTCGGGATCCTTTCCAAGCACTTTGCCCCACCTCCAGTGATTCAGCCTAATGCCAGAAGATACGCTTATCCCAAATGAAAGGCTGCCACCCGACAAGGACCCAAAACACAAGGCCCTGTGAGAGTTAACTCAACCTCCATGGAAAACTGACTTTTATCTGTCAACGGTGTCTTGAACTTCCAGACAAGATTAACTTTTATTTGTCAACGGTGACAGTCAAAACAAACAAGTAAATAAATAGCATTTGGTGAAATACTAATTTTTTCCCAAAGATTCTGTGTGTATGTGTGTGAGGAAGATTGGCCCTGAGCTAACATCTACTGCCAACCTTCCTCTTTTTGCTTGAGGAAGGTGGTCCCTGAGCTCACATCTGTGCCAGCCTTCCTCCACCTTGTTTATGGGATGCCATCGCAGCGTGGCTTTGTGAGCCGTGTGTAGGTCCAGCCCAGGATCCAGAGAAGCAGAGAGCAAACTTAACCACTATGCCACCAGGCCAACCCCTCAAAGATTTTTTTTAAAGCTACATTTTGTGCAAAATTTGGAATCTGCTAGATATTATTGGGTACATTTAAAGAAGAGATTACAAGAGCAAATTTTTTAAAATAAGAAATGTTTAACAGTCTGAGTAAAGGACACATTTCTTTACTATAACTTTAAACAAGTAAATCTGTGAAAACAAAATGTGAACCCGCCCAATCTAGTCTTACTATGTAGACTACAAACACACTTAGGCGAAGAGCCAAAGTCAGAGCACACTCTATTTTTGAAGTCACAGCCATTGATTTCAGCCCTAAATGCCAACACACTCTCTCTGAAGTGCCAACTACAAATGCTCTTCCAGTAAACAACTGTCAGTTTGTACACAAGATCGGACCCTACTCTCCTTCCCCTGAAAATGGAAGATGCAAAGCACAGATTAAAAGAAGATGGGGTGAGAAGCACTGAAAACACCCTGGTCAGTAAACTGAGGCCCTAGCCAGAAAGCAGCCATTAGCTCTGCTAAGCCCCTAAACCAGGCGTGAGGCCACTTCAAGGATTCCCTTAAGGAATCCGGTGTCAGGAAGGCCCGCCGGGCTGGCCAGAATCCCAAAGTGTTTACACTCTGGTTCATCAGGGATTCCAGGCAGCTGCCTGGCACTAACCCCCACCTGTCCTCCCCTAATCGGCAGGGCAGGTGACATTGGGGATCAGTGCTCAGCCCACAAGCGGGCGGACGGGCGGGCAGACAGCCGGGCGTGACCTTGAGCCAGGCCCCTCCCTCGAGGGGCGGCCAGAGCCAGGAGTAGGAAGGACTGGCAACTGGCCCGGGGCACCACTCCTCGGGGCTCCAGGGAGCTCGGAGATAGGAGGCCGGAGGGGGGCGGGTGCCAGGCTAGGGGCCCCACAGGAACAGGACTGCCCAGAAGGCCAGGATCCCACAATCCTCCCGCCCCTCCTTCTGCTCTCACAACCCTAAGCCCCGCTCCAGGGGGCGGAGACCCCACCTCCCAGATAAAGCCTGGAGAAGGGCGCCGGGGTCCCCTACCTGGGAGGAGGGGCTCAGCCAGGGTGTGACCCCAGGGGGCGAGGCGTAAAGACAAGTTTGAAGCCTGATGTCCCCATCCCAGAGCGTGACCCCAGAAGGCTGGTGAAGGGGGCTGTTAAGACACTCTGGAGAACTGCCTGGCGCCCCATTCTTGGGCGTGCGCTTGGGGGGCTCGCACAGTGGGGTCCTGCACTGAGACCGCGGCTCAGGCGGCGAGACGTCGGCTGACACCCCCCGATCCCGGGGCGCCAGGCTGCCGGGACCCTAGAAACGGTGCCGGGTCCAGCGGAGACTCGGACTCCCCAGGACACTGACGCCGGGGTCCCGAGAGGCTCCGGCAGCCCGAGCGTGCGCCTGGGATGCCCGCGGGGACTCGGCTGCAGGAGTCCCCGGGAGGGCGGCGGACTCGGGCCGTCGGGGGCTCGGGCGCCCCCGGGCCCCAGGAGGAGCTCGGACGGCCCGAGGGCCGGACGCCGGGATCCCCGGCTCCCAGCGCCGCGCTCTCCGCGGGCGGGCCCGGGCCCCCAGGTCGGAAGCGGAGTCGGAAGGCCGAGCGCGGGCCCACGCGCGCCCCGGCTGCCTGGTGCCCGCCCGGCCCGTACCTGTCGCGAACGGCGCCCGCCCCAGCCCGGCACTGCGCGCCGCTTCCTCCCCGCCGCTCCTCAATGGCGCTGGCGGCGGCGCCCCGGCCCGCCCGGCCCGACCAATCGAGCGGCGACGCGCCGGCGCCTGGCCAGCCGAGCGCCGAGTCATCGAGCAGACGCCCCCTGGCGCCCGCGGCCGCGCCTGCAGGGCTGCAGGCCCCTGCTGGGCTCGCGGATGCTGCTGGGGCTGAAGCCGGAGAACCGCCCTGGACCAGGCCTCTTTTACAGGGCGGGGAAACTGAGTCCCAGGAGAGGGCAGGGGCACAAAAGAGACTGGCTCAGACAATACTGGAACCCAGGATTCTTCCTCCCACAACCCCCTGCCTTCCGTCTGGCCCACCCACGGTGGATTCTCCACTTAGCAGCCGCAGAGGTCTATTAAAGCGTAATTCAGACCATGCCACTTCCCTGCTTAAAACGGCTGCCCCACTGCTCTTAAATCCAAACCCACCTCATTACAGAGCCAACACCAAGATCCCACTGGATTTGGTCCATTCTTATTTCTGCCACTCTCCCCCTGGCCTCTCTGCCCCAGCGTCCTTCCGTTCCTGCCCGCGACCTTTCATTTGCCATCCTCTCGGCTTAGGATGCTCTTCCTCGAGAACAGTGCTGACAACCGGAAGAAAACGCAAGCCACACAGTGATTTTAAATTTACTAGTTGGTACATTTAAAAAAGGAAAAAGAAAAAGGTGAAATTAACAATACATTTTATTTAATCCAATATGTCCAAAATATTATCATCTCAACCTATAGCCAACAGAAAAAATTGAGATGTTTTAGGGTTTTTGAATAGTAAGTTTTTGAAATCTAGTGGTTTTTTGGGTTTTGGGGGGTTTTTTTACACTGAGGGCACATTTCAATACAAGCTAGCCACCTTTCAAGTACTGAATATCCTTACGTGGCAGGTGGCTACAGAGCAGCTCTGGATAGTCATATAGCTAACTCCTGCTCGCTTCAAATATTCCACCTCAGAAAGGATTTCCCTGCTCCCCCATCTAAAGTTCCCCTCATCCTTTACTTTGTGCTATTTTCTTCACAGAACTTAATGCTACCTGAAATTATCTCATTTATTTGTTTATACATATGTTGTTATCTTTCCTCACCCTGAAAGCAGAGATTTTATCTTTTTCACAAATGTTTCTTCGGTACCTAGACATTGCCTAGCACAGAAAAGACTCAATAAAGGCACTATGAATGAATAAATGAACAAATGAACGCTTCATTCTTGCATTATCACAAGAAAGGCAGGAAGAACCCCTCAGGCTCGTAAAAAGTCAGAAGATGCAGGACACGGGATGGCAAGGTTGCAATAGGGCATTTACCATAATAATTATCAACCCTCATAATGCTAAGCTAATGAAGGTGACCATGGTCTGACTCACTCCTAGGCAAGCCCTGGGCTCCTGTGAGGTGGGATCAACTTCTCAGAATCTCAAGGCTGGGTTCCCTCAGGGGCTGAGATTGGGATGTAAAACGCTGGACTCCACAGACGGAAGGCAGAAGGAAATCAGTCCATCGGAGCTGAAGGATCCCAGAGTCCAAATCATCCAGTACAAAGACACCTGGCTGTACCTGGAGAACTGGCTAAAAAATGCGGATGTCAGGGCACCATTCCTTCAACTAGTATTAGTGCAAGTCTTTGTGCCCTGGGCTTCTTATCAATCTAAACACACATACAGCTGTCCCACTCCTAGGGATTTACCCAAGAAAAATGAAAGCACTCGTGCACACAAAGACTTATGCGTGAATGTTCATGGCAGCTTTATTCATAATAGCAAAAACAAGAAATAATCAAAACGTCTATCAACAGGAAAATGGATAAACAGGTTGCAATATACCCATACAATGGAATACTACTCAGCAACAAAAATTAACAAACTACTGATACAGGCACCATCTTAGAGGAACCTCAAAGTGTTAGCTTTATGAAAAAAGCCAGACTATGAAAGACCACATACTGTAATGATTCCATTTCTATGACATTCCAGAAAAGACCAAATTAGAGTGGCACAAGCAGATAGGTGGTGGCCAGGGGCTGGGGGTGGAAGGAGGGGATTGCCTAGGAAGGGGCACAAGGGAACTTTTCAGGATGATGAAACTGTTCCACGTCTCTACTGTTGTGGTGGTCACGAGGCTGCCTTCAGTTGTCACAATTCATTGAAGTCTGCACTTAAAATCGGTAAATTGTGTTTTCTGTGAATTATTCTTCAACAAGGCTGATATTTTAAAAATCGCTGCCCTTGGGGCTGGCCCACTGGTGCAGCGGTTAAGTTCACACGTTCTGATTCTCGGCGGCCCGGGGTTTGCCGGTTTAGATCCCCGGCGTGGACATGGCACCGCTTGGCAAGCCATGCTGTGGCAGGCATGCCACATATAAAGTAGAGGAAGATGGGCACTGATGTTAGCTCAGAGCCAGTCTTTCTCAGCAAAAAGCGGAGGATTGGCAGCAGATGTTACCTCAGGGCTAATCTTCCTCAAAAACAAACAAACAAAAATCGCTGCCCTCATGGGGCTTACATACCAGCAGAGGAGGAGAGAAAAGTCAGCATAAAATATAGAGTGAGCCAGATGGTGATAGGTGCTAAAGAAGAAAAAATGCAGGGAAGTGTGGTAGGAAGAGGGGTGGCCAGGTTTAGATGGATGGCATGGGGAGGCCTCACTGAGAAGATCTGGCCCTCAGGGCTTCTAATTCAGTGAGCCTGCAGGGGGACCCAGCTCCCAGGGTGATGGGTTTGGAAATGCAGAGCTGGTCCAAAGCCTTCGATGTACAGACAGGGAAACTGAGGACCAGAAAGGGGAAAGGACTTGCTACAGTCCATACGGAGAGACCATGGGACAATCCACGCTCTGCTGCAAGCCTGAAGCCCTCTCCAACAAGGCTGCAGCCCTCCCTGCCCCAGCCCACTGCCCTGTGCTGTCTTCAACAATCAGAGCAACATTTACACCCGTTGTGGGGGAACCAGGGGACAAAGAGGTCAAACATTGGCCTGCCCAAGTGGAAAGGTTGTGCTGGCCACAGAGAAGGTCCTCCCTTGGTCCCCTACCCATGCTGTGGCCCCCAAATCTGCAGGCTACAGACACACAACAGGTGAGGGGCTACAGAAGATGGGAGTCATCTCTTAATTACCATCCACTCTAGACCCTGAGATGCATGTAGGGCTACAGGGGCCAAGTTTCCTGGGACAGGTAGATTTGAGGGGACCTGCTCAGCACTGCCGTCTGTGAGGCCCCTCCCCACCTGGCCTAGTATATCTCAGCTCCGGAAACAGAGAGGGTGCAGACAGGCAGCCAGAGTTGCTGCAGAAATGTTTCTTTTGGCCCACACAATGCCTTAAAATAATTGACATTAGTTACAACATTTTAAAAGCTGGAGATTACATATGAAAATCGGTATTTGGAGCTTCTCTAGAAAAATTGGGACATTTGGCAACAGAGGAACCCCACTCTTCCTATGCCTATGTGCATTCATTCATTCATTCATTCACCATTTACTGAGCACCTACCAGGTGCCTGGCACCATTTGAAGCCCTTGGGGTACATCACTGAGCACAGCAGATGGAAGAGACCCACGAGGGAGGCAGGGATCTCAGGGGAGGGGGAGTCGAAATTTTAATTGTGAATTAATTTAATCAGACCTTGAAGGCATTTCACTTTCCAGAGCAGCCTGTCCAATAGAGATATAATGCAAGCCACACATCATTCTAAATTCTCTAGCTGTCACATTAAAAAAGAGTGAAAAGAAACAGGTGACATTAATGTTAATATTTTATTTAACCTACTATCTCCAAAATATTATCATTTCAGCATGTAATCAATGTAAAATTATTAATGAGATGTTTCACATGTATGTTTTGTGCTAAGTCTTCAAACTTCCGTATTTTGTATCGAGACGTACTTCACACATCTCAGTTTGGACTAGCCACATTTCAAGGGCTCAACAGCCACAACCACACGTGCCTAGTGGCTCCTGTATTTGACAGCGCAGGTCAGAGTCTCTGAGAAAATGCAGACAGCCTGGGCAGGGATGGTACTGTCACCCTGTGGGAAAAAGGACAAAGGACAAAGGACAGATCACAGCTCAGGGGCCAGCCTCCTCATCTTATAGATGGAGACTCTGAGCTCCAGAGACGGACAGTGGCTGCTCCAAGTTCACACGGCAGGTTATCAGTGGAGATATGGTGTAACCCCAGGACTCCTGATCTCTAGGTTTGCCCCAAGCAGCCTCTCAGCCCAACCTCCCAGCTTTTTCGATGCTGCCCTAATGGCTGGTTTCCTAATACCGAGCTGCAGGCGGGGCAGAGTAGTCCCCAGAGAGAGAGAGAGAGAGAGCAGTTACCCTTTAAGTCCAAGCTTCGATGACTTTCTGTGGAATTCTACGGAGCTGGTTATCAGGAGCCTCCCACAGTGAACGGGTCCACCCAACTTGACTCCTTAGATAAGTACCAAACCCCTCAGGGTCCTCCTCTGCAGAGCAGGGATAATGTGTACCTTGCCTACATCCCAGGGCAGCTGTGGAGATCAAACAGCCAGAGCTCAGTTTCCCAACTCAGACCGAGCCCCGCCAGGCACTTCTCACACTCCCTGGCTCAGATCCCTCCCTTCACACTGAGAGTACAACCCAACATCCTTTCCACAGCTTCTGAAGCTGCCCTCACTGACCTCATATCCTGTCCTACCTGGAGGCCCGAGGCTGTACCGTCCTCCCTCCGCAGCCACCTTCTCCGAGAAGCTGTAACTGAACAGGTTCGATTTTGCCTGCCGCCCAGAAACCCAAACACCGAGACGACGAGATGGCAGCAGAGAGAGGATTTAATCACAAGGCAGCCATGTGAGGAAGCAAAAGCATGAGCCTCACACTCGCTTTCCCGAAAACAGGGGCTCAGGGATATTTATGGAATGGGGTCAAGGTGGTCTGAAATGTGGAGGTAGGTGATTGGAGGTGAGGGGAGGTGAGGTCACTGATGATCTGTGCAAGCGTAGTCGGACTCCACGCCTCTACACAGGACCCATGTTCACCAAATGGTGGCGTTAGGATGATCTGAGG